TTATCTGAAAATTGTCTGCACTGGAAAAAAATGATATTAATCCCATAGTGACTGCCTTAAATAATTGAGGATGTTAGGAAAAACAAATGATGACAACAAAAATCCTACTGTTAATTAATTTCTGTTGTTACAGTTCCTTTACTGCTTGCAGTAGAAATACTGGACTTGGTATGATACCTACTTTTGATTAAAATCATAGCAATATAATCTGTGTACCTCAGGGCAGCTGGACTGATGGAGCTGCTGTGAGCAAGTCATGATAATGGAATTCCCTTAGGATTATTGTGTTCACTGTGAGCCACAAACCTTAAGACTAGCTTAGGAAATTGTGCCACTGGAAGAAAATGTTGTTAGTACTTTATATGGGATTCACAGTGCTATTTACTTTAATCACATTTTTCTGTAGTAATTTTACTCTCATCTTCTGTCACATTTCTTATCAGGTGACCAGAGTTCACCTAGGAGAAATAAACTCACTGTCTTGTTCAAGCTTTTCTACATCAGCAGTTTTATCAGCTCCTGGTGACTCAGCATAACCTTTAGTATCCAGAGACACTAGTGGTAAATAAACGAATGTAATCCATCAGAATGTATAAAAGATTCTGCTACCTTGGAAAAGAATTGAGAAATATTTTGTAATATTCTTTCTATTCTAAACTTCTTTTTCTAAGACTCGAGCAGAGGCTACCATTGTATACATTTATTTGTATAATGAAAGATCCAGTATCCTGTGACACCTAAAATGACGTTTAGAAAGAGTGCAGCAGAGAGCACTGCTACCATTTTCAATAACTAATACTTAACTACTGCTCACACTTTTCTATCTCTATTTTCATTCTTGCCGTAGAATACTGTTCCGTGCTGTAAAATCAGTTCTGAACATGATGTGATTAACCTTAGGGCCTCCCCATCCCTTCATTGCAAAGCCCACCTTGTACATGGCCTATGCTTTCTATTCATGTTCGCCATCTGATTTCCATATCATCCCGCTCACCCTCATGAGCCGCTATTAGCATAACAGAGCTTTAGTGTGACATTGATTGAAGCAAGCACTTGCTGAATGCAGTATCAGAGCATAATTTGCCAGAAATCAAATCTAATTTCCTATGTACTTTTAAAATTTATTTAAAAAAAAATTAAAATGGAAGTGCACTCAATCTGTAGTCTTAATTGTTCTTTTTTTTTCATATTTTTGCCCAGTGCCCTGGAATCCAACTAGCACATTTCCTTTTAGAGCCAATGTCTTTGACTTTCAAATGTCAATTAAACAAGTTTTTCCACTGTTTATTCCAATCCAGCTAATGTTACATCTGAAACAATGAAGGGTAATAATTTGATAGGCACAACACTTGGTTTCCTGCTTCCTAACAGTTTTTTTCAACAGATTCTTCTAATCACTTTAGTGCTTAGATTGAATTAAGCATTAAAGTAGCTCATAATTCTTTAACAGCCGAAGTATATCGAGCCTGCTGTTATTAATCTAACTGTACCTTTTCAGACTTCTAAAATGTTCCTCCTTTGAGAGGAGCAATAATGGCGTGAATAAGGTTTTTGCCAATGTTCTACTGATGTTGAACTTTGAGGGAGTCATGTTTTTAGTTAACCTTTCTGCAAAATATGAGTAATAATATTTATCTACCTTAAAAACAGCATCTGTGTATGTAGGTAATGAATTCTCTTTTAGGAAAACTGAAGTGCTTGTTCTGTAATCAAAGCCTTGCTGTCCCTGAATGGGACTACATTGCATTCTCTGGGGATAATGGTAGTCTTACTGATTCGGTAGTTGTACTTGACCAAAATTTATCCTACAAGCATTAACTGTTACTTTTGGTTGTCAATTCTCATTATTCGGCTGGAATTTGATAGATCAAATTGATATGGTGATAGCGTGCTGTAGCATCATTTTTATCTGTGTGCAAACAGAACTATAGCTGAAAATGATGGCAAGTTAAAGCAAATGGGGATTTCTTTCATTACAAAGCTTCTTTGAATAAATTAAAAAAAAAAAAAAAGAAGTTTTAGTTTTCCAAAAATGTTTTTTTTCATACCCCTTAATATTATACTATTAAATAGTTTGACTGGAGGGAATGGTTTTGTGTTTTTTTCAAAGACCAATAGAAGCAAGTTTTTCTGGAGATTAGGAGATTATATTTAGTTTAACTGGTTCATTTATTTGTTTTGTAGTAAATTTCTAGTAATTTCTTCTTCAGAGAAAAGCTAGAGAACAGATCTGTACATAATCATGTACCATTGTTTACTGGAGCCTTCTTAAATTTAGAAAATCTAAACCTGTTTCTCTGAGGCAGCATCTCATATTCACCTAGAATGGTAAATGCCAGAGGGGATTTGGTGTGTGACAGGGAGAGAGCAGAGCAATAAGGTCAACCTACACAAATTGGATTATCCAGACTGAGACACCACCTTAATTCCTGCTTCTTTTCAGTGTCTCTTTTTGCAAACGAAAGGATTATTTTTCTGCTCTTAAGAAAATGAGGAATGTTCAGAATTAGGAGTAGGTCCAACTGTAGATTGAACTAGTAAGTTTGTCTCTTGTTGTGCTTTCACTAAATTATCTGAATTTGGTCCTTGAAAAGTCTACTACAACGAAAAATCCTGTTAAGTACGTGCATTTAGAGCTATGGACTTACTGTACAGCCTTATGTGTGACCATGTTTCAGATAAACATTTAAACTTATCTACCTGCATTTATTTGGTTATATGATTTGAAAGATAAGCTCATGGAAAGGCCATGCCCTTCTTCCTTCTGTTGTGATGTCTCAGAGCACTGCCTGTAACACTTAGCACCAGTAGACCAAGGCTGCCTGTGAAGTGATCTTACATACCTTATCATGCTTATCATGATCTGTGGAGATGAATTCCTGACACTCTGTTTTTAGCCTCAATAGGAAGATTATGATCTTGAGTCCATCTATAATGTTGCACTGACTCATGCATAGTTCCTGTTCAGTGAAGAAGTTAGAAGTTTTCTGCTCTCCACTCTGAGTTTGCTATTGATTTTATGTTAATATCCTGGGAAATGAACTTCTGTGGCTGAGCAGCAAACACTGAAACAATTCAGTGACCTCGTTAACTGGTTGATCAGAACTATACCTTAGTGTAAGGTATGCATTCAGAAATGGAGTTTTTTAATTCATAACCAAAAAATCTTTCTCTCCCTTGCCATATGATTGAATGAACAAATACACATACTGTTTGCTATATTACTGCTTTCCAACATCTGAAAGGATTGCATACAGATACGCTAGATAAAACAATGTGAGGGAAAAAACGGGACACATGCTATAGTCCAGGGCTGGACTGGAGTAGAACAAGCTGATTTTGGATTGAGTATTCAGAGCAACACCTATGCCCTTATAGCAGCCTCCGAGCATAAGAGTATAAATGGACAGCAACAGGGTACCTAACCCTTCAGAAGACTGATGCTTTCTGAGGCCCCAGGAAGGGGCAGACACTTCTCTCTCCAGAAAGTCCAAAACTTGTGCTCAGGAGTGTGAGGTAGAAGAAAGACTCCTTTTATAGTTCTCTCCTTCTGCCTTCTAAATTAACAGTGGTGCATGTTTATTAAGTGCTTTACAGTTCTTGTAAGAGTGCTATACCAGTGCTATCGACTGCATCACATAAGTACAAAGTGTATTAAAAAAAAAATAAATCAGATCTGCATACATTTCTGTGCATTTAGCAGATCTGCATCTGTGCTGTCAGCAGGTGTAATCGGAAGCTGAGTCTTGATTGCTCTTCGTGCCTAATTAAATAGTTTGTAATTATAATGGTGAAAAGATGGTTTTCTAAAACACTGAAATTCTGTTTACTTAAAGCTTAGTAGTTCCTTAAACCACCTCTCTCCACAGCCAGCTGAGCAATAGTGGAATGGAAAAAATTTACCTCTTTAATTATTTTTCCCCTTTCTTCAGCCTATTGGAAAAATCAGCAAGTTTTTTGGTAAGAGCATATGGAGATGCTGATTATGTTTTTAATATATCTTACATATCCAATTCCATTGAGCTACAGTGTTGAACCAAGGCTGAGAGATTTGCATCAGAAAGTTACTTTGTCACATGAGAGTAGTCACTGATGTTGTTTTTCACTCTGATCTTCCATCACTGCTTCTTCCCCACTTTTCTTCTGCACATCAAAATCTTTTTTCACCCTTCATGCTCCCACCAGGCATCGACTCACTGTTCTCCATTAGCATTCCCAGAGAAGTCAAAACACATCTCCTTTTCAAAATTGTTCACTTTGGAATGCTATTAATGCTATCTACTTGAACACAAAGCCAGTCCTGATTCTTCTTTCACATTTTAACTTCAACTTATTCTTCTTTTCCTTTCTATCTTCCTGTGCTCCTGAAATACATTTCTTCTTACTCACTTCTCTCCAGCCACTAACTCTGCAACTCTTGCTTTTTTCTTGACTTTTCACAAGCTAAAATCTCCTAAGTCTTTGATGCTTTAGCAAACTTCCTTTTCACAGCAAGTCCTTCTTCCCACTCCCTTCTTAACCGCACTGTCCCTCATAGAAGCTCAGGGAGTGCTTAAACTTCTATTTCTCTGCTATCATCCAGACCTTTCTCTCCTTTCTCAATCATTTTTGAAAAGCTAGAGGATCAGAATGAAAAAAGTAGTCTATATATCCTGATTTATCCTGTGCAACATATGATAGCTTCAGCAGAATGATAAGTTATGTGTAGTGTATATTGTACTGATGATACTTGCTCAGATGGAAGATAGAATATATCCAGACCAGCATCATAAACACTGTTGAGCCTTAGCATTTATTGTTGTTTGTTGTAGAGTTTATGCTAATGTTTATGGTTCTAATGCTGCTTTTTTATTATTAATGTATTTAGTAAATAGATGTATTAATTCTGTCTAATTAGTATATCTGGTGTTCCATATTGTTTTCTTTTCCCTTATATCTACTTCATTTTCCCTTTGCAAAATATCCTGAATTTGCACTATGTTTTTTCTCTTACATTGTAGCTCCCCCACAGTTTGTGGTGAGACCACGAGATCAGATTGTAGCCCAGGGTCGAACGGTGACTTTTCCTTGTGAAACTAAAGGAAATCCCCAGCCAGCTGTTTTTTGGCAAAAAGAAGGAAGCCAGGTAAGATATAAGTTCCCTATAAAATTTTTCAAGCCTTTCAGAAAAGTTATACATAGATTATTTTTTAATAAAGATAGCTTTCAAAAGAATTTGTCTTTAAAACAGCTACTATCTTCTACCAACATTTTGTTGCTTTTTTGTTTTAATATTAGCATTGTGAAAAGCACAAAGTCCATTTAAGTGGGTAAAATTTGCGGTATCGTGCAAGGATATAAAAAGCAATAGTAGGTATCTTAAATACTTCATTCTGAGACACCCAACAAACAGGTGGGTGAGACAAACATAGCAAATAAAGAGGTATGACTCAACTTTTAAGTAATCAGTGTCAGTAATTACAATTCAAAGCTTGTCTAGACATGATCAAGTAGATACATAGCTAGCAAACAGATTTGCATTGGCAAATTCTCACAGTACATCTAGATATGGTTTCAAACATTCAACTTCTCTCTTCTGTAGAATTATCTCAGGATATTTCTCAATGTTTTTTTGGAAATATTTTCCTGAATCCTTATTTTCACTGTGTGAAAGCAAAATTTCTGATGTTGCTAATGGGGTTGCAATCAGCCAATTCTACCTTGCATAGCTTGATGTTTGAATGCAACATATTTTTTGCTGCCTTTGCTGCACAGGCAGGACAAAAGTAAAGCATTCTCACTTTTAACGTGTGGTTAGTATTTTAACTTTCAACATTGTAAACTATGTGCCAGATTGCCCTTTTTTACCTTAGGAAAGATTGGAAGGGATAGATGAACATCCAAGGACAGTGCCTTCTGCAATTTTGTGATGGAGCCTGTTTTGACTTCATCTGTCTATGTAGCTTTTCTATTTGATCTATAAGTTTTTCGAAAGCCCTGTGCTCCTTTTTCCCATACAGTGAGATGTGGATTAACTAAGTATCTACCTTGTGCTGTGCAGTGCAGCTGTGCCTCTAACCCGGAGGCACTGTGTAACAACTCAAAGTGTGAGTTATGAGCCTAACCACCTATTTCCAACTTTGAAACATCTGCTTGTTTCATCTTTTCACCAGGTCAGATAACTGGCCAGAATGACAAGACTAAAACTAACAGCATTTGGTGCCCTGTTGCATTTAAATCTTACAAAGGTGCAGTGCTTTTACCTTACAAGTGTAATCTCATATGAGTGTAAGCTTAGTCTTCAGTGTGTTTCTTTCAGCTCATTATTTACAAAACTTTAGATCTAACCTCTATGGATCACATTCTGGAAAAGCATGATATTGTGTGTTTCAATCATGTGAACATTTTTCCAAGGGGAAAGTAAAATATCATCTTGAAATTACGGTGGGAAGTACTGATGTGCTAGAAAACATTTCAAAACACTGTCTTGCAGAGAATTTTAATAACATGGTAATGTTTATGTCAAGTGAGCTTATAGTGTTGCACTTGAATCTAATAGAGTGGACATCCATCATGCTGTAATAAAGAGAAAAACTTCTAATTAAAATAGAACATCATTTGCAGGATTAAAGTCATTTAGTGTAATTGAAAAGTGTTAATACTCTATTTTATCCTCTTCCATTGATATCACTTCAAGGGTAAAAACATTTTAAGGTTAAAATGCATCTTGTGTCTTTAATTGAATGTTATTACCTCCTGATTGTACCATGTTGAAGCTGTTTAATTGCAAACCTGGAAAATTAATTACCATATTGAGAACCAGATCCCAAGGGTTAGAAAGTCCTTTTTTGACAAATAAATGCAACATAAAAATTGATACCTACGTGGTTTGTAGTCAAACCTTGAAACATAACTCAAAGTGATTCATTATAACCATTATGTTAATCTTAATTGAGCATCATTTAAGTGTTAGCATCAGGTTAGCATTACCATCTCAATATAGAACTTGGCAGATTTTGCCATGAGACGTCAAAGAATAGGTGCGTTTCCATTTCTTCATTAAAACTGGACGATGGATTTTTGGCTGAATTAAAGCATTGTCCACTGAAAATCCTTGACTTTTCACCTTTATGTACTTGTTAAAAAGTTGTTGCCTGGATTTTCAATGCTTAATTCTGCTTTTACTCAAGCACTACAGTTTGCAGCACCGCTCTTAACACTTAGAGTAATGCTATGTAGTCACGTTAGCCCACTTACCCACTAATGGCAGAGCATTTTTAATTCTGAATCTATTTCTTCACACTATGTTTTTGAGCATAACCATCTTGAAAGGAGGGGAATTCCTGTGTAATTTCTTCTGCTGTCTTGTGACTAAAGAGCTGGTCCTTTTTGTTTGGTAGCATGTTCCCCACAGTCTAACAGCCCTTCACCAATAGAATGTGCCAGGACAGGCCATCTGTACACTTTAAACTCTCTGGATTAAATTTAGATAAATCCAGAGAAAAATCTGGATTTACACCTAAAGTGACTCTTGTTTTGCTGTTTTCAACCCAGCATGCTCAGATGAGTAAACCTGCAGCTAGTTAAATCCAGTGAGGTTGTAAAAGCATTAAAATAGTGGACTAGTTCTGTAACAGGACAAACTGCAACCTGTTAGTTACCTGATTCTTGAAAGGAAGATTCATGAGACTAATCAGCTCCTACTAAAGTGTAGAATATTCTCTGGAATATGTTACTCATGTCTCAGAAGAAAATATTCTTAATAAACGAGTCCTTGCTGAAGATAAAAAGAAGGCTAGTCTTACATTTTTAATGAAGGAGATTTGGGGTTTTTTTCTTCTTGAGTTTTAGGAGCTTGGCCCTACACTATCTTTCATTTTGTTTCCTTTTACTACTTGTGTAATAATATAGGTATTTATGCCAGGAACAGATCATTATGCAAGTTTCAAGACAGTTTAGAAAACCAGGCAACTTTTTTGAGACCCCTTTAGCCCTACAGCCTAAAATTGTTTCAGAATGTTCACACTTTTTTTTTTTTTTTTTTTTTTTTTTTTTCCCCTAGTTGAATCTGACATTTACTGAGTGGTTGTTGTATTTTGAGGAAAAATTTTGTGTGAAAAATTTCTCAGAACATTGAAATGGAAAGGGGGCAAAGGGTGAGACTCATCATATGGTAACAAGTAGTCTGTTAAGTTAATACAATTAGAAAGATACTTAGAGTGTGAGATCTCTTTCTAATGTTAAAATCAGAGAGAAATATGTGAGTTTTACTTTAAAGCAAAATTTTTTGAAATTCAAGTTTTTTGCTCACCAGTTCCTAATAATTTTGTTGTAAAACATTGAGGTCAACTACAGAAGTAGCAGATTTGCAGAAAATTCATTTAGTATCTTACTCTATACTTTGAGGTACTTCCTTTTTAGTTCATATAGATAAGCTTAAAAGTTAGTAGAGAGTCATAACATAGCAGAGGAACAGAGTCACAGTAGTGACTAAAAGCTTATCATAGCGTGGTAACAATGTTTTGAGATATTCCTGACACAACAATTGCAAATTTTATATGGCAGGCTTGTTGAGTTGATATTAAATTCAGAGCCTTTTTGTTTGGAATTTATGAATTCATTATTATTGTTTAATTTTTCTCCTCTGTTTTTGTCATATCAGGCAATGCTACCAACATTTCTACATACATTGCCTCTCTTGTCCCATCCTCTATTTACATAAAGAGCTGCTGTAGACATATTTAACTTTTTCTTTGTGAACACAACCCTCACCACTAAAACCTTTTCAGTCTTTTTCTGTATTATTGATTCATTCAATCCTTCATCATATTCAATGACTGTAACGTTCATTTTAGTTATTCTTATTGACAGTTCTCTTTTCCCCAGTCCAACCCAAAGGCAACAAAGGCAAAATCTAATCTCCCTCTTCTGTGCTAACTGGTGTCTTATCCTATATATATATATATATTATTTTTTTTTTTTCTTGACAATTTCTACATCGGATTTATGCCCTTCTTCTTCACCCTCAAGGCTCCATGCAGTTTTCCTGCTTTGGTATATCTCAGTTTGAATTTCCTTTTGCATCTCCTTTAAGCTCTGTCATCCTTTGATCATAAAGCTTCTCCTACTTTATGATCTGTTTTTTATCTTCCCAGCTTTACTTCTGTGCCATGTTCTTACTTTCTACTTTGCCCAGAACATATTCACTGCCAAACACTACCCGTTAGTTCCCTTTGCTCAATTATTTTTGCTAGTTCTATAATGTTTACTGCAGTATCATATCCCCCTGGTATGGTAGCAGCTAAGTGTATTATTAAAATTATTAATTCAGAATGATGATATATGTATAACAAGTACAGATCACTCAAGTGTGATTTTGCCTAAATTGCCAGCTAGAAAACACCATTGTGTATTATGAAAAGGCTGTTTATGATTTGAACTGCAAAGCAGGAAGAGCTAGCTCTGTATATTCATTTCAAAATCACCCACACTTAGTTTTTCTTTTGATTGATATAAAGAGATTTATATCCCTGGCCAGCAGGTCAAGGGAGGTGATCCTCCCCCTCTACTCTGCCCTGGTAAGGCCTCATCTGGAGTACTGCCTCCAGTTCTGGGCTCCCCAGTACAAAAAAGACAGGGATCTCTTGGAAAGAGTCCAGCGGAGGGCCACGAAGATGGTGAAGGGCCTGGAGCATCTCCCCTATGAAGAAAGGCTGAGTGAACTGGGTCTGTTCAGCCTTGAGAAAAGGAGACTGAGAGGGGACCTGATCCAGGTCTATAAATAGCTAAGGTGTGGGGGGCAGAATGGCGAGGCCGGACTCTTTTCAGTGGTGAGTGGAGACAGGACAAGGGGAAACGGCCAGAAACTGCAGCATAGGAAGTTCTGCACAAACATGCACAAGAACTTCTTTACAGTGAGGTGACGGAGCACTGGAACAGGCTGCCCAGGGAGGTGGTGGAGTCTCCTTCTCTGGAGATGTTCAAGACCTGCCTGGATGCCTACCTGTGTGGCCTGGTGTAGGGAACCTGCTTTGGCAGGGGGGTTGGACTCGATGATCTCTGGAGGTCCCTTCCAACCCCTACAATTCTGTGATTCTGTGATTTTAAGGAAAAAATCAACATGTCTTTAATTGATAAAAAAAAAAAAAGCGATGCTGTTGTATTTTGAACTGATGTAAGATGAATTGTCTTTGCAGAATCTGCTCTTCCCAAACCAGCCTCTCCAACCCAACAGCAGATACTCAGTATCACCAACTGGAGACCTCACTATTACCAACATTCAACGGTCTGATGCAGGCTACTACATTTGTCAAGCACTGACAGTTGCTGGAAGCATTTTAGCAAAGGCTCAGCTGGAGGTTACTGATGGTAAGCTATAGAAATTCCGTTTTTTTCTTCTGTCAGAAGTACTGTAAAAGTTGTGTAAAAAAAAAAAAAAAAGCAGAGAGGTCACTTAATTCATAAAAATAAACAGGTGAATTTCTACAAAACATACTGCAAGAATCTCTGCGCAGTTCTCTACAGCATCAAAAATAGACTGACATGTAGTTTGCATTTTGCACACAATTCTTAATAGTCCAAACAAAGGACAGAGCAACTTAGAATAGGGTTGGGAAGAAGGGAAGCTGCTCAGTTCTCTAGAGCTAAAGTAGGTCTGCAAAAAGATTATGAAGAATTAATAGTTTTATGACTAAAATAATGGGCTGGGGTGCAGAAATAAACAAGTCTAAGTACCTGTCTTGGTCCCAGCCTTCAGCATTATGTTAGGCAACTTTTTTGGAAATATTCTTAGCTCAATTTAAATGAACACAGTTGCCTTGAATTTACTGGAGCACTGTTAAAATATAACAGCTATGTACTGTAGCCTTTTAGTTTACATCTGAAAAAGGCACAAAGGTACTTTACTTCCTCAGTGCTGTGTTCTAACAATTTTTCAGTACAGTTAGATGTGTAAAGAGTTATTTAAATACACTGGCAGAGTAGAGTTGGCAAGAAAGGAAAAGTGCTGCATGATCTGATGATGCTTTCACTTTCAGAATTTTGGGCTTGAATCTTATCATGCCTTGAAGTTTACCTTAGTCTGTGTACAAACATCAACCCTTTACATGCATAAGAAATCCTGTTGATACCCCTCTTCATCTTATTGTGGCTAGAAGGCAGTTTACATCCTTTAATGTTAACAGCAAGAGAATTCCTCTAACGCTAGGAGACCATGGCATTCCCTTGCATTATTATTCCTTATCTTAACGGAATCATTAAATTTCTCCTGACAGACTTTGATGAATTTTTGCCATTAAAACTGTTGTTATATGCAGAGGTCTACTTTTATAGCTCCCTTAGAGACCTGCCTGCACCATGAAAGTTTGAAAAGATGTCTAATTCTGAATAATCTGACTTTTCATAAGAGCATATTCATCACAAATGACAGGTAGAGAGGTTCAGGCACATGTTATAGAGGTCTGAGCATTAATTTGATGCCTTTTCTTTGTTTTCCAAAAGCTGTCTATATTTTTATGACAAGGGGAGATAATTTCTGCCTTATCCTTGCATCTTTACAAGCATATTGCTTTTTGCTAAAGCAGTTTCTGGAGACTAAAGGCTAACCTTCGCTCTGCAATCTCTTTAAGTCCTTTCTGTCATGATCTATGACAAAATGATGCATTTTCATTCAATTCAAATTTAAATGTAGATTAAAAGGTCATTTAAAATTAATGGAAAGGCAGTATTTTTTAATATCTGTCCATAGTACTGCCTGATTCAGTGCCGTGAGTGTGATTGGAATAAATAGAACACGCAAACATTGGCTAGAAGGGCACTGAGCTGTTAATGGTTGCACCTGCTGATGCTGTACAGATTTACTGCAACATGGGCCGAGAGGATCAAATCAGGTTCAAGGATATCAGTGATGAAAATTCTTCCTTTTGACAGCCAAAACCTGTGGTCCATCTTTATCTATTTCTTGTATGAGATAAAAAAAAGAAATCCTGCCTGACCTGTTTGGAATTTTTATTAGTTTACTTAAAAAGTTAACAGAAAGCTCATAATGTGTCCATGCTAGAATGCAAGCTTAATCATAATTAGTTCTGATTTAATATGACATGCTTTCTCCTTTGCTGAGCTCTGCTGCTGAAGGAATACAAGGCCTGTGTTCTTGAAATGCTTCCCAGAACTTACTGTCAGTGTGATCATTACAAAACAATGGAGGGTTGCTTTATAGAAATACCATTTCATCCTTGAGTCAAAGGGCAGGTAAGGTCAGGAGAAAAGTGCCAAAAAAATATTGTGAAACTGAAATTATATACATGAATGTACCATTAGATCACAGATATTTTTTAATTGGTTTCAGCTAGGATGTTAACCATAAATGTCTAACTAATCTGTTTTAGTTGATGTTGAGCAGAAGTTATGGAAGCTAGAGATCTTTATCAGAAGGGAAATCTATTGATTTTAAAAATATGATAAAAGATAAATGCTGTACATGCTAGCTATACACTTAAGCATTAGTGTCCCAGTTTTTGGCTGGGGATTCCAGTTTTACTTCATAGCCCAGAATTTTTCTGTTTGGGTAATGATTTAATAATAGTGGCGAGCCATCTTTTTCATTTTGAACACATTTTTGTTTGATCCAGGGTAATTTAGATCCAATTGAAGTTCCAATACAGAATGAAAACATATGTCATGTGCAGAAAAACAAGTGCTTAATTATACCATATATAGCAGTGTTTCAGTTGTTACATTTTTGCACTTACAAGTCTTTACTGGAAATATTTTTAACTCAAGTGTTCACATGAGAAGAGATTACTAGCTGTGATGAAATATGCTGAGTTGAGTGATAATTTTGCTGATTATGGACGGTGCTAAGAGCCCATAGTGTATTTGAAATTCAAATCTTATATTGTCTTGAAAGGCTATAATACGATCTACTGTCTAATGCACATCTGGAAAAGCAATATCAAATCTTAGCATTCCTTTCAAACTCAAGAAGCGAATATGCAGATTGGAATCTTGAAATGACATATCATGCAAATAAAGCAAGCGCTTCTCTCGAACTATGTGTGTATTCATGATAAGAATAAAGTGTATTTTTAATTTATTCCATAGATTTATCCGCCATGCCCAGAATATTTTGAAGAAAGTTCCAGTATATGCTTACCTATCTTTATTTAAATTTACATTATTTATATATATTAATAGAAAATTTGACAACTGTTTGCTCAGCTGTAGGGTGGGCCTACAGTTTACCCAACAGCTGCTGTTTGGAATGAGGACTGGATAGAGGATCAAGCTTAACATCCTGCAGTAGATTTCTCTGACAACATAAGAGTGAAATGTTTTAGGATGCTCAACAATGATTTAGAAAAGAAATTTAAGCCATTTTTCCCAGCCTGCAATGCAATTTTTAAACTGTGGATCTATTGAATATGCTGGGGTATGTCTCTTAAAAGAAAATAGGAATAAGTAATTGATATCACTCACAGTTTAGCCACCTGCAAATCTGTCCACCTTCATTCCTATCTCTGATTAAAGTATTTTATAGCAACTGTGACATTTCCAAATGTCTTCTTGTGAAGCTTCTGAAAAAAAAAAAAAAAAAAAAAAAAAAAAAAGGTGGAGGAAGGAATGGTAGGAATGGTCTCTGTTTTCCCTTTTTGCTTTTTGATGCATGAAAAAAGCTTAATGTGAGCCAGCAGTGTGGTCTTACAGATTGGAAAGCAATCTGTATCCCGGGCTCCATCAGAAGAGGGATGGCCAGCAGAGACAGGGAGGTGATTGTCCCTCTCTACTCTGCCCTTGTAAGACCCCATCTGGAGTACTGCATCCAGGTCTGGAGTCCCCAAGTACAAGAAAGACAGAGAGCTGTTGGAGAGGGTCCAGAGGAGGGCCACAAAGATCATCAGACAGCTGGATCACCTTCCCTACGAAGACGGGCTGAGGGAGCTGGGCTTGTTCAGCTTGGAGAAAAGAAAGCTGTGGGGTGACCTCATTGCAGCCTTCCAGTACCTAAAGGGAGCCTATAAACAGGAGGGGAGTCAACTCTTTAAAAGGGTACATAACAGCTGGACAAGGGAAGATGGTTTTAAGTTGAGAGAGGGAAGATTTAGGTTGTATGTCAGGGGGAAGTTCTTTACTATGAGAGTGGTGAAGTGCTGGAACAGGCTGCCGAGAGAGGTTATGGATGCCCCGTTCCTGGAGGTGTTCAAGGCCAGGTCAGATGGGACCCTGGGTAGCCTGGTCTAGCATCAAATGGGGAGGTTGGTGGCCATGCATGCAGCAGGGGGATTGGAACTTGATGATCCTGGAGGTCCTTTCCAACCCAAGCCATTCTATGATTCTATAATTCCCACCTGTCAGGAGAGCACTCTGCCCTAACATAGTAGTGTACATCATAAGAATTCTGTGAGTTGTGTCTCATTTTCCTTTGTCATTCTCTGTTTTTAATTTCATTTTGTAATTTGACCAAATTCCACCTAAATTTGCACATAATTTTAGTTGATCCAAATTGCATTTATAGGGAATACACTGTTTATTAGCAGTAACATTTGCTCTCGTACTCTGCTCAAAATTTAAGCTCCATTTTATCAAAAAAGCGATCTGGTATTTTTTAAATTGCCAGAACATGTGAATATATGGCTGCTGGAAGATAGTTTCAAAATGGTTTTTTGTTGTTGTTCTTTGTTATTGTTTTTGAATGAAATTAATTTTGAGGTTACTTCAAGTTTTTTTTGCAAATATGATTTTGTCATACTAAATGTTTTGTGAAATGGATACAAATGTTTCATAGCAGGAGAAAAAAAAAAGTAAAATAAAAAAATCAAAAGTGTAAAAGAAACTAAAAAAAATCCTACCCTTTTGTGAAGATTTTTTGTTATATTTTTGTTCTTAAGGATGCTTATTACAATATCTTTCTAAACCTCTGAGTTCTGTGTCCTTACTTTGGGTGACACCTATGTAGTAGGAATGCAAGCACATATACACACATTTTAGAGAAGATTTACAAGTCAGACTTGTGAAGACAATATAGTCATTCACAGATCAGTGGAAACCCTAAGTGTTCATTTAACCTTTAGCCTTAGTGTCATGGAAACCTGTAGTGGTCTTTCACCCATAACACCCTTGAAAATGAAGATTCCTTCTGGCCAGGGGACTTTCAATTACATTATTGATCAAAGCTATTTAAAAGATTATGAGCTCCTCATTTGAGCTGCAAATAATAATAATAACAACAACAATAATAATAATAATAATAATTGCATGCCAAAGAACAATATCTGAAATGCTGTAGGTTTTGAAAATACTTACGTTGCTACATAGATGAAAGGCAATTAGATGCAGGAAGTAACAATTGAAAAGTTAGCAAAATAAGGTGTTTTTTTCCTTAATTTTTTTACTAGCTGGAAAAGTGGGAGTTGCTGTACATTGAATTTAAATTTTAGTTTGAATTCGCTGCCAGCATAGCTAGAGCTTGAGTGCATATAAACTGAGATGGACTTTTGTTTCACTAAGTAACCGAACTGTGTGATCATAAGGAACCTTAATGAGATCAAACTTGGATATCAAGATGAAAATGCATTGCATTCTATCTTTTCATTTCCTATCTCTAATGTCAGCTGGTAATATTTTAGAATTTTCAAAATAGCTTCCAAGTTCTTGGGCTAATAAAAATCTGAATTGACATTGGATTTTTTTGTTTAAATTCCAACTCACACTCCAAGTCTTGCTAATTTCTATAATTCAATCCATTGTATCTTTTGTTTTATAATCAATTATTATAATTACAAAATGTGCCATCAACATAATCTTAACATTTCCTGTTTATTAAACAGTATAACAAAAATACTTTGAATCTACTGAAGGTTCTAGAGGTTTGCATCTCAAACAGCTCGAATACAATAGAAAGCATATTTCTTCAAATAGGTTATTTTCACTTCATTGTTAGAGTAGGACATTGTGTGTGGAATATAATGATCCAGATTCTCAGAATAAAAGATTAAAATTCAATTGACACTAGTGGAAGCAGTCTGATTTTTACACCATCTAGGAGCTAATCTGGTCTATTACGATATTTAATGTCATACTTAGTACTGTGAGATTGTTCAAAGATTACAAAAGCAGCAATGTAGCAAGTAAATATATAAAAATTGGATGCTGGATTCTCTTGTACAGATTTTATAACATTTTTTACTTTTACAATTCAAACACTTCACATTCATTTTGTGTAAATACATTATTTATTAACATGGAGTTATACTTTGTTTATCAGTTGACTGTGAGAATACAACATAATTGTACATAAACAGCATAATAATTTATGAAAAATTATTCTTTCAAGAAAAGCGAACGTGAGCATTTTACCTCATCTTTAAGATATCCCACTGACCATGGAATGAGGCTTGTATGCAGTCATGCACTAATTCACTAGTTAGAGAATTCCTTATGGAGCATTTCAAGCATGCAAATGTAAATTGTTAGGAAAAAAATAACAGAGTTCATTGCTTTAAAAGGTGACGAGATGAACTGATAAGCACTCTGTTAAATGGCTTGATTAAGTCTGAAATATTTTCCACTGGAAAGAGTCATCATTTAAGTCGCACTAAATGTGTCTAATGCTCTTAGGTATTTTCGCTATGGACTACTCACAAGTTGTGAATGAATGAGGAATATGGTTGGTACCTGTGCTAGAATTCATACAGTGTTTCACTTTGAACTTGGACAGATTTTCTCTTGTAGACCTTAAATGTGATAAGTCATTAAAAACGTTTTGATCTGAGATTTAATCCTGTGCTTTTTCAAACATGTAATGTAAGTGCTTTCCTAAATTGAATGAAATAAGAAATGCAGCATAGTTCTTTTCTAAGTCTTTATTGTCACTGTGTCTTAATCAAATGGATCTGAGGATCTTTGCTGGCAGACTTTTATATATGTAAGTGTTGTCTTACAGTAGCAAAATGAGCCCATACAAAAACTGTTTTCAAATATACCGAACAAATATCAAAATGTATCTGTGAGTCTTGCAAAAATAATGTTCATAGCCCTGTTGAGGCTAACATAAACCAATCTGTTGAAAGTGGTACAAGATCAAGCAAAGGACTAAATGTAGCACAGCACTGTCAAAGTCACGAATGCCAATATATGTGTCGTTGTTCAGTCTTGACAGATAGACCTCCACCCATCATCCTCCAGGGGCCTGTCAATCAGACATTGGCAGTGGATGGGACAGCTCTGCTGAAGTGCAAGGCTACTGGTGACCCGCTTCCTGTTATCAGTTGGTTAAAAGAAGGCTTCACTTTTCTGGGCAGAGACCCTCGAACTTCCATACAGGATCAGGGAACCCTTCAGATTAAAACTCTGCGGGTGAGTAACAATAACAAAGCAAATGCTACAATATGTGGCTAATATGAAGCTGGTAGTGCGCCTTAGGCAGCTCTACTATCTTGCTGTCTTCTGACTTCAAAGTCAACTTAGTTGTCTCCTTTACCATGCAACATTTACCAAGGACAAATCTTATTATTTTGTACTTTGTCACTGTGGTAGTAAAGGGAAAAAAGAAGAGCCAACTTAACAACATATACTACTACTAGAAATCCTTTGAAAATATAATTATTTATGCGGTTGATACGGTGGAAGGAAGGGATGCCATTCAGAGGGACCTCGACAGGCTGGAGGGCTGGGCTCGGGTGAACCTGATGAGGTTCAACACGGCAAAGTGCAAGGTTTTGCATTTGGGCCGGAAGAACCCCAGGCACCTGTACAGGCTGGGAGGAGCGGTCCTTGAGAGCAGCTCGGCAGAGAAGGACCTGGGGGTCCTGATGGACGAGAGACTGAATATGAGCCAGCAGTGCGCTCTGGCAGCTCAAAAGGCAAATGGGATCCTGGGCTCCATCAGGAGAGGGGTGGCCAGCAGGGACAGGGAGGTGATTGTCCCTCTCTACTCGGCTCTTGTGAGGCCCCACCTGGAGTACTGTGTCCAGGTGTGGAGCCCTCAGTACAAGAAAGACATTGAGATTTTGGAAAGGGTCCAGAGGAGGGCGACTAAGATGATCAGGGGGCTGGAGCACCTCCCCTATGAGGACAGGCTGAGGGAGTTGGGCTTGTTCAGCCTGGAGAAGAGAAGGCTGAGGGGTGACCTCATTGCAGCCTATCAATACCTGAAGGGAACCTACACCCAGGAGGGGAGTAAACTGTTCAGAAGGGCTGATAACAGCAGGACTAGGGGAAATGGTTTTAAGTTGAAGGAGGGAAGATTTAGGTTGGATGTTAGGGGGAAGTTCTTTACTAGGAGAGTGGTTAGGCCCTGGAACGGGCTGCCCAGGGAGGTTGTGGATGCCCCGTCCTTGGACGTGTTTAAGGCCAGGTTGGACGGGGTCCTGGGCAACCTGATCTGAATGTCTATGTTTGGTGGCCCTGCTGGGCAGGGGGGTTGGAACTACATGATCCTTGGGGTCCCTTCCAACCCGGGTGATTCTGTGATTCTGTGATTCTGTGATTTATGTTGCAATAAAGCATGAGTGGCAGGTGGGTAGACATGTAAGATGACAGGACCTGGTTATCTTTCAGATAGTCTTACCCTGAAGCCATTGGTCTTTTGATTCTATTAAAAGTTAGTCATTCATTTTCAACACCTGAACATTATTTCCAGGGAGCCAGTGTGCTAGCAAGGGAGTCCATCAAGACTTTTGCCATGCTCTTTCTCCATCATTGAGTCTTGGCAGTCTTGAGTTGCGCTGATGAATTCTGATGTTATGTTAGCTGCAGATATTTCATAAGGCTATGGATGGGAGATGACAATTCATGCTGTAACATACGTGCAGTCATATGCAGAAGAATTTCTGTTCAAAATGAAGTGCCTATCAAAATATTTACATTTTGATACATATGATAATATTATACTTTGAAATCTTGCAGTATTCAGGATAGCATAACACCAGACTTTGTTGACAAACACTGTATCACTAATCTTTCTTTGGGTTTTTATTTTTTTACCTGTTTAAATAGATGTTGCACTTTTCTGTGTGTATGTGAAGAAGCGTATGTCTAGAAAAAGACTAAGATAATGTCCTTACTTGTTAAGAACTTACAGACAATTTCAGCAGCCTTTTAATTTAATCAACATAAATTTCTGAACATGGATTTGTCATCCAAAAATTTTCCATAAATGTAGCTGTTAGGGACAAGGTAACCAGCAGTTTTGTTTTCTGGTGCCATCTCATCAGTGATTGTAGATGAATTGTTAACCTCCTTGGAACAAAATGGAATTTATTAAAAAATTTATACTAGCTTTCCTTGAGTAAACAATTTATCCTTCCTCCCTGGGCTGAAGGCAGGTTTAGGCCATGAAGGTTAATGCATTTTTCCTGTAGAGATGGATTAAAGAGTGCGCTTGAATTCTCCAGATTCCCCAGTAGTGTTAGAAAACAGCAATTAAAGGTGGAAGCTTAGTGATTTCAAACAAATTTTCAGGCATCGATGATGGGCTGCTGTGGAGTGTCCATGAGGCAGAAGCTCCTGGGATACCTGTCTGCATGCAGCTACACAAATAACAAAATAGGGTCTGAATCGTGCCAGCGCATTTATTTTGCTGATAGATTCACAGTGTCTGTAAACGAAATGAAAAAAATTGCTTGCAAGGATAAAAGGAAACAATATTAACAGTGAGTGTGGTTTTGAAAGACATGAAGCTTTTATTGATCCATAAGTGGCTCATTCACTGGTAACTGATTTTCCTTAAAGGCTCAGAAGGGCACTTCTTGTAAACGCCTTGATAACAGTGATGTACACTGCTCAAGCCAAACTTACCAGCCAAAACTACACAATTCTATTAAAAAAACCAATTTTCTCCTGTAGGTTGCAATTTTTGTGAATTAAATATAGATATAAATCAGGAGTGTTTAACTTTTCTTTCAGATGTACTACAGCAAGAACTGTCAACACTTCCTAAGGACAAAAAAATCCCCCATATATGCCCAAGAATAGCTCAAGTACATTTACATGCCTATGTTAAGAATAACATTTATCACCTTCATCCTCAAGCCTTAGTCCTCACTTATCTCCTCCCCTCACAATTAATAACCATTATCAATTGATATTGATAATCAATGTGAAATAGAGATATGGGTAAAGATGAGCCTCTACTATTTAAGCCTCTGAGACTATCCTCTTCTGCCATGTAACTAATCTCTTTATGAATGTAAATCAAATTATTCAATAGTCTGCAGCAATCATAGTGAACCAAGAGCAACAATCGTTAATGTAAACCCAGAGATTTTTATAATGAGTCAATCATCCAGTTACCCTGGAGGATAACTAGAAACCTGCATACGTCACTCACTCAGTACCATTTTAGACAGGTCAAGACTAGTGAAAATCTTCCTTCTGATATGTAAAAATGTACTATGCCAGATTTAAATGTCTGCTTTAACTAAGGAAGAAAACTATTATGCTGAATAGCAACACTTTTCCATTGACCTTCCCTGTTGTTTTTTTTTTCTCCACTACAGCACCAAAAAAAAGTATAAATAATTGAATTATCAATAGAATATGTCTGTATCTAATCTGTCTGCAGTCTGGAAGTTAGGTAATTCACCATACTTCCAGCTTGCTTTGTATGTTGAATTTGCCTTCTGCAAGTTAGTCTGTTGTGTATACCACATAGTTCATTGAATATGCTATACACCATCTGTCATGGTGGGACACAAATGAAGTTGAGAACCACAGCATCCTCAATTATCACATAATGAAGAATCATAGATTTCACAAAAACTCAGAAGCAAAACAGAATACAGTACTTCAGAATGCTATAAGGCTCCCTCCTCCAGAAATCTGCCTCTTTTCAAGAGTTTTTCTCATTTAGTTAGCAGGTCCAGAGGAGGGCCACAAAGGTGATCAGAGGGCTAGAACACTCATCAATGAGGACATGCTGAGAGAGTTGAGGCTCTTCAGCCTGGAAAAGGAAAGGCTCCTTGAGGACGTTATGACGGCCTTCCAATACCAGAAGGGGGCCTGCAGGAAAGCTGGGGAGGGCCTTTTTATAAGGGCACGTAGTGATAGGATGAGGGGAAATGTCTTTAAACTGGAAGAGCATAGATTTAGACTAGATATTAGGAACATTCTTTACTGTGAGGGTTTTGAGATGCTGAAACAGATTGCCCAGTGAGGTTGTGGGTGCCCCCTCCCTGGAAGCATTCAAGGCTAGGCTGAATGGGGCTGTTAGCAACCTTGTCTAATGGGAGATGTCCCTTCCTATAGCAGGGAGGTTGGAACTAGATTGACCTTAAAGGTGCTTTCCAACCCAAACCATTCTATTATTCTATGATCTCTGTATTTTGAATCTCTGAGGCACTGACAGAGGAGTTTAAGTATTCCTTATATTTTGTGGCAGAATTCAAGTTATGCTTTTTTTGATAAACTGTCATTAACTGGTTGCTTTCTTCCCCTAAGAATGGCATAGTCCCAATCTATTGGAAGAAAATGCAAACAAAATTCTAACGGTACATAATTAAAAATCAATTAAATTATGTGTAAACAATAATCTAAGGAACATCTCACTAATTTGTTTTTACACTCTTTTCAAAGAGTTGTGTATGACCATTTCTTATAGTTCCAACCTGTGTTTTCCAGATCACAAATTATAATCCCTTAAAGTCCCATAAACCTTCTTGAATGTGGCCCTACTCTCATTAAATCAACTGATGGTGAATGTAATTCTTCTCCTTTGTCACTAGACTCAGCATTTTCCCTCTTCTTCAATCTCCAGATTACCATTCTTTATACATAGTGGTAGGACAACTCTTCTGGATGTTCTGTACTTTGCAAAGTCACAGTTTTCCATCCTCTTCTGTTGTCTTCTCTAATTCTTATCATATAAATCTTTACTTTAAATCAAAGTAAGGAATAGTAAAATACCTGGCAAATTTTCCAGTAAAACAACAGTTTATAAGAACAATAATGAGATTAATATTGATGGGATAATTTAAAAATCTTTCCAAAAATAAATTTGGACTATATGAACTGACATAGGAATCACAATTTAGAGTGTTTAGCTACCAAACTGCTTTGCAAGACTGAAATAAAATTTCATGTGCTACAGAAGAAAGGTAAGCATGGTGTATGATCTGGTTTAACAGTACCGTTTTAAAATTGCTTGGAGGACTGTGTGTAGAGATAACCCTTGTTAAGATCTTAGAAACAATGTACATATGTGTTGATGACTTGTATAAATATGGCTTCATCTGTCATAAAACCATAAGATGATGGAATAGCCTTCCTGAGACTATTCCACTTCCTGAGAGTATCTCTCTGTCATCTTGGAATAATGAACTGTGAGCTTTCATCCTCTAAGGAAAAATTATTGTTGTATTGTTTGCTGATTTCAACTGGATTTCTTAACAATAAAAAGATTGACACTGTCTGAAACGTTTTTTCTGTAGCATTTACATACTTCACTGATACAATTAAGAATATGAAAATTAAAATTAGAAAAGTATTAAAAACAAATAATCCTCTAAATAGTCCTCTAAAAGTAAGCCACCATGAAATTATTATTTTTAAATATCTGGTGCCTTCTAGGCTGTTGTAAAGTGTAAAATAAGTCTTTCTTTTCAATAAATATATAGGAAAAAAAATTAGAATAAATTCTGTCATATGGTTCCGAAAGGTAAAACTTGCTTTACATGTTCTTAATGTCTAGCTGTCTGATACTGGAACTTACACTTGTGTTGCAACAAGTTCAAGTGGGGAAACATCATGGAGTGCTGTTCTGGATGTGACAGGTAAGCAATATGCAGAGGCCATTTTCAGATAGCACAAAATGAAAGTATAGTGTAAAATAAAGCCTTATGAGTCAAATAATGTCTTCTAGAAATGCTAGGTGTGAAATAGAGAAGGTTTTAAGTGGGAAGGATTTGTTTCTTCACATATCTCAGACTTCATTGCTACCACTGGAATTGATCTGCATATAGCAATTTTCTCAGACTTCTAGTAGCTGATGTTCTGACATTTTATGTAAATATGAACAAAACATGTTTTTTCTGTTACTTCTTTTTTCTTTTTTTTTTATATAAAGTTTTGAGTTTTGTGGGATTTTTTTCTATAATGTGAATGTAAAGAATGATCGTTCTTTCTAAAAAAATATACCTGATAATGCAATAGTTGACTTAATTCTTAACAAATTAAAAGCACAGATTTAGCTGATTATGCAGATATTTGGCATGCTTTTCCTTTTAACCTTCTACTTTGGTCAAACTATCTAATTGACAACAAAAAGTAATTATTTTACATTTGCTCCTTGCAGAGTTGGGTGGAGCAACAGTTAGTAAAAGTTATGACATAAATGACCTTCCTGGGCCACCATCCAAACCTCAGGTCACTGATGTAACTAAGAACAGTGTCACCCTGTCCTGGCAACCAGGGACCCCTGGAAGCCTACCAGCTAGTGCATATATCATTGAAGCTTTTAGGTATGTGAATTATTCTACTTTAATTTCCTTCCTATCTAATTTTGCTTAAATCCTAGTACCAGCTGTTCTGGTATTGTGGTGTTCCTCTGGTTTCTACATTTATCACTAAAAGTTCAGTGAAAGATTTAGCTCCAATGGCAGGCATTGATTCTTACTTTTTAAGTGTTTTGTTTTGTTTTTTAATATGTCATCACATTTTCTTAAGTTGTGAAGTAGTGAAGCATTTAACTTTTTCTTCAGGTCAGTAGAAACATAAATGGACAATGTACTCACTATTTGTTACTATTTTCTTAGTTCTAATGATCACCCTGGGAATGCTGTATTTCAAAAAATTTGGGCTTGAGTTACTTAGACTGTTGTAATACAAACAAACTGAAAACCAATGGACAACCTTCAAATCACTCTGTGTTTTTCTTCTGTTCTTGTTAAAACAGCACCATTAAATAGTTAAAGAACTTTAAAATTCTGCATTTAACTGTTTTAGATGGAATAAAACTTTTAACTGAAAAGGCTGGTGTTCATAATTCAGGATTTCATCATGCAGCCTGAAGTTGAAGAGGATCCAGCTATTCTATTCCACACAGCAGCACTTAATGCGTTGTAGGAAAGAACTCCTGGACCCCAATTCAGCAAGTTTGTTTAAGCATGAGTTGTATCCCTCATGTGTATTACAAGAATAGTATTCTGCATATGAGTGTGCACTTTCTTACATGCTTTTCTGCATCAACATATTCAAAAAATGACCAATAATAATAGTTTATCTTTTAATTAATATTCTAGCAGGAATTTATCAAATTATATGCTTACAAATTTAAAACATTATAGTGATAATGTTTTATCTGCATGCGTTAATATACAAAATCCAATTATTGTGGATTGCTGATTGCTGATTTTGTTCTGGGACTTGTACTTTTCTTAATGCATTAAATGAATGAAACAATAGAAACAAAATGGAAATAGCAGTTTCTTTTTTTTTTTTCCTTTAAGATGTTACATTTTTTGGTCAATTCTGTACAAAAAAGCAGAATAAAGTCAAATTTTGTCTGTAAACTTTTGTGATATTTCACCTTGTATAAGCTTTTATGGCATGCCATCAAGAAGTTTTACAGGAGCCAAGGATTTTTATTAAAAGCAGTTTTAACAATTACAGCTGAAATGTCTTCATATGGTGGATTGTAATCTAACTATATTACCATTCAAATGAAAATGTAGTGACATAAAGAATATTCATATAGTTTTCTTAATTTACAAGCTTTTTTTCAGAAAATTCTTTGTTAACTTTGAGTATGAATGTAGTGCAAGCATTTTTTTTTCTAATGACAGCTGTTGACATAATTTACTTAACAACATAGAAATTTATTCTTTTAACATCTTTTTCTTTTCTAAGGTTTATGTTTAAGATTGGCCTATTTATCATTCAAATTTCCTTTGCTGCTTTCCACACTTTCCTTTTGCAGGTGTTTGCTAGAGTGATAGAAAAAGCTTTTGCTTTTAGTGAAAGGAGAAATACTTTTGAAAGCTCTGTCATTTTTTTAATGTTTTTTGTTAACTAAAACTGTAAAATCTTATTTTTGTCTTGTTCTTACTATTTTTTTTTTCCCTGCAGATTCCCTTTTATTTCCTTGTTTTCTTATGTGTTAGTCTATAATCTTCAACATTTTCTTATTGCAGTCAATCTGTGAGCAACAGTTGGCAAACAGTGGCTAACCACGTGAAGACCACTCTCTACACTGTGAGAGGACTGCGTCCCAATACAATCTACCTGTTTATGGTGAGAGCTATCAATTCACAAGGTCTGAGTGATCCCAGCCCTATGTCAGATCCTGTCCGAACACAAGGTAAGAGTAATTATTATGGCCTACATGCTTGAGCTAAAATTAAAAAAAAAAAGAAACTGAAAATTGACCATTAGGTTTGTCCATTTTATGTTATCACTCTGACTGAAGGAATCTTGAATACAACTTAACTAATAAATGGAGTCCAATGATTGCTTCATTAATCTGGAATTTAGGAGAAAGCTAAGGATAGTTGAGCTCTCCAGTGCCTTGGTATATTTTTAATTTGCAGGTTGTAGATTGTTGGTATGCTTCTTGATGGCACTCAAACTTTTCTGAACATGCCCCCTTCTGTTGTATCCTTACTTTCTATTTTCAATCCTTAATTCATCTCCATTATCTAGCAGAGATACACTGTCATAATAAGGACAAAAACCAGACAGGCAAAACACCTTATTTCGCATTAGTATTAATACTAATTAATACATAAAGAAATGCAAAAAATGTCCATAGGATATTGGTAAATCTACTCCAAAATTTGTGCAGGTTATTCATATAAATTAAGGCATCTGTATGATGGAGAGTATTTCAAAGCTGTTCTGAGAAATGTATAGACTTTCAACTTATATCAACATTTCTAAATTTTTACATTCATAATTCACTGCATAATAAACCCAGAGGGAAGACTGAAAGGAAATCCCTTATTTGTAGGCTACTGATATAATTGATAGCTGTGATCCTCCATGTCTTGTTTCAGGACTGTTTGATGACTATAAAATCTGCTCATGTTATACTCTGCTCTAACTGTGTACAGCTGCCACAAACAAATTTCACTTCACAGCATGTTTTTTTTTTGGCTTTAAGAACATATTGCTTCAGTACTTCATTCAAGAATGTACTTTTGCATTAAGCATATTGAGGTACAGGAATTAATCATCTTTTTTAAATCATGATTTCTTCATTTTCAAAGTAATAGCTCCTCTCACAGTTAATTTACATTGAGATTATCTATCCCTGTTTATGGAAGTTAGAAAACTGCGTGGGAGTGCCTGTGCATCCTGGATCAGTCTCCAGCATGTGTAATTGGAACCATGTTCTTTGTAGGTTCTGAATGGAAAAAAGGAAATGAACAGGGTGGTATTGCTTTATCACATAGCCACTAGATCCAGCCTCTCATTCCAGTCTATTCCTGAATAAATCTGTCCTTAATATATTATTATATATCCTCCTATATATATATAATATTATATATATATATATATATAATAATATATCCTATAATATATTATAATATATCCTCTTCAAAATATTGATAGCAATAATAAATATAAATCATTATTGTAAAAGGAGAAAGAGCCGTTTTTTGAAAAGCTGAAGGAATAAGTTGAGGAGGGATTTCATGGCTTCACTGTCCATTGAGTATTGCATCTTTTCTTCTTTCTTACTCTCCTGTTGTGATAAGAAGACTTATGTTTTTCTTTGCACCAGCCTTTAGTCTGAATAACTTATCACTTAGTTAAAAATACAACTTTATTTGGCATTTGAATGTCAAGTGAAGACTTTTTATCTGACATACTGACAAGCAATTTGATTTCAGTAAAAACACGTCTTTTAATTAGCTACAGCATGTGTTGCAGCTTCCATTTCCAGAAGCTGTTTAGCAGTCAAGCACACTGAAACATGTACAGGATTTATAGCTTCTTTGGTAACCTCCAGTTTAATGAAATTAAATCATAAAATCAATTGAAAATTAGCATAATGTTTTGATGTGATTTCTAATTATGCCTGAATTCAATTCGGGCTGACAGAGGAAGCTGACACATGCAGGAAAGCCTGTTCACAGCGACCACTGAAGAAGAGAGAAGCAGCTATAACCATACTATATAATACTAATTTGCAACAGGTGTCTTTTGCAGCTTTAATATCTGGCATTTTATTTCCTGGTAATAAGCATAGCAAAAGGCAAGTAGTATAATTTTATGCATATTTTCATCAGTGAACTACAAGTTGACAATAAGGGGCTTTCAAAAGGCTTACCTTGAATGACTTCTGTCAAATGAGGACAGAGAAATCAGTAATTGCTGTAGGAAAAGATTTGACTTATTGGTTGGATTATTAGCAGACGAGATCATATATTAAAAAGCACTTCAAGGAAACTATGTAAAATCATGTATGAAACTATGTATAATCATATCCTTGCAATTTAAATTACTATCTACTAGTAGAAAGTTCACTGGAAGCTGTAAAAGTGAACTTAGAGAAAATATACCACCAATTTAATTTTAGAGATCTCTTAATTTTGATTAGGGTATCTTTTTTGAGCTGCTTTTCCATGAGTCATGATTTTCTTATGCCGACATTTGCTTATGGGTAGGTCAACTGCTTTCCCACTAGGAGTCTCTAGTAATGTGAATATTTCATTCCATGACATTGCACCATGACCATCATGTATATATGTGTTTCCAAATGTACATATGAATAAACAGAATTTTACATGTACATCTTACATTAATTTCTTACTGATATTAATCCATGTTATTCCCTTGAGTTCTACATACTTCTTTCTATGATAAAATATATTTCATAAAGAAACACTATGTAGAAATGACTTTTTCACTAAGGGAATGTAAGTATTTGGCCAGTTGTATACTACAGCATAATTTAACTTAAAATATAGGCACTGATAGATATATGTAAATTTTTATCAAGGATCACAGATTCTATGAATAGTAGTGTAAATGAATGTTCTGCAAACCAGTCTGAGTTGCTGTCTTAGAACTGGTTTATTGAATCTCTCTATTTGTGATTTTGAATAGACATGATTTGCTAGATAAGCTCCTTCAATCTTGTTGACAACTATTTTTTGTTTATATTCCTTTTGGAGACCCATGGAACCATCTGCATTTGAGTATCAGTAGAAGCATGTGTTTCTATTGTTTATTGGTAGCTCTGAACCCATAAAATCCAGGATTATGAAGTTGAGGTATTGATTACCAGAATCAAGCTTATTTCAAAATCTGAAGGCCTGTGATTCAGATATTGTTGTCATATTTATGTGCTTAAGTTCTAAAAGCATTATTATTTCTTCTCAATAATATTTAGATTAAAAAGAAAGAAAAAGTCAAATACAACATACACACATACCCTAAGACCATCAAAGGAGAAAAAGAGGACTTTTAAGTGTGTTTTTTCTTCTCTGAGTACATTTGATTGATCCAAAAAGACGGAAAGTGGTTTTGGCTAATGAGTCCCATGAGAAAACCAAGCAGAATTCACAAATGTGTAGGCAAGCCTGGCTATAATGTATCAGACTTTTTAGAATAAAATCTGTGCTTGTATCTTTCTGGACAAATTAACAACAAATTGAAACAGAAATAATCAATACATGTATATCTACTTAGGAATATCTATTTACAGATGGACAAGTAGTATGAACAATGACAGGAGTGGCACTGTAAGATCTTTGAAGGAGCCACTGAATGCGTCCAAACTTCATTGTCTCCTAGAAATTACCTTTATCTCTGTCTGGAGTAAAGGGAAGGGAGATGCAGGGAAGTATTGGCTAATGAACAATTTTAGACCAACATTCTCTTTTTGATGCAGTGTAACAAAAAATGGTGATATCTAAGAATTCTCACTAAAAAGACATACTGAAGATATTCACATTGTACATCTCCTTCATTTTCTGATACATACTTTATATTTGCTGTTTATGGATGGTAATACAGCTTCCTTTAGTTTATCCAAAATGAGTAGCCAAAATGCAGTAACCTAAATGAGATCTTTAAGAACTAGGTACAAGGGCCACATGTGGTGCTTGGAGGTGGAATCGTAGTTTTCTATAGACCTTTATACTAAGTGATCAAACTCCTTATTTTTACTAGAAGAAATAGTTTTTCCCTTCTCTTTGAAGGAGTGTTTAGCATACTCTTGAAAAGAAAATTTCCATGGTAAAGTGTTTTTATTGATCTTTCATGAAATCACAATCGTTTTGATTTAATAAATTTTTACTTTTCATATTTGTGCTAGATTTCATTATCTTATCTGTAAAGGAAAAAGTCACTTTGAAAAAGAAATTGCTATTTGTTGCATTTGGTTTCTCGTGTGCATGGTATATATAAGGAGGGAAAGTTTAGTGACAGTTTGGAAACGTATAATAACTAAGTGTCATGTATGCTCCAGGGAAGTTAAAAACCTGTTCATTTTCTTAAATTATGCTAGGCAGTTTGGTTCCAGATATCTGGCTGACATTATTATTATCTGAACATTGCAGAACTAGTGAATAATTGAATCTCTCTCATCACTTGCAAGATTTGAGAAAGCATTACTATCAACTCTGAATAATCATTTTAATGTATTTTTCTTTCCCGATTTCTTAAGCGGCCAAAGGTGGATGATTAGTTTGAATTTACTTGCCATGTTTGGTAGTTCACATTCGAAGCTTAGCACTCTATTGTTTTAAAAACACTGCTGTAAGAGGGTGCTTAAGTCAAGTCATTAAGCTATTCAGTAATTCCAATTGTCATGCATATTTTCTCGTTAAAATAATGCTTTCATGTGTTTGTTTTGTCTGGCAGATATCAGTCCACCAGCACAAGGTGTGGATCACAGGCAAGTCCAGAAGGAACTGGGAGACGTCATTGTACGCCTGCATAACCCCGTTGTGCTGACACCCACAACAGTTCAAGTTACCTGGACAGTAAGGCTTTCAATATAATTACCTTGCTTTACCTAATTTTGCCTATTTGTCCCTACATTTCTTTTACTATACTGAAAAGCTCCGGTCTTGACCAGCATAAGTGCTCTACTGAACTAATGTCATACAGGAATATGTGTAGATGAAACGACCTTTTCATTTTCTCCTTTAGGTCAGGCAGATTGAAGGTTTTCTGCATTCAGCTTAAAGGGAGATAGATGTCTAATTATGAAAATGAATTATGTTTAACACCATAATCTAAGGGTAATTGATCTGTGGATTCATAACTGTGGATAGCAAAAATAACTATCATCATTAAAATGTTGTATGAAAAAAACACTTTCCACTTAAAAGCATGAGAACCCCTTGAGAATACTCTATTGTTTGGTGACGCTAAAATGCAGAAATAGATTTCTATAGTGCGCTTGTTGAAAAGTAGGCAATGTTATGCTGATGCCTGATCCATGGGTAGCATCTGGTATTCTGGCATGTGCCTTACCCTCAGTGAGTGGACTTCCTTTCATTACAGAAGACCAGAATGTTTCTGGCAGTACTTAGCTAACCTATTTGAGGGACCAAACTACTGGGTAGAATTTCTGAGAAGTTAAGATATAGCATATGGCTTTTAAAATTCTATGTTTCTCTTACAATCTCTTAGAAAGAGATTGTTCCTAGGGCACTCCACACCACAAATAAGGGCTTTGCTTTTGGAGTATGTGTCCCAGAGGAAGGAGAGTCATGGTTAGAAAAGTGAGATGAACACAATGCATTGCAACATTGCAATGCCCATCACTGCAACAGTTATATTATATAGAATGAATTCTGCTAAAGAAATATTCACAATACTCAGAAGTTTTCTTCTACAGGTAATATTGTTAAGAGTTTCATGTGTACAGAGGTCTATATAATAGAATAGAAATATGGATAGATTGTGTATTATAGAAATACTGCAGTTTTTACACATCTCAGATGTATTTATGGGGGCTTATATGTCATCCTTGTTTCAACAGATTTCAATGGTAAGGGCCAGATTAAAAATGAATGGAGAAGTGCACAAATTAGTCTTTCTTAGAAGATTATTTAAAAAATGTGTCATTGCATTTTGTTGTTGATGTTAACACTCAGCTTGTCCTTCTAAAAATACTGTCTGTTACAGCTAAATAAATCCAGGACAGACTGACTTTCTGGTCCAAGTGCCTTTGCAGAAAGTCTTTTTGCCCAAGCAGATGGTTCAGTAGGTTAGAAACTTTGAATGTTAGCAGCCAGTAATTGTAAACTTGAATGACATCTATGTGGTGCTTCTTCAAGTCCTTTATTGTGTGTTAGAGATAGCAGAAACAAAATTACATAGGTTTTCTCCCTATTTGTAAATGGAATTCAATTTTATACAGTGTAATAGCGTTCATTGTATTATAATGAAATATTATGGTTGGAGAGTCTCTTGGTGCCTCTACTGAACTACTAATGAGCAAAAAAAAAATATGGTAAGTTAAGGTATATCATTAAAGATATCAGGGGTATCAGCTCATTGGAAAGATCCCTCAAAGCAGTGACAGTATGCCATCTGACAAGTGAATAGACCTGTGTAGAGATGTTTTAGAATTGCCTGAGGAAAGAAAAGCATGCACAGAAAAAGTATCTGGAACAGCTAATTAGAAACTTAACAGCAACCAGAACAAAAACAACTAATTAACCATAGTAGCAGGAAAGCAGCCGCTCCGTCCAGAGAATAAAGTTCTGTTCTTATAAAGTGGTTAGATAGTGTAGCTAGGATACAGAAGGACAGAAGTGCAGAGAGAATCGTAAGACTTCCAGTATTCAAACAATTAATGACAAGAAACTTCCTCTATTCCAGAGTTTCTGGTGTCTTGACTCCCAACAAATTTACCAATTTCTCTCTTCTTTCTGAGATGGTTTTGTTTTTTTCTTTCTTTCTATATATTTTTTTAAAATTTCAGTTTAAAATTTCACAAATAATTTTGTTTCTGTTTTGTAATTTTAAAATGTTTAGAAATAAAATGTCTAAGTATGTGCCCATATATTTCATCTATTTGAAAAGATTAGGTTCACAAAGCCAATGTTAAAAAGGAGTAAAAAGCTAGGTTGTCAGTGTAACATAAATTTATCCCTCGTGTGCCTAAGTACTAAAGTACAGCTGTAACTATCTGGTTACATAGAGTATCTATTCTTAATAAAGCTATTCAGCATTTCTTTTATCTTCTTTATTCAGTGTGTGCTACCGGATCCTAGGAAATTAATACAACTGAAACCCACCATTGAATTAAAAAAATATTAGTTTGTCTCATGTGCTTATCTGTCATGCTCTCAACTGTAACACTTGAGTGTTTCACAAATAATACTGAATTTATCATCAGAAGGATAAAACTGTGTAATAATCCCAACCGTACATAAAGGTAGACAAGGTGCAGAGATATTTATAGTCACTGACTGTTGCCTAACTTTAAACCTCTGGCCTGATTTATTTTTATTTCTGTCAAATATATTTGCATTGTTACAGCATAATATGTACTCAAAGAACTTTTGTAGCTAACCTCAACTATAGCTCAGCACTTTCCAGCCTCAATTTTCTCACTTTGAGCATTAAACTGGGAGTTTAATTAGTGGCCAAATGTAAGAAGTTTCCTAGCATTATGTAGGAGCCCTGTGGCATAATCAGGAAAAAATTCAGTTCTTCAGAGTGGCGAAATAATTGCTGCTTTGAAATCCCAACTGCCTTACAGGAATTTTGAGGCTACAGTGCAGAAGAGTAATTTATTTGCCTCTGTCTTTTAATTTGACATTGATTTTAAATGATTGTGCTTCACTGGAAGTTTGAGTTGAGCCTACTGGACAGTCTTGCAGTGTATCATCACCTTTTGTCTTGTTCCTGTCAGTAGATAAATACTAGTGCTGTTTGAATTTTTGGAGAACACTGTGAGTCTGTGAAGTGATTTAACCCCAATATGTAGCTCCACTCCACCATGCTGCTTTCCAACTTCCCCTCATCAACAGAACAACAGAAAAATATGATGGAAAAAACCTCATCGGTTAACATAAAAGCAGGCAGATCACTAACTGATGACCACCAGGAGCAGAACAGCCTCAGCATAGGGAGATTAATGTAATTTGTTGCTTGTTGGTAACAGACTAGAGCAGTGAGAACTAAAAGCAAACTAAAACCATCTCCCTCCGACATCCAGCCTCTTCTATCTCATCCCCTTGAGCAGCACAGAGGAAAAGGAAACTGACTGCCAGTCAGTCAGATTGCTTCATCTCTGCCATTCCTCCATGGTCATTCTGTGTTCCTGATCCATGTGGGGTTTCCTTCCATGGGATACCATCCTTCCTGAACTAGTCCCACGTGGTCTTCCCACAGGCTGCAGCCATGTAAGCCCAATGTAGTCCATGCTATTGAGCTCAGCACAGTTTGAAAGATATCTTGCCCAGATGGAGAATTACTGTGTGTACTGGTTTAGAAGCAGAGTTCTTAGGATATTTTGGAGTTGAGGCTTACATACCCAAGAGCATATTGAAAATGTCTTGAGAGTGTGGATTAGCTGGATTGCCTGAATGCATCCTGTATTTGCAGCATAATCTACATTATGAGGGTGTTTTGTTTTTTTGTTTTTTGTTTTTTGTTTTTTTTCCCTTTATTTCTTTTAACAAGCAAATAGCCTACAGAGTGATCATAGTCACTGAACCTGTCTTATATTCAGTTGTGGTATGTGCAGGAAAAAAAAGAACTTTGTATTCTGCAGAAATGGAAAGCTACTGTCAGCTTTATAGATACCTCTTGCACTATACATTCATCAAAAAGAGAGAGAGCATGCAAGACCAATTATGCTTGTAGGTTGCCTTAAAGCATCGAGTCACTGCTGAACAGAACCCATCCAGTAATTGCTGTCTTCTGCCTTTTAAAGGAGCATCTGCATTTTCTGCCATCCATCTTCTGAGGTAGAAAATGTCTTTAGACCAGCACCTGTTACAGCCCTCCTTTGATGAGGGGATTCCACAGCTGCTCCTACATTTTCTAAAGCAGCTTAGAGCATCACAGATATTATGTTCTGTGATCCCAGTACTCAGCAGAGAAAATTATTGCAATCTCTGTAATAATGCTAAGTGCTTTGTAAGAGGAAGTACATTAAAAAAAAAAAAAAAAGTGAGAGAGAAATGAAAATAACTAGAAATTATTAAATTCTTTCATCACATCACAGTGCACATTTCTGCAACTCTACCTACATGCAAATGTGTACTAATCCTATAGTTACTTTATGCTTAGCACAAGTGAATGCTATTCTTTAACACTAAGCATGTTTTTAGTGGCCTGCTGTTGAAGTGACATGCAATTACCACATAAGAATAGAAAAGGATGAAGTTACAAGCTTTGTAATATATATATAAGATTATTTGTATATATAGACATAAATGCATATGTATGTGTATGTATCTATGTATTTATGTGAAATACACTTGATTTTCCTCACATATACTTTGAGCTATGTATATATGTCTCACATCTCTCTGGTTAATCTGTGTAATTATCCTAAAGTATTTTTGTACTGTTCAGAAAATTAAAAAAAAAAAAAAAAAAAAAAAAGTAAAATCCACTTGCTCAGTAAGTGAAGTGACCCCTGAGCAGCTTCCCAAAAACCTGACCACAGGAAAAGTGCCTCTTGTTTAGACTAATTGCAGGTGGGAATTAGGGACAGCTTAGTATCCTCCTTGATATTGAATACAACTAGGTGTTTAAAGAAAGCATTAAAATGCATGGTATTTTCATTTTCATTCACAAGTACCCTCCTAGACCATCAACAACAGAATCACTCAATAATCTGAAATCCTAGCAGATCATTTGGCTCTGTTGTAATCAAACTTTCAACTGAAAGCACCTGTGTAAATGGCATGATTTCTGGGTTAAGCTGGTTTACTGCAACTGCAAATGACAGCCTTGTTCTACTACCACACATGTTTTCATATTGCTTATGTTGAGTCTTTCTAGTAAAAAAAATTAATAGCTAGGGAAAAGAGAAGTGTATGAATAATTTGAATATCATATGTAAACTGATATGAAAGTGTGATGGACTGAGAATTGCTTAGTGAAATCCAAGTGTACAGTTTTTTGTGAGTTAGTTGGTGCATTTCTCTTTGTATGATGTCATAGAAAACACTTTTTATACCATTTCTTGGCAACAAACAGTTACTGTTCAGTTTAGTTCTAAATTTTCAGATCTTCTGCACTGCACAGGAGTCAATAGAGCTTAAAAGGATCTGCAGCAAAAACAAAATTGAAAGTTCTAAAATAGTTATGGTGTCTTTCAGCATAACTTCTAATACAAAAGCTGGGCAAGAACCAAACTTAGTATTTAATTATTAAACATCATAGTCTCGTATTGTAAGGTAGGTTGAGAAATTATATGAAGTTGCTGTTCTTACTAAATTTTGTAGTAAACATGAGGTTCACAAAGTCTTTATGTCCGTAAAACATTTAATTAATGAAAGTCAAACATGGATAAAAACAATTTACTCTGATTTACAGACTCCCTTCATCTGGAAACAGCTGCTTAATGTTCTTCTTAAAAACACAGCTTGATTCTTTCAGTATTAACAAGCTATTATTGTGAGTTATATCCCTCTTTCAGTGCATAAATTCACTTAAAGTGAATGTAGAGAAGTTTATAAAATGCAAGCTTAATGTTGTTGTAACATATGTTGCAAGATTTTTAACAGTGACAGTTTTGATGAAAGACATTTCTGCTCTGCTCTCACAAATAGAGCTTTCTTCTTGCTTGCCCTGCTTTTTAATGTCTTAAGAATCTGCATCCCTTCTGAATGACTCGATAAACTATAACAAGATTATAGCAAAAGTGTAATAAACTCTGGTTTGTGTTTTCAGCTTGAAATTCATTTCTTCTGAAGATAAATCAAACAAATGTATCTTTAATTCTGAAGTACCTTTGAGTTAGCAGAACGTCAAGAAGAGAAAGGAAACCCTGTTTGTTGAATCTTGGATGTAACACAGAAATTTATCAAACTGCTAGTCATATAGTCTTTGTTACTTAATTGCATTTTCTTTGGGCATTTGACAGTGCAGAAGCAGCTAGACTTGGTTTGATTTTACCTGATGGGTAAAACTTGATGGGTTGTTTTGCTTGTGTTTACATGCAAACATCATAATAACTCAAATCATTATTTCAAACTGTTTTTGTTTTCAAGAGAAAATATGAATGCAACATCTTCCAGATAGAACACACTTTAGGTTTTTCCTTCAAATAAAAAATTCTACTCATCGCTATGAAAAAATTGTTAAATTTCTGTGTCTGCCTAGCAACAATTAGAATATAAAACAAAAATAACATTCCAACTCCATCTGATGGATTGAGTACATCACAACCCCAGGATGTAAAGAGACTGTTTAGACTATGAACGCAAGAAACAGCACATGTTCTTAGATGTTGTTTTCTCTGCATCTGTCTTATGTTTATTTTACTTTCCCGAGCATCTCATGAAAAGATCAACTGTAAGCCAAGTAATGGACTAACTGAAAGCATACAGGGCTTCTTCAAAGACTTGTCCTCTTCTGAAAAGAATTTGTTTTTCTTTTCTTCTCATATTTCAGCACATCAGTAGCCAAGATGTCCATAAGTTTACATGCAGTAAGCATTATGCCAAAGTTCTCTTTTTTTTATTTGTTGCAGGGGTGAGAGCTTGTTTTATGATTTAAGATGGTATTTGTCATGATATATATATAACTGCAGAAAGTAAAATAGAAACGTTCTCTAACAAGTAATGTGAGAAGAATATTCCTTTAGAGACAATTAATAATGGTACAATGGTACAAGAAGGCATTTTGATTTTTAAATTTCAGCAGCATAAGTGGTTGTTAATTTTTTTCTTTTTCACAAGGGTAAAAGTATTCAAGGCAAAAGTTTTGCTTTCATTTCAAAATGTTTTGTTACTTTAGTATGTTCACTGACGTATTATTTAATGCCATTTCTAGGTTGACCGCCAATCGCAGTTTATTCAGGGCTACCGAGTAATGTACCGCCAAACATCTGGCCTACTGTCTCCAGCTGTATGGCAGAATTTGGAGGTCAAAGTCCCAACAGAGCGCAGTGCTGTTCTAGTCAACTTGAAAAAAGGAGTCACTTACGAAATTAAAGTTCGCCCGTACTTCAATGAGTTTCAAGGAATGGACAGTGAATCAAAGTCTGCTCGTACCACAGAGGAAGGTTAGTAAAATAATCAAATATCATTTTGGTTATTTTATGCGTGCCTTCATTCAGCTCCACATGATTTCTGTTTGTTAAATATAAGGTCATCATTAGAATTCAACATCATAATCAGTTTTCTACTATAAGTATTCCTGGAGAAAGCATTTGGCCAGTTCTGTATTCCTCTGACTTCCACCTGCTCTGTATGTGCAAGTGGCTTTGAGTCTTCTAACAAGTGTACACAGCAGACATTCTTTTACAAACAGTGTTGATGCGAAAGAAAACTTCGATCTGCACTTTGAAAATAAAATTCAGTTTGAAAGGCACACCACTCCATTGGTTCTGCCAGCAAAGTTCATGAAACTGCCCTATTTAGTTGTTTGCAGAGTTTTCTTAAGTACCATTTAGATGTAAGTGAAACACAGTGTGCAGACATAGTGAACATTTTACATCACTGAAATGCAGAAACATTTATTCCTATGGCATGTAGTACAGTATACTTATACTTAAATATTTATGCATTTGACGACCATTTTTTATAAAATTTAAAGAGGTTGAGTTGAGATATCTAATTTTTATCCTTTTCTCTTGGTGTACAAGAAATCTATCTATCTAGAATAACCTGTGCCTGGAGAACCTGAGCAGTCATCATCAACTCTGCTCTATAAAAGAAAAGTGATCACAAAAGTGAGGGTTCATCTTCTCACTTTGTATCACTGATTTCTTTCAAAACATAGGAAAGAAATACCAGTGATGTTTCTAAACGCTCACGTGGTCTTCATGGGTTTTGAGTGCACTCTTTCAGTCCTACTGAAGATGCATCTTAATCACTTGCAGTAGTCTCCTGAGGTTTAATTTAGTACTGATTGTCTAACGCATTTTACATTTCAGAAGGACTCACTTTTTCTCTTTAATTTGTTATGATTATTGACCAGCAAGTAAGCAGTCCTGAGGGTAACTTGGTTTCTGCCTCTCTTTATAGATGAGGAAATTCAGTATCCTGCAACATGTAGGAAGGCATTCCTTAAGTAACATTTGCTACTCTGTGTTTCCAATTTCTTTGTTCAGACCATAAAGCCTAAACAAATCAATTAAGACTAGCTTTGCAGCAGTCTAAACCAAGCTTTAAAAGTAGTATTTTTTAAAAAAGCTACTAAAAAGAGATTTCTATTTCTATAAAATCAGTGAGAAATTAAATTTTCATTCTTAAACCTCATCTCTCCATACTGCCAGTCAGGTAACATTGTATTTTAAAGGCCACTTTCTTTGTGTGCAATTTTCCACACTGTGAAGATTTTTAGAACTTTTCTTATAGGTAGTTATGTACGGCTAACAAACGAGGATCTGCTTTGTAGATGTATAGCCTTCAAGTAGTCTGTTTACAAGTATCTCTTTCAAAAAAGCAGCTTGTAACACATGTTTTTATCACAAGTCAAGTGACAGCCCCTTTATAAAATTCTTTTTTTTTTGGGTGATAAAACGATGTACCATGAGAAAGTTAAGAAATTTGCTAGATCCTGTTCCAGAGATATTTTCCTTTAACTCCTCATATTAACTTTGTAGTCATATTGGTGTTCGTGTATTTCAAAAATAGCACTAACTTAATGTTTAATAATTGTGGTTTGCTCCTCATCCAATAAAGAGAAATGGCAGTCTATTTAAAGGTGTCACACTTTCTATGTAGCCTGTGATTTCATTTCAAAAATGAGCTTTTTTAGACTTGACTTTTTTAAAATGTCAGTTGTACTATTTATAGAAAGTAATTTGGAAGAGTGATATGCATGTTTGAAGTTTTTTGCAAGATGAACAACCCAGGTAAAGTACAATCAGGAGGCAGTGGCAGCTTTCTGCTGGACTGAATTTTACATGCAGTGTTACTTCTGAGTCCTAGCTCCAAAAATCAATTTTGCTACAGTTAGACTTTTCCTCTGGATCAGGCATTTTTCACAGTTCAGTATCCATTCATCTCCTACCTCTTTGGCCTTGTGAAGGTAATAAATGGAATTCTGTTTGGCTGCCTCTGGAAGAGATGAGCAGCGATTTGGGTTCTTTCATATCTGTAAGAAGAAGCTGAGCACTGGAATAATTGACCTGTCAAGAAGCAGGCAAGGTGTTCTCCACAAGGCAGCAGCAAGGGAAATGAGAAAACAGGTTTAAAAATGTTATTTTTCAATGCAGTCTATTTAATAACTGCAGAGTGTCAGACAAGTGCCTTAATTTATATCATGGTGCCAGCTTACAAAGTGATATTATCATAGGAGGAGGAAGCAGAACTGTTATATACGTATGTGTGCCTACACACATAAGAGCTAAATAGAACACTTTCGTTTGTTAATTTTCACTTCTTTTTTTCACCCTTGCTATGAAGACAGATGATAATCCTTTTAGGTACATACACTACGTTAAATCTCTTCTGGAATAACTTTATGGAGTAGTATTTGTTCTGCATATTGTTTGTCACCACAAAAATATGACAATAGTGGAGGTCTCCTAAGTTTTATCAGTTGCTGTCTTGTAACAGCAATCAATTCTTGCTTGCCTTACCGCAGCTCTTAAAGTGATACTTTCAGCTACATTCATCAGTTGTGATTTAATTTTGCTTACAACTTACTATCTATCCTTCAAAACCAAAAAGAGTCCACACACAGAAAATTAACTGGGATATTCCTGCAGTTTAAATGCAAATGCAAATCATTGCATTGTTTTTTTTCTTTTTCAATGATAAAGGTATTTATTTTATATATTCTTTAGTGTTTACCTCTCTCTTCTCCCTTCCCCCATGTTCCCCAGTACTTGGACATAAAACATTATATACCTGAATGTCCTAATGATGAAAGTATATACATTTCAGCACAATGTTCCATTTCACTTAAAAAAAGAAAAAAAATATAATGTTGTTTTGCCATTTTTATTACTACTGTTTGTTATTATTATTTAGTATTGTTAATATTGTACACAGTTATTCTTGGTTTTGTTGTTACACAATAAGGTTTTTAAAACACTTTTTTTCTTTTGTTCTCTGTGGTTCATTTGCCATAAAATACACTAAGCAACCTTACTGTTCAACAAGGTGTAGCCCAAGGTCACCTTTTCGTGCTTTACTTGAGTTGGTTAAGAGTCAAACTATCCATAATATAGCTCTATTTTTCCCTCCAGAACTCTTTCTACCTAGCACTATTTGATTTGCAGCTGAACCTCTATCTGAAAATGTAGTTCCCGAAATGTGCAGGACTCACAGGAGTCATACATTAGGCAACTAATGTCATCTATGTGAATTTGTGCAAGGCCTTTGGCATGGTCCAACACCACATCCTTATCTCTGAATTGGAGAGATATGGATTTGAAGGGTGGATAAAGAATTGGCTGGATGGTCAGAGCCATAACGTTATTGTCAATGACTTTACATCCAGGTGAAGACTGGTCACAAGTAGCATCACCCAGGGATCTGTCTTGGGACTGGTGCTCTTCAACATCTTTATCAATGCAGCGTTACAGGCTTGGGGATGAGTGGTTGGATGATTGTGAAGAAGAGAGGGACCTGGGGATGTTGGTTGATGCTCAGCTGAACATGAGCCGACAGTTTGCCCAGGTGGCCAAGAGGACCAATGGCATCCTGACCTGCATTAGAAGTAGTGTGACCAGTAGGAGCAGGGAGGTGATCATTCCCCTCTACTCAGCACTGGTGAGGCCGCACCTCGAGTACTGTGTTCAGTTTCGGGTCTCTCACTACAGGAAAGATGTTGAGGTCATGGAGCATGCCCAGAGAAGGGCAACAAAACTGGTGAGGCATCTGGAGCACAAGTCTTATGAGGAACGGCTGAGGGAACTCAGATTGTTCAGTCTGGAGAAGAGGAGGCTCAGGGGAGACCTCATTGCACTCTACAACTTCCTAAAGGGAGGCTGTGGTGGAGAGGGATTTGGCCTCTTCTCCCAGGCAACGAGCAGGACACGGGGAAATGGCCTCAAGTTGTATCAGAAGAGGTTTAGATTAGACATAAGGAAGAACTATTTCTCTCAGAGAGTGGTCAGGCACTGGAATGGCTGCCCAGAGAGGTGGTGGAGTCGCCGTCCCTGGCAGTGTTCAAGAGGTGTCTGGATGACATGCTGCATGATGTGGTTTAGTAACTTGTGGTGGCAATGGTGATGAGGAGACGGTTGGACTAGACGATCTTATAGGTCGTTTCCAACCTTGTGATTCTATGATTCTATGATTTATCAATGATGTACTGTAAGATAAGAGTATACCATCAGCATGTTTGCTGATCATACTAACTTGAGGGGTGCAGTCTTGCATTTGAGTTGGGGCAATTCTAGATACAAGTACAGACTAGAAGAAGAACTCCTTGAGAGCTTCTGAAAAGGACTTGGGGGTCCTGGTGGATAAAAAGCTGGATGTGAACCATCAGTATGCTCTTGCAACCTGGAAAGCCATTGATGTACTGAGCTACAACAAAAGAGGGGCTGCTAGCAGGGAGAGGGAGAGGATTGTTACTCTCTATTTTTCCCTTATAAGGCCCCAACTGGAGTACTGTGTTCAGGCCTGGGACTCCCAGCACAAGAAGGATGCAGAGCTGTTAAGGAGGCCATGAAGATGACCAGAGGGCTGGAGCATCTCTCCAGTTGAGCTTATTTAGAAAAGAAGACTGCGGGGTGACATAATTGCAGCCTTTCAGTACGTAAAGGGAGCCTACAAATAGGAGAGGAATCAACTCTTTGAAATGGTAGATAACAGCAGGATAAGGGGAGATGGTTTGAAGTTGAGGGAGGGAAGATTTAGGCTGGATGTCAGGAGAAAGTTCTTTACTATGAGGGGGATGAGGTGCTGGAACAGGCTGCCTAGAGATGTTGTGGTTGCCCCGTTCCTAAAGGTGTTCAAGGTGTTCAAAGCTCTGGGGAGGCCTGGCTGTGATCTTCTAATACTTGCAAGGAGCTTACAAGAAGGAGGGCAACTGGCTTTTTGTACAGGTAGATAGTGATAGGACAAGGGAGAATGGATTTAAACTGAAAGAGGATAGTTTTAGGTTAGATTTTAGGAAGAAAGTTTTTATTCAGAAGGTGGTGAGACTCTGGCACAGGCTTCCCAGAGAAGTTGTGGATGCCTCATCTCTGAAGACGCTCATGGCCAACCTTGATGGGGTCCTAGGCAGCCTAATATAGTGGTTGGCAACCCTGCCCATGGCAGGAGAGTTGGAACTAGGTGGTCTTTAAAGTCCCTTCCATCCCAAACCATTTTATGATTCTATAATATGTGTGTTATGTTTTTATATTTTTTTTTCTTATGGAATCTTGTATGGTCCCTCCTCCCTACTTCTGATGCCACAGTTTTAAGTTGTTTAATTCAGACAATTGGCTACTCCAGCTCTTCATGATTACCAGGGTAAGGTTTGAGCTCAGCTCCCTGAGCTTGTGCCAGGTCAAGTCTTAGAATTATCTGAATAGACAAGAAGTTTTAATGTCACATAGTGGCCAAGGAAGGACATATGCCTTTGTGGTGACAGCTGTAGCTGTGCAGGGTGAGCCCCTGCAGAAGATGCTCACAGGGGGGACTTTGGCCTCTCTATGGAACTTGCTGCAGTACTTCCCAAACAACAAGTTCTACACCAACAAAAGCACCCTGCTGTTGATGTCACTGCAGAAAGGGCTTTGCCAGCATAGTTCTGATAACTAACAGCAATGTTTTTTTATTTTTATTTTTTTCTTCACTCTTCAAATCAGAGTTGGGGGGGCTGACAAACATAGAGCCTTGATATGCAGTGGCCAGCCAAACAGCTGTGAGTGGTTGAACTGAACAGGGGACTCTAAAGAGAAAGATTAGCTTGAAGAAAGAAGAGCATAAATATATATATCTGACCTAAATTATCATCTCCCCCATTCACTGTCATTTGGTATAAAGTCTTAAAAACTTTCTGTCTAAGAGGTGCAAAGTTTTATGCTTAAACAAGTTGAGTTATTGACTTCTCGGAGAACCAAAAAGGAAAGCAAACAAAACTTCCTGAACTCCCATTTCTCACAACAGTATCAGACCATGTGGGGGAAAAAGAATGAAAAAACTTTTCTGAGCAGGGGATACAATCTCACATTATGACTTAGTTGACTTAGTTGACATATGCATAGCTAACCATGTATTATGGAAAACAAATGCAAGCATGAGAATAATTTAAATGCAAGCCTTAAGAAATGCAATATCTAAATACATGAGAAGTGATTTGTATTGATTCTCCATTACCAAAGATTCCACATTTTCATTCAGTACAATGCTTCTCTTCAGAAAGGCATTTTTTCAAAGTTGTCAGTCCCTAACAAAATGTGCATACCTAGGCCTGCAGGGGCTGTGAACTTTGTATGTTCTCTGCTTGCACTTACACTTTTTAGCAAAATTTGTGCTCTAGCAAATGGATTAATGTCTTACTCCTGTTTGTTCCCTCTGTTTGGTGCAGCTCCAAGTGCCCCTCCTCAGTCTGTTACTGTCCTGACAGTTGGAAACCACAACAGCACAAGCATCAGCATCTCCTGGGATCCTCCCCCTCCAGATCACCAAAATGGAATCATCCAGGAATACAAGGTAGAAAGGATCTGTAATGGAAAGGTTGTGTGTTTTAGGAAATAGTCTGCATGAATTACAGAACAATAGCACTGTTTATAGATTTAGATTCTGACAGCATTTACTGCCACCCATATAATTATATGGAGAAAAAGGATTGAGTGCCTAGTGGATTTTTATTTTTTTTCCCCATATAAGCAGTGCTACTGTTATTGTTAAAACCAAAAATAGCATGAGCTAGACCTGGATGAGACTTGTAGTTGCCAACTAGTTTAAAGGTTTTATTTCTTTCTTATCTATCCTTGGAAGAAAGAGAAGGGTTTTTTTTGGTTTTTTTTTTTTCCTAGGGGGTTCTTTACTCCCAGAACAAGTGGTGGAGCTCCTGTCTCAAAATGTCTTCAGCCTGGTAGAAAAGCTGACAGGAAAGATACTACTCTCCCCTGCAAAAATGCTAATCTTATCACTTCAAGGTCAAAGTCAAGAACTATAGCTTTGGGAGAATACAGGTCTTCCTTCAAGGACTATGTGTGTCAAGATTCACAACATAAAGTGCTAGCTAGATCAGGCTAGATATGCAGAGTTTGTTACTTGACTGCTTGCTGCACTTGTTGCCTTTTCTCTGCTTTTTTTTTTTTTTTTTTTTTTTCTCTGTGATGGCTGAAGTTATCCTTCCCTTATTTATCACCTTATATTTTGTAATAGTCTATTCCCCACTAAGCTTGTTTTTGCACAAGTATATTTCCCCAAATTGGAAATTTTGCAGTGTGTTATTGGTGTGTGTGGAGGGAAGCCTGGAGAAAATGGTCATGCTATATTCAGCATTATCACAGGCTTATAACTGTGAAACATATACAACAAATTTTCATTGTGGCTAGCTTCTATATTGAATGTGAAATTTATAATTGAAATAGAGCAGGGCAGCTTGCTTGAAAATCCCACTAAAGGCAGAAATGATAATCTTTTTGAGATGCAGACGATTATTTCACGCAGGAATATGTAATTTATTCTTCCTGATGTGTTGTAAGGGAAAACAGAATCTAGAAGGAAGAAAGTGCTTGGCTTATAACCAATTCATGTTTTAACCTCTTATGGATTATCATTTGATCAGAGGGATGCAGTAAATGTACACAGTACTTATTTTTAGCCTAGCACTTGTTTTATTTTGCTTTTATTTAATATTAAGATTTATTAATGCCAATATGGTATTGATCTCACTTTCATATAAATAATTGTATCTTTTGCTTTAATTCATCTTGATGCTGAGTGTTCTATGAGGCAACATTAACTTTCAGGCAAATAAGTAAAACACAGTCTTAAACCACAAAATATATAGATATGAAAGTCAGCTGATGGTTAATCAAAGCCACATTCCAGGTGAGTACTCAGACCTCTAGATTGTTTAGAAAAACAGCTGGAGTCACCACCTATTACATCCCTTATTGTTAGATTAGATGGCCGCCTGATTTGTGTGCTGGCTGTGGTGAATCTAATGCAAAGAGTCTTTAGTATAAAACGACTGCTGAGGTTTCACTGGATATGTTCTAACGAATGTAGATCTGTTGTTTCCAGCATAAGAATGAATGGAGATTCATTTATGAATTCAGTGCCTATAATTAGGAGTATTTTGTAGTTGCTGCGACTTAAGACCAGGAGAGACAAGGACTGAAAGAATGAATTGCAATAATCTCTTGCCCTAATGCATTCTGCCCTGCATGTAGCCTCTGCATGAGCTCAGAAGAACGAAAGTTTATTTTGTTCTCAAAGTCTTTCTCAGTGCTTTGCAGAAAAAAAAAAAAAAAAAAAGGTGTGATAGAACACTGAGAAGGGTCAAAAGTAAGGGTAAAGAGAGTATAAATATTGTTTACACACATCTATTGGTCACTGAAAGTGGTTCCACTGGTAGTGCTTTCTTCTGCTGTTGTAATTATGTATTGTCCATATGATACCTTTAAGCATTGATTTTCTTAAGTATAGTGGCAGCAAATTCTTTCTTTGATCATAGAAAAGCAGTATGTGCCAAAAATAATAACTGAAAAAGAATCCCTAAAAAGTCTTAGTTTTGAAACTTCTCAGGAGAAGCCAATGGATAAATGCAGGAGAGAGAAACAACTCTGTGAAATTATGTACCATTCTCATTATAAAATATGAATTCAGATTTAAGAATATTTTGTTGCTTCTGTTTAATTGGAAAATAATTGTGTCAGGAACTGATATCTGGATTTCTGAACAATGTATGTAATCACAATAAAGAGCAGTTTTGAGCTTACTCTGCTTTGGAAATGTCGCATGCCCCTGCTGTGCAGCAAAAAGAAATACAGAAGGATTTTGAAAGATTTTATCCCTTAATACTTTAAGAAACATTTCACTAGTTGTCCTTTTACTGTCCAGTGGGAAAATAAGAATGAAAAAATGGATTTTTTTATGAAAAGATTTGGCAGTAATCACATTATTGAATAAGATTTCAATGAAAACATAACACATCTTTTTCACTTGGATGATTCTATGTGTTTCAAAGCACGCTATAGAATTGTGCTCCATGGAGAACCAGAGTCCAAGATGGTGTTTGCAAACAGACTTTGCAACTTGCCTGATTTTAAAATAACCTGGGATAATTTGCTGAGCTCCAACTGTTCCTAGATAGTAACATTGCTAACAAGTCCAAAATACCAAAACAGGTGATTGTCATGCAAAACCTTGATATGTCATATCCATCAGCTATTGTTTATGAATACCAAGAATTTCCTATTTTTTAACACATCAACTTTTGTCCCAGATCTGGTGTCTAGGTAATGAGACTCGATTTCATATCAACAAAACAGTAGATGCAGCCATTCGATCTGTAGTAATAGGTGGCCTGTATCCAGGTATTCAGTACCGTGTAGAAGTTGCTGCAAGCACCAGTGCAGGTGTGGGAGTGAAAAGTGAGCCACAACCGATAATAATTGGTAAGTGATTGTGTATTCTGTTGTTTTGTTTTGCTTGATTTTACTTTCAGAAATGCTTTCATTAGTCACTTCTGAGAGCATAAAGGTCTGTGAGCAAAAGACAAGTTTTGAATTGAGCTTGACAGTTAGCTTTTAACGTCCCAATGCCTACTGGCGTGGTGCCTTTTGTACAGAATTCTCACAGCTAGCAGAGTGAGCTAGCTCTTTCTTTGCTGAGACATTATAGAAAATACAAATTATCTAGTGAAACTGATTTTTTAAAATGTATTCACCACTTTTGCAGATTGATGGATTTATGGAACTAACAGCTAGGGCTTCTTTTTCTCCTCTTCAGTTGACTGTAATATTGCTTTACCTCTACCACTGATGCATAAGGCACGGTTTATAGTTGTTTTTTGAACATAGTGTGCCAGTGTTTCTCGGGTATCTCAAGCAGATGAGTTTGCTCTGTCAAAAACTAAGTAGCCTGTAAGCCAAATAGAGAGCAAAGGTGGTAGTAGCATCTCTGCTTTTTAAATTATTGTATCTTAATATTAGTTTCCATGAAGGATTAATTTCTTTTACAAAAAGAAGCACAGATACTTTTTCTTTTGAGATTCTTCTCAAGTATGAGATACAAATGCAGAAACAAAATGAGAAGGATGAGAATAGGAAAACTATTTTTGCAAAACTGAATTGGACTGTGCACAGCAGCACCTCTTCAGAGTGCTGAATACGGGGATTTTGTTACTATCATCCAAATGTTCTAATTCAGTTATTACAAAAAATGAGCTTTTTCTTGCTTGTATGTGAGTCTGTTGGTATTACACATTTTCTTTCTAGAATGTTCTGTCAGAACAGTGTCCCAAATATGAACATTTCTATTATGTGTAGACATTTAGAAAATGTCAATTCCTATGTGTTGCTTAAATGTTTAATGATATTCAGGTTCCCATATTTAAAGACAAAAGTAGAGGTATTCCAGATTTGGATATGTTGTCAGTAGAGAAGGGAATACAAGTTACTATGGTTTTAGAAAGAGGAAGTCAAGCAGGTTAAGGAGTGTTCTAGAACTGAAAGCAAGAATTTGATGTTTTGAAAATGCAAGAAATCTGTCCTCTCATAAGCATGAGTTTTGGATCTCTGTGTAAAGAGCTTTTGTTGTGAGACTGGTTTGTCATTGCATTTGCTTTCAGCAGGCCTTTGCTTTTATCCTTACTGAAAGGGTTCCGTCCAGCTACATGCTAGTCTTATTCCAGCAAAATACTTAAGCGTGTTTCAGTTTGAGCATATGAGTAGTTTTGTGCCACTTAACCTGTTATGAGTTAAACTTGCACTAAAGTGCTTTGCTGGATGATTGCCAGAATGCTTAGCTCCACATCTGCGTGCAGACCTTTATCCTGTCTTTTTCCTTAGAAAAAATGGCTAGTATAATCAAGAGTTAATTGTGGGGATATTTGTATTGTTATGTGAAGGAGGAAAGGGATGCTAGGATATATAGTACAAAAGGAATTGCATTTTGAAGCTAAGTAAGTTTTGCATTGTTAAACTTAGTAATATTACTATTTATCCCTTTAATGAGTCCAGAATGTCTTGAACACAAGTTTTTGTCTGATAGCATCCTTATACATTTAAGAGTCTTTCACATGAAAACTAAAAGTGTTTTTTTGTTGTGTTGTGTTTCTGTTCTCATTTCTCTTTTCTCTTTTGAGATCACAAAGCTAGATGTATTTATTGTTTCATAGTCTGCATCTCATTTTTCACTAGGTTATGTTTTTCTGTTGCTTATGAGCCATAATCACTGGCAGTTATTCCTCAGACTATAGATTTGATTCATAAAGGTACTACTAATTAAATGGCACAATTTCTGAAATAATTGAGTTGATCCCATTCAATATTTGACTGAGAATCAGCAACATAAAGTAAGAAAATGAAATTTTCAGATACGTATAAAAAAAAATCACATAGGCTAAGTGAACAAACCTCAAAACATAGCTATGAATGACAAAAAATTATCAAGTCATTGTATTATAATGGATTCCCATATGGCCTAGTGCCTAGCTACTTAACAACCTGCAAACAAACACTATGGAGTTCTAAATTATGGAGAGAACAGTTCAGTGATAAAAAGCAGATAAGGCTTGTTGCTGAACAATATAACTTCCATTGTCATTAAATAGACTCCATTTTGTGATAAGCAAGATATTATTCTTAAATGTAGAATGCGTTCATCTAAGAAGTTATTCTGAAAATAACTAATTTTCACCACGGATAATCAATTACTGACTTCACAAACCAAGTCTAAGCATCAGGTTAATCAAAATCCAGAAAGTATAAGCAGAATATGGAGTAGGAAGTATAATATTTCTTTAGTTAAAAGCAGTGCCACTGTTTCTGGAATTCTGTGCCCATGCTTCAAACTCAGTGTTGAAAAATGCTACACAAGACTCAAAGAGAATCTAGAATAACATTTTTACTGTCATTACTGATATGCTAATTTTTTTTTGCTTGGAATATCAGAAATATAACTGAGGATAACAGAAATATTGGTTAATGGTAGAGCTATTATTTCTCTTCATCAGTTGGCCTGTTCATTCTTACATTCCATCATTGGCATAATAGTATGAGAAGCAGCTGCAAACTTTCACAGTAATAGGTACAATTGAATCTGATGTGTATAATTAATTTTTGGTCCGACAAATTAGTTTTGTTCTTCATTACTCTCCAATGGGAGGAAGACATTATATTTCATTATGTTTTTGTCTTCGGGAACAATGGAGCGTTACAGGTCACACACTTCCCTTGTCTATGTTCTAATTAGTTGAACTGACAGCATTGTTACAGAAACACCTGCAGTATACAAAGTATTACACTGGTACCTTGGATAGTATATATATTACTTATATAGTATACATATTACTGATTAAATACTGATTAAATATTACACAATGAAATACAAAATGAATGCAGTTTGTTCTCCAAAACCACAACAATTATATTAGTTTTATCAAACAACAGTGGGTAATGTTCATCCATATCCATTTATTTTTCAGTCATTGAAGTCTCAAAATATATGTTATTTTGACATTTAAACAAGCTATTACTTTTTCACTCATAATTGCTAGGCAGTGAATGCTAGGCACAAACAGGCAGACTGCAAACTTCAGAAGGTAATTTGGAGACAAGTTGTACTTTCTGTTAGAAGAGATCAAGAGGAGAAGGACCACTGAGCACTCTCTCCAGGCTCTCTGGGATTTGTTGTTGTATCCTGCATCCTCAGAAGACTGCTTTCTGGCCTTAAGATAAAACTGGATTTTCTGCACTGGGGCAACTTGGAAGCTTTTTCAGGATACAGTTCTTTTCTTCAGCCCAAGAGCATCTGCTCTCAAAACTGGTGACTCTGAAGCCATCCCTGCCCTCTCTTCCCCATGGTAGCATGGCTGCCTGTTTTCTTCACCAGCAGTGTTTCCTCATCGGCCTGCTGCTATTACCTTGCCTCCAAAGGGCAAAGGAATTAACTGAAAGTTAATGGCAATTAGAGTGACATCAACTCCCATGCTGATTTCTACTAGAAAACCAATTGTGTGCTTAGAGAAGCACGCTGCAGAATTCCTTTTCTATTAGTTTTACTCTTCAGCACTTCCTCTTTTAGCCCTAGGTTGCACCTATGGGCTGTTTCCACGGGCAATAAAAAAGGAGGAAAACTGGCAAAGTTGCTTCTACTACCTCCCAGCTTTTCTTTGTCAATGGTGCTTGTTGAGTTATGTGAGTTATAGTTGTCTTTTTCACAGTGGTAAGACAGCATAGGGAAGTTTGGGAAAGAGCTTAGAGAGCTTGACACCTGTAAAGCTTACCAGCATGACCCAGTATAGACTGGTACTCAAAAGGCTGTTTCTCCATTAACAAGCAACAGCATCTTTCTCCGGCGCCTGTTTGTTTGTGGGAAGCCTGTTTTGTTTCTTGAGCAGATTACTGAAAGCAAGCCAAGCTTTAGCACATCTTCAGCAGTTTGTTTGCAAAAGCAGACAGTCATCATTACTAAATATTGACATGGTGATGAAAGAGAGAAAGCTTAATAAAATCACAGAGATCATTAACGGTGTTATAGCAAAGTAATGCAGTGTATCACATTTTTTCCTGAGTAACTGAATCCAGCTCTGAGCTTAGCAGAGGACCTAAGCCCATGCATTTGCTTGAACAGCACTGTGCTCAGGCCAGTGCCCAGATGTGGGTACAGATTGCAGGCAGGGAAGGTACAGGCAGCTCAACACTCCGTAGGACAGGATCTCAGTTACAATCTCTCACATTTAAACTGTTGACTCCTGTGAAGAATTATCCATGGAAATAAAGCTGGAAGTGTCAAGACACTCTTGTATCTATTCTGGAAAGGACCTTGTCTATTTGCTCTCAGGTGAAGCTACAGTGCTGACATAGCAGCTGTTTTGCTTAAGAAGAAAGTAGTAAATTTAACTATTACTGGATTTTGGAAGAGGACTGCATACATTTTCACAGCAAGACATAATGCTGCAATATTTCTACTAATTGCTCTGAGTGACCGTTTCAGTATTTGATTATTATATTCAACTACCTCTGTGCATGCGATAGACTCATAATTGACAGTCACAGTATTTTTTTTTCTCAGTAGTGTAGTTACTCTTGCTGCCTGAATTCTTCTGCATGCATACAGGTATTTGATAGTATCACACATACATTTCAAGGATTGAGCCATATGAATGCATTTATAAGAAATGAAGGACAATTCCTTCATCACTGTCAAAAATGTAGATGTGGGCAGTTTGTATCAAATACATATAGAATCAAGATCCTGCAAAAAAATGTATGTTCCCCATTTCCTTATTTTAAAAGTAACCATTTTTGACAGGGTGGTGTTGGAAGCAGAAAGGTTCCGGCCCTGGAATGATATGTTTTAACATTTCCTCAATTGCTGTCTGCATTTTTAATGGACATTCATTTTTAAGTCAGACACCAGGCTTTTCCTTTTAGAAAAGTTACATTTTAGAGGACGTGAGTTTGTGAGTCTCCTTCTATGGAGATATTCAGGACTTGTCTGTACACCTACCTGTGTGATCTACTGTAGGGCACCTGCTTTAGGAAGGGGGTTGGACTCGACGATCTCTTGAGGTCCCTTCCAACTCTTGTAATACTATAAGAGGGAAAGGGAAAGAAAAAAACCACAGCAATGGGAATATCTACTGAAATTTATGATTTTCTAAGGTAGTAGGCAAAATTAAGATGGAATAGAGTTATTCTTGATGATCGCTTTAATTGATATTCCACATCATATATATGTCTTAGAAGTTGATGTTTAGAATTATTCATGCCTATTATAGGTGAAAAAAAAGCTATCAGTTTAGAGCTAACAGTTATCTAAGCTATTTTCTGCTTTGTGTCAAAATTGGTATGCTTAGGATTGTTTTCTACATGAAATAATTATTGGAAAAGGCATCTTTCTTTTTCAACTAAAAGTTCATACATTTTATTATTTATTTATCGAGAGGTATAGAATGCAGCAAAAAACAACAAAAACAAACAAACAAACAAACAAAATGAACCCAAAAGTTAAGAGTTTTGGCTTGGTGATAACAATCAAAGAAACTGCCTTTTGATATTATAGCAAGTCTTGCATTTGAATTTCTCATTTGATTTGTTTTTTTAGAATTGATTTCCATTCACTCATTCTGCCTATAATTATATATAAAAAAACAAAAGTGTGTGTACTGTTAAAAAAAAGTACCTGGACTGGCATCTGTGAAATTTGGGGAGTGCTATAAAGCTATATTTTCAAATAAATATGGGCAAAATAAGAGTGTGGATTTACTTACTAGAAACACTGGTTTTCAGATGTGCATTAGTACTCGTTAAAGTCCTCCTACTGTGGATGATTATTTGTAGGCGCATTACTGTTTTTTTCTATTTTTTTCCTTTTTTTTTTTTTCTATTTTATTTTAATTTCCAATATTTGGTTCCTGTTTGCATTTTGGAGTCCGTATAGCAATGTTCTGTCAATTTTCTTTTGTGCAGGAAGCCGTAACGAAGTTGTCATCACTGAAAATAACAACAGCATAACTGAGCAAATCACTGATGTTGTCAAACAGCCTGCCTTTATAGCTGGCATCGGTGGTGCATGTTGGGTAATTCTGATGGGTTTCAGCATCTGGCTGTATTGGCGCAGAAAGAAGAGGAAGGGGCTCAGTAATTATGCTGGTAAGAACAGTAACTCTTTATTACCATCTCATCGGGTTCTGACATGAAGAGAACATGTGCTGATAAACCTACTTAAAAAACGTGTTGACCTTACAGCAAAGGTGGCCTGGATTAATTTTGAATGCTTGTTTTAAATTTGTGTTGTGAAAATGCTGGTGTATGAGAAGCTTTAAATGCATTGCTCAGTACCATATTTCATCATTATCATAAAACAGTCTTTATTTTTACATCTTCAGCACATTTAGCATTAAAAAAAAGTGGATAAAAAAATGAAGTGGATTATTCCTTGATCAGAAAGCACTCTGTAGTAGTACAGCTCCATTTATCTGCTCAGATGTGAAATAGACTAGACCCTTACAGGAAAGATCAGGAAGAATATTCTGTATCCTTTTTCATTCCCGTGCATTTCCATGTTTTTGAAGCCATATGCATGGGAAATAAACTGAATTACTTAATCTACAGCTCCATACCTACAACTGGAAGAAAAGAGAGAGATGTATTAGACATAAAAGTGGGATCAAAAATTACCTTTCACAGAAGTAATATAAGGTTTTGACTTGGAGGTAGAACACCACAGGATGCCCTTGCAGTGTGCTCAGTTTTACATCAAATGTGCTGTTCCAGTTACAAATTAATTTTTGAAAATTCATTTGGAAAAATAAATTCAACGAATGATTTTCTTTTTCTCATCCAAATTCTCTATATTCTGTATTGTTCTGTGCTTTAGGGTTCTTATGGATTTTTAGTAAGTCAGATGAGTATAGAATTGCCTTAAAATATGTTGCTCTGAAGCCTAATTTAACGTGAAAAAGCTGTTCTTCAAATATTAGGGTAATTTCTCCTGTAGTACTCATATAATACATGTAAAAAGAAAACATTTTCTGTTCGAGTAAGATTCACATAGATAAGGACACAGCATATTTAATGTTGACATTATATGAGACTAAAGTTATGCTAATACTCCACTAATTTACAAGTTGTTACATGCCAGTCAGGAGACACAAGTTCCCTAGGTATCTAAACATCTCTGTCAAAAACTAACATTCGTTTCCTGCTCCTGGCTAGACATTCCTATGCCTTCAAACCTTGGTGTTAGCCATCACCAACCTCCTCCATGTCCTGATTCAACTCACTAAACCAGAAGGAAACTGTTTATAGTTTTTTTGAGTTTTTTTTTGAGTTTTCAATCCTTCCTAATCTCACCCCTGCTGAATTAGTTTTCAGCTGGCTTATTGAAATGAAGCAGTCCAAGAGGAGATCAGATAAGCACCAATGCCAGCACAGCAAGAGAAGAAAGACACTTTTGTTGACCACAGCTCTTAGATATACTCAATTTCTGTGGATCCTCTCTTTGTGTGACTGCGTGGACTCTATCATTCACAGTTTATGCTTTTGGATGAACTGTTTTTTCTTTCCTTTAACAGCCAGAACTTTTATTTTCTGAAAGGTGGTATAAATTAATAGACTAATATAAACCGCAGATACTTTCACATGTGCTGATATTAGTTTATTAGTTTAGTTATTAGTTTAGATCCTAAGATTTTTCATATTAAGAGAGAGTGGTACTGTTATTTCTCTTAGGAAGCAATCATATAGGTAACCTTTGTGCACTGGCTTAGATTACTCTTTTTTTTTGGTGTACAGCATTATTAGCCCTGTGTGTGCACTGGCATTTTTTGGGGGGGGTGTTGAGGAAGAAGCCTTTTGTACTTTAAAATATGTACCTGTAGTTGATTACAACAGTCATTTTAAACAGTTTGTCTACTGCAACTCATTCCTTCTCATAGTGTTTGCTGCATCTAAGTGTGATGTGAACATTGCATCATGACATGTTGTTCCCATTATTGGAATTATGACGTTGTGTATGCTTTCAGCAAGGAAAGTTCATAACAGGTCATGTTCAAAATTCATCCTAATGTTTACAATTTGGAGAACAGCATGCGCACACTAAAATTGTCTTCAGACTTGACCGTCTAAATCCACTGCTCAACTTTCCAACTGTCATTTCTCATTGGCTGCTGGCTGGCTAATGCTTTAAGCTCAAATGTTATGTCCTGCATATGATATTATACCACAGCTGAGTAAATTCCAGAGGAAACTTGTGCCCTGCTATTAGCGCTTGTTATGGGACTGTGTAACTCATAATGTGTTTGCTTTCTTGTTTTGCAGTTCAGTCCTTCACCTTCACCCCTGCAGGTACTGTCCATTAGTCTGTCTCTTACCTCACCAACACATCATTGCAAACATTACCTATCCAAGTGTTTATAAACGTGTGAGGTATGCAGAATTAAAATCGAACAGAAGGAGAAACACTTCTGCTACCTATCTGTGTTAAAAATGTAGCATTCTTTCTCTCATGATTCCAAAGTGGTGTAAAATCTGCCACCACTAATGTCTTTGCCTTGATTCACATGCTTTTTACCCATCTAATTCTTCAAAATAATGAGGTTTTTAAGGTAATTTGCAGGACAAAGTTCCTGAACTAACATAAATAGACAAGAATTAGTCACCTATGACCAATTTTTGATTTTGAAATTCAAAAGAACTATTTCAGTTATTTTCTGATGTTTAACTGGAGAAACAGAGCTATTTTGCACTTTATCTGTTAGCTGTTTTCCTTGCCTTGAGGTGTTCAGATCTGCAGGATATCTAATGATTAACCTATGCACATTTAATTTTTGAAGTTGAAGCATTAGCTTTTTTCTGTCTATCCAATTCAAAGTTGGTATTCTTGTTTTCATATCTTTAGTAAACATAGCATATGGTAGACCGTTATCATAAGTGTGATTAAAGATATGTGAAAAGTGAATGAAGTGAGTCTGAAACAGCATGTTGAAGACAGCTTAGTCAACATATGGACAGCCAAGAAAAATTCAGTATTCAAATAATAGTAATAATTAATACAAATAATTAGCTTTTACCCTCATACTTAAGTTTCAGTGTCATAAACATACAAATAATTGTATTAAAGTTTAAAAGCCTGATAAATTTCAGCATTTTCCAGCAGAAATTTGTAAGAAGTTTTGTGCTTAGCATGGGTCCTAAGTTGCATTTGCCAAAGTAGTCTTTTCTGATACCTCTGCCATCCATATGATAGAGGACAGTCTTAATTACATTGTTGAACTGGTTGTCCTGTTCTGCTAGCTGCTTTCTACTTCTTGCTGATACAAACCACAGTTCAAGTGCTTGGCTTAAGCAGAAAAAAGCAAATGACTGCTGAGGCATGTGAGCAAAGATGGTAATATGTGCACCAGGGACCCATGACATTGATAAGGAGAGCTGTCCTAAGGAGCTCTATGGACTCAGGAATTACTCCTTCTGGCTTCTTGGTATGTTTGTCCAAGTCAGAACAAGTTCTGGTACAACACATCCTACCTTAAAATCTTTACTTGTGTTTTTATTGAGAGCATAGGATATTTTTTCAAAAAATGAAATAATACATTTTAAAATGTGGTTCTATGACCATGCAATTGTTGACTGACTGTAACTGGTAATTTTTTTTCCATTTTCTTTGTAGCTGACACTGGCACAAACTACAATCACATTAGTGCCACTTCTGGTATACATGATTCAGTGCAATTGGTAGGATATGCTATCCTGAATAGCTAGGATATGTCAGAGTCCCTGCTAAAAAATTGTGGTTTTAAAAATAGTTTTGACATCTCATGGACTTTACAGAACTATTAATAATACAGAGTTCTGTTGCCTGATATGTAATCATTTAGAGAAACTGAGAACCTAGATCATCAAGTAAGCAAGTACAAACAGTGGACATAGCCCATGGTTTTTATGTTTAGAGCTAGAGTTCTCTAAGAAGCATCTTTAGTTCTCATATGTTTGGTAATCTCATTTAGACAAACATATCTATGCTTGTGGAGGTTTGCTGACATTCAGTGGCATGTTTTTTCCTTCAAAATTATGATTCATAAGCACTGAATTGGCTTCAGATCTAAATAGTTAGTGGTATGTAGTATTTAGAATCTTATTAGAAATGGCTGTTGATAAAGTTTTACTGAAGATGAGTTAAACTGAATATACACAGATTCTGCAAAGTGCACACTTTTCTTCCAAATATCTGCATTAAATTCTTGTAGAAAGATAGAGTATACAGAGTTGACTGTATAATAAGATAGTTGAAAGTATTAGCAGACCATGATTTAGACATCTACTCTATTTCATGTGACTTTCTGAGCAATAAATATTTTATCCATTATACCTGATGTAGTATTTTTCTTTGTGTTTTTTGTTTGTTTGTTTGTTTTTTGTTTGTTTTTCAGTTTTACTTGCATACATAGAGCTGGTTAAATTTTCAAAACTAGTTGCTAAAAAGTCTGTTTTGAGCAGATATAATTACTTGCCAAAACCATTCTATCTGATCACTTTCAGAGTAAAGGTCATTCACTAGAACACTGTTGCTTGCGTTCTATTGTTAGATTCCTAGGTGGTACGATTTCTTCTATCAGACTAAATTACTATAGCATTCTGCATAGAAACAGAGCAAACAGAAAATATCACATTATTGGTAAAGATTTGTGCCAGAGAAAAATAATTGATTGAGTTAAATTCATTATGCTTTCTGTCTTTGTAAACATTTTCATAAACACTGATTGATTGCTCAGATGGTCACAAGCAAAATTTGAAACTGAAAACCATAGCTACATTTTTTACTTATTTTCAATTGAGCTGATTCCAGTAGTTATTATTCAGTCACAGTTCTTTAAATCACTAGTCCTCCATTTCCTTTTCATCCATCATGGCTCCCCAGGCATTGGTAGTATCAGTGCTGCAAAGCATATTATTTTCTATCGTTCATCAGATGAGTGTTTTGCTTACCTGGTTAGTAGCAGTGTCATGATCTGCAGCTGTGCAACAAGTATACCTTTTTGGGACCATGACAGGCTGCCAACAAAAATAAATGTTGCACAGAAACAATAAACACAAATATTACCCCTTCTTAGTGATCTCTTTTGTGATACATTTTCAGACCTATGGTCTGATTTTGGAGTCGTTCTGCATGGAGCCAGGAGTGGGAACTCTGTAATCCTTTTGGGTCCCTTCCAACTTGGAATATTCTGTGATTCTGTAACATAAAGAATGGATTGATATTACTTTTGTAAGTATCTGTAAAAGCTAAAATGACTACTAAACTGATTTTTATTTTTATTTTTATGGTTACGTTTTGCTCAGATTGTTGGATATAAACATGCACTGTATTTATCATATGCAAGAAAAGTTAGGTGTAACAAAAAAGTCTTCTGACCACTTCTAGTATAATAGAAAAATTTTTTAGTCCCATATTACAGTGACAGAACAGAACTTGTTTATGTAGCAGTGGAAACTGCAATTCTCCTTTCACGTTTTGGTATACAGACTTATACAACAAAGGCACAGAATCACTTTGTAGAAATAAGAGAGATTTCATTTATCTGCTTATCTTTCCTATGGCTTCAAACTCATTGTTGTGCCAGCAACTGCTCACTTGAATACTCAGGTGTTTTCAAGATTGTCTAGGCCATCAGTCATGCAAGAAAAGTCAATATGTGTTTTCATTTATGAGTAGGTAAGCTTATTTAGTGACTAGTGCTCCTTGGGATTAAAGATTTCATGAAACCAAGTAAACAAAAACAAATTAAAAATAGATAATTAAGGAATTATAGAATGCTACACATTTTATGCTTAACTCCTGAAGCTGTTAAATGAGGATAAGTTGTTTGACAGAATTGTCCAAAGGTAGGCAGAAGATTTGATGGAATTTTTATATGCTGATTATCTGTTCTGAGTTAATGCTTATTAAAAAAGGATTAATCTACATTCATATTTGAGGAACAGCTTATCAGGAAAAGGAATAAGACTTGGCTGGCAACATTAAAGTTTTCATTTGTGGTAGGAAAATGTGGCCTTCTAGAGATAGGCGTACATAAAGCTTTCTAAAGCTTTCTTGCCTCAAAATGTCAACTTACTGTATATTCATATTTTTCCAGTCCTAGCAGGCACGAAGATTAAGTTTAACCTTGTCAGATAATATTAGTAAATAGTATGAGCATCTCCTTATATATTTAATAAAAGGCATATAAAAAACTCTTTAACATATGCCATTCTTCATAGAAATATATACAATATAATTTCTTTAAATATTTATGCATTTAAAATGTGCTTTGGATTATCTTCCTGCTTTCTTGCAGTCCTTCAAGTATAAGCTAGTGGGGATTCCTTCAAAATCTCTCTATGCAGAGGTTGTTTTTTTTATCTTCTTTTGAAAACCAATCTCATCCCTTCAGGTCTGTGTCCTTTTTCAGAACATATATCAGATGCAAAGAATGCTGAAAGAATTTTGTGCTTCCTCAGTGATAAAAAAAGCAAGAGAGATGGGTGGGTCAGTGATAGGGACATCCTTCCTTTTCTCCTCTTACATTGCCCCTTGAAATTACTCTGCATCTTTTTAAAGTGGAGACAGGATGAATAAAGCCAGCTGCCTGTGTGTTTTATTTTTACAGTGACATCTACATGTCTGCACTGCATTAAATATGCTCCTATTCAGGCATTTAGACTTGCTTTGTAATTGCAGAAATCAAACTGCAGGCAAAAATGCTGACAAAATGTATGGCAGGAATGATAAACATAGTGCTTATGTTGGCAGCCTGACCATGTCTTCTGTTTTTTAGCTGTCTTTTCTTTCACAATATTGACGCTAAAAGAAAGACATCTTCTCTATCTTCCCTCAGCCCATTTATGGAAGTCATCTGGAATATCATATTTTTTTTTCTATGACATCCTGATGATATCTCCTCACTTATTCCAATTTTGGCTAGCTTAATTGATATTCCAGAGCCTTTACGACCAAGAGTAGAAACCACAATGCTCTCTTGTTTCTTTTCTGATTAAGTTTACAACCAAAACTGTGCTGGTTTGCAAGGAGTAGGTTAAATGAAAGCACCTGTATTCCTTCCCAGTTCCATACATATTGCATAAGCCAGGCACGATCTTCCCTACCAAACTGGGTCACTGCAATACAAGCTCTTCTGAAGACAGTGTTTATGCTGGGAGGGCATAAGGTTGTTTAATGTAGGAAGAAACCTGAAATGGTTGCTACCATTAGGATGCATAGGTAGCAGAAAAGAGAGTAAATGCTTGGATACCTGTCTCTTCTCAGCAAGCTTGTATACAGCAGCCATTCCACAGCAGTTATAGCTCTACAGCAAAGGTTGCGATCATCTTCTTGATATTTTTTTCCTAGCATGCCTTCAAGTTCTCTTGCCTCACTGAGTAGAAAATAGAATGTGTCTGGCAAACATTGCTGTGATTTCCTACTAGCTCCTCCATTTTATCTTTCTTTTATAGAGGTAGACTACCGATACAAATATTTTTGAGACCATAAGTATGGATTTTTTTCCCATATGACTTATATAGATAAAATATCACACGTATACGCTACACAGTTGGTGACAATAATACTTTAATGCAATTTCTGGTAGTCTGTCATTGAAACAAGACCATTAATCCCAGGAGATTTTTCAGAAAATATGTTGCAGTGTAATTCCCTTAAAATTGTAAACCTTATTTACAAAGGTTGTTAGTGAATACACCTTTGTTTCTTGTCCCTATTTGTTGTTGCTTTGACAGTTGAAGAAGGTTGTAGTATTAAATGAGAAGGGGAGAAGGAGTAAGGACACAGAACCTCTACTGAAGTGCTAATGTATTTTGACCAACATAGCTTGCAACATAGCTGGTCAGTACCACCTCTTCATATATTCACACATGATATCCAAAACACTTCAGATTATTCACACTGAAGCAACGAGTGATGCAGTCACTTGACAGCCTGTTAAAAGCAACATGAATGAAAGTGGCATCAGCTCTAAAGTTAATTAGCTGCAGTGTTTTTAACATCTCATTTTTCAAAGCAGACTTTAATACTTCCCATACTTGCATTTTGATTTTCTTTTCATTAATTGATTTGATTACATCCTTTCAAAATTCGGCTATTAACCATTTTGATGTGACATATGACTGCAGTGATTTTCTGATATTGGTAATACTCTGTTCTGCAGTGAAGTGTAATTAATCACCCTACCCAAGCGCTCTTCAGCAAGGCTTCCAAAGGGGTTACTTTTGTCTCCTTTGCTCAATGTATGCTGTGAAATTACCCTAGGAATTAATGAAGAGACAAGTATTCTCTAAGGTATCAGAAGTATTTCATCAGTGGATTTGTGTCATTGCTAATTTTTTATTAATCACAGTATTTCTATTGGATTTAGTAGTTTGATCAGGTTAGAAACATTTATAATGGAAGGCATAATCTTGAACTGGTGGTTTGATCTAATATTTGGAAAACGCTACAAATATTCAGGAATTTGTAATTTAATGATGAAGATGTTTGTCTTAGAAAGTTAGATTGTATTTCCAATATTGGACCTTAATTTTAAATTAAGTTGTTCATAGACTAATCCATTCCTCTCTGAAATTCTAACCGTCATCTTGTTAGAGCTGTGAGGATGCAAGTGTCCAGGACATTGATATACTTTAATTGTCAGCCCTGCCTATACCCAACAATACATAATGCAATATTGCCACGGACAACCACAGTCATTTCTGAACTTTGATTCAAAATATTTGCCAGTGCTTCAAAAAGGACCGTGTAATCCTGTCAATTAGCATCTCAGTAATGTGAGTTTACCTATATCACTCTCGAATGTAATCCTGTTAATAAGGTAGATAAGGAATGAACTATTTCTTGATACCTATGAATGGGGCTACAGTGTATCCTTTGCATCCACAGTGGCAAGACTGAAAACATCTCTTCTCTGTAATAGTGGCGTGTATGCACTTACGTGTGTGTGCTAGTTCTTACATGTGCTGCTGATGGAAATCCTGCAGCTTTATGCTTCCCCCCTCTACACACATCCCTTCAGCTGTAATAGAGCTGCCACTTCTTTGTATTTATCGTGGGAAATGGCGTATTTGTGTGGTGACATGATATTACTGCATTACAACATGATGTTATTAACTCACTGGTGCAGTGTCATTATGTACCGAAGCAAAAGCATGCCAAGAAAACAATTTCATCACATGGCACAGTCTTGCACTGCAAAGTCATATGAAACGGCCTGTGCTAAATGCAGGATTTTTTCCTCAAATGGCTGGCTTGCCTTGCAAGCTACAGAACAAATTGATGTGAATCAATACTGTAAGTTAAATCCTAAATAAACTGTAATCCTAATGTGCTTTTTATCCTTTTCTTATAATTTCTGTACTTTCTTATGTGATGATGTCAAGAGGCCTCCAATCTTGGACACTGAGCAATTTGAATTGATGCTTATAACTAATTGATTTCTCCCTGTCTTATATGTGTGTGTGTGTGTGTATTTGTTTGTTTTGTTTTTCCAACCAAAATACAGTCACGTTCCAAAGAGGAGATGGAGGACTAATGAGCAATGGAAGGTATGTTTCTCTGCATAAAAGTCTTTCCATTACATATATTTCTAAAATTAGGAATCTGAAAATTCTGCAGGTAATGCACTTGAGTAAACAATCGTTTGCAAGACCGACAATTACAGAAAGAGTTAAGTAGCTTACTACAAGATTTAATGATCTATCTGTTGTGCACTTTGGAGGAATCAAGCCCAGATGTTTCATATCTCCCAGATGCCCTGAAAGAAATGCGTAGTAAATATCACAAGGAATGTGTTCATTTGTTACCAAGATGTTTATTGCATTAATTAGACATTAGCAAATGAAGTTGCTGTTGTTTAAGACTCCTTATTGGCTACCCCTAAATTGCTGTGAGTGAACAATTACACTTAATCGATCACAAAATAAATGATTCATGGATGATGAATAGGCTGTAGATTGACAGGACTAGATTCCACAACTTTGGCTACTCAATTGAAATTGATAAAAGCTGATAACAGACCCATATATCCTCATCTATTTTCCCTTTGCCGATATGGAGATTGTAATTAGGCTGTGGTAATAACTTCCAATCTCCTATTTAATCAATATTTTAGCAAAAAGAGATAAGGCCTAATGAGAGCTAGTGGATATGGCAAGAAAGCTGCTGGGTCTTCTTATTGCTGTTTCCATAGAAACTTATGTTTCTCTTAGGGATTGTACCAGACAGGGGCCTATCAGAAATAAAGTACAATGATTATAGGTGTTGCTCCAACTTCATGAGTGCATTAATAATCTAGAATAGCATCAGGACTATGGGTGATTTTGCTTGAGGGCTGGGGGCATTTACATGACATGATTTATTTTCCTTGTTAAATACAAATACAAACAATCCACATGCCTTGCTAAATTCCAGGCTGTTTATCCTGGGGTGAGAGAGACACAGTGCCTTATGGCCTGAGTTTATGTTCTCTTTCAACATGCTTACTGTTTAATACTGCTTGCAAAGCTTGAAATTATAGTGATATAAAAACCATGCAGTAGTGGCAGATAAAGATAGCTGTGGACTTTCCATTAATCCTACTCAAACCTCTTCGCCTCTAAACCATACAAGAGTGCTTAAAGAAAGAGTTACCAGCCTGTAGATGACAGGCGTGCATTTGGGATGCAAGGGAAAGAAGAAATAGTAGCCCAAAGTCCTGGAAATGGCTGATATGGAGCAATCAGTTTGAGTGATTGTTCCCTTGAGGTGGTAATTTATCATTCGGCCTTGGTTTCGGATCCCATGATGGTACTGCCTAACCCCCATTTCACACAGACAACGGAGTTCATTTGGATTCTGGCAGAATCACGACTGATGCCTAGTCCCACTTCTGCTGACAAAGTTGATTTGTATATATCCTTAATTAACTGCTCAAGGTCTTTATATCATCAAAGACTACACAATTTTAATTTGAAATAAATTAAAGTCTCCTAAACTGTTTCTTACACACAATGATAGGAAGTTATGTAGCATCTTCAATTGCTATTATATCCAGAGTTGTCTCACAGATATTTTAATTTTGTTTGTATGTGTATATGTATGTATATCTTTTTTTTTTTATTCTTCTTCAGTCGACCAGGTTTGTTGAATGCAAGTGACCCCAGTTATCCTTGGCTTGCAGACTCTTGGCCTGCCACAAGTCTGCCAGTTAACAACAGCTCTAGTGGACCAAATGATCTTGCCAATTTCAGTCGTGGAGGTAGGGTTCATTTTATTGTCACCATATAGTATAAAATTGGATTTTTCTTTGTTATCACCTAGATAAAGACTGTGCAATATTTTCATACTGTTATAGTTCTTTCTATATTTGACTAAAGATTTTATTTACACTTGGCTTTAAATTATCTATTTTACTGTGTCTCTTTCTGTATCTTTAAAACATGAAGTTTACCCCACACTGGTAAGACAGGGTCTGAGAATCATTTCAAGAGAAACAGATGGGTTCCCTTTTGCATGGACACGAGCAATCTGCTGTGTAGACCACTATAGTCAGGGACAGAGGACATCTATAAGATCTGAGAGAAACTTGGGGAACCCAGGAAGAATGTTTCTCCCATGTTCCTCCAGCACTGTTGCTGTAACCTTGCCCATCCCCTTCCTGTTGTGGGACTGCTCTTAGTCTCAACCATAATCAATGAAGAAAGCCTCACAGGTATTTAGAAATTTCCCTTCTTATTGGAGGAAAGAACACATGAAACAAACTATTTAGATTTGGGGGCAGTTATTTCCATTTTTAATTGTAGGAGGCTCTTCATGAAAGAAGGCAATAATTTGTAATTATGATGATGAATCTTTGGAGAGATTATTTTCTTTCAAGCATTTTACTCAAATGGGAATTTCAGGATGAACTATTGTGATTTTAAAATGTCAAAATAATTTTCATATCTCCTTCTTGGTTTCTGTGATGTTATAACAACTTATTCTCTATAGTGGTGTTCAGGGGAAGACTGAAATTTAAAAAAAATAAAATAAAAAAATTAAAAACCATACGAGTATATAAGTATTTTTAAGACATAAAAAAATCAATTCAACTTTGTATGTCAAAATACATTAAAATGCAAAGAAAGTATATCAAACTATCAAACTGATAAACTGATAAATGTGAAAAGAACATAATTTTGAGTTGTATCAAAATCTGCCTCTGAAAATAATCTCTCACTTTGGTTATAAATTCCTATGCAAAACTCTATGGTTTGACTTGATTTCAAATTATATTAAAACATTCAGGGTTTATTTTCCATTTAAGAATGCTTTAAAACTCTTGTCTTACAAAAATATTATAAAGTAAACAAGTGTCTGACAATATTTATAAAATAACTGAATATCTGCCAGCTTCTTTGTTGTGAATTTCTTGAAAATAAAGCTCTTTGGTACTTTTCCATCTTTTAATGAGATCACATAATGCAGAAGAATTATCAGTTTGTATTTGGCTCTGTAAGACTTAATTTGGAAGTATGTTTTAAGACTTTGGGCTTGAGGGTGGGTGAGGCATAGCTTCCAAATTTGTCCAGGAAATGCAACAGTTGGAATTTCAGGAGCTTACTTATACCCATGATCTTTTCAGTCCAAATCATACTTTTATTCTGGGGGTTTGGGGCTCACTTGGTCCTATCTATTTCAGCACTTGAGTTTGGATGCTTTCTGCATTAAAGATGGATCAGAAGTCAGATATCTTTTAGTGCAAATTAATGTAGTTGTGTCTAGCATAGATAGAATTTGAGTGTCTTTGGGTTAAAGGTCTGGATTAGTATTAGAGGTCTGTAAGAATTTTGAAAATGGTAAGGTGGCAATGACTCTGGAGCAGAAACTGAGGAAGGCTGTCACAGAATTGTCTTTAAAAATGAAATCTGCATTATATGCTAGATATGCAGTGGTGAGCAAATCTGTGAGTGGTAAGCAGAGGTTAGGTTTGGAATCACAGAAGACCACAAAATAGTATTGAGACAACAGGAAAGATATTCCCTCAGAAAGTATGTTAGAATATTTGAAATTATTGTGAGAGTTACAAAGAAAAATGGATATTAGAGAGCTTTTGGAGTGGTCTAGTGGGAAATGTCCAGTGGGAAACGAATGTCCATCTTCAGTCTGAACTATAGAGTGCTTTTTCTTCTGGGGGGGGGGGGGGTAGAGAGGGGATTTTAACAATTTGTATAAATGCTTGAAGGGAGGGAGCCTTGCTATTTTCTGTGGTGTCCAATGCTAGGAGGAGACAGTGACCACAAATACTAACACACAAGTGATTCCACGTAAGCATCAGGAAGCATAATTTTGCAGTACAGGTGACTGAGTGCTGACACAGGTTGCCCAGAGACATTGTGGAGACTCCATCCTTGGAGATCTTCAAAAACCACCTGGACACGGTCCTGGTAATCTGCAGTCTGCTCTGGGTGTTCTTGCTTGCGCAGGGGTTGGATCAGATGAATTCCAGAAGTCCCTTCCAACCTCGACTATCCCATGATTCTGTGATTCACTATGCTTTGATTAAATCAGTTGTGGAAAGGTCAAGTCTTCATATTGTGGATGAGTTACATGAAAGATAGGAGTGCACTTGACTCTCACATCTCATGCAGTGTTTGCATATAGATGATTTTGTGATTGTATATTGCCCTAAATACATGGGCATACGTGAATTCAACACACTGTATACTTGTAGATAGATAATAATAAACTGGTTTTGAAATATGACTTGTACTATGCATTAATTATAACTTCTTTTGGCACTTCAAATTTTTCTGCAGATATGTAATATAATTCCCGATTGTTCCCATGTTGTTGTTTCTTGTTTGAAAAAAAATGTACCTCTACAACCAACTTTAATCTTCCTGTAATCTATTTGCTGAGCACTTGTTGCCATATTGACTGGTAATTGGTACTACATTGTTACTCTGAGACTGCAGATGCTAGACTTCATATTAAAACATTCACATACACGCAGTAGAAAATAATTCTCTGATGTAGGTTTTCAACCTAGGGAAAAAAATAAACAGCAATGGGAGGAAGGAAGCTGTGCTATCATATCTTATTGGCAGAAAAATCCTGAGACATTAAGAGACCAATTGTATTCTATCAGGTTGCACAGCACCTGTGTCTGAAACTGGAATGACTCTAAACCCTTCTCTTTTCTTTTTGAGGTCTAAAATATATAGAAACATCTTTGATACCTAAAATGAGATCTGAACATCCTCACTATAGGAGTATGCATTATATCAATTACTTTCCAGTTGGAATCCAGTTCTGCCATCAGGCTATATAAAGCAAATGGCATATAAATGATACACTATTCTAACAAGTAGATTCTCCTCTCCTTCATTTTAAACGATCAGTTTCACTATCAGATCATGTAAAAAAATGGTCCCTTCTACCTGTAACCTCTCGTCAAAGACTGGAAGGCCCCAATGAGGTCCCTGGAGCCTTCTCTTCTCCAAGCTAAACAAGCCCAACTTCCTCAACCTTTCTTCACAGGAGAGGTGCTCCAGCCCTCTGGTCATCTTCATGGCTCTTCTATGCATCCACTTCAACAATTCCACGTCCTTTCTGTACTGGGCCTGGACACAGTGCTCCAGCTGCAGCCTCACAAAGGGGAGGGAGACAATCCTTTCCCTCTTCCTGTTGGCCACCCCTCTTCTAATGCAGCCTAGGATAGAGTTGGCCTTTCAGGCTGCAATGCTGCCCTATATCCAGTACATATACAATATGTATATACATATACATGTATATGTATATGTATATGTATATGTATGTATACATATACATAATACAATACAATGCTGCCCTATATCCAGTTTTTCATCCAACATCCCACGTCCTTCTCAGCAGGGCTGGTCTCAAAGACTTTTTCTTCTCCCAGTCTGTATTCATATTTGGGATTGCGTCTACTCAAGTGCAACACTTTGCACTTGGCCTTGTTAAACGTCTTTAGATTCTCACATACCCTCTTTTTGAGTGTGTCTGGGTGGCATATCTCCCTACCATTATGTCAACTGCACCACTCAGCTTCAGAATCTAAAAATATTGTAATCAGTGTTTGAAATACTGACCTCTATAATAGCGAGAGGGGTTTATCTGCCAAGCTATGGTTCTCTTTGAGACATCATGCCAGTCGTCATTAGATTCTTCACACTTCAGTAGTCTCAACTTCCAACTCCAGTATTTCACCAGAAATGTCACTACAGTCTTCAGTAAGGAGAGAGACTGCCAGTGTAACTGATTAAACATACAAACTGCAGTATGTGATAGGATTCAAAAGATGTAGAAAAATCAACAGATATTAGGTAAACATTTTGTACTGTTTTTCAGGTAAATGTGGTGGAGTATTTGAACAAGTTGTACTCCATTATTAAGAATACTTTCCTGTTTTAAGAGGCTGATCACTGAAATCCCTTCAGAATAATAGGGTTTTTTTTTTTTTTTCACATTTCAGGAACAACTTGTTTTTGTCAGGTTTTTCTTTTGCTGAAAAAGAGAAATATGCTAACTAATGTCAAAAAGAAAATTAGATAAGCTGATGCATAAAACTTCTAGAAAGTAAGGTGATGGCCTCAAAAATTACTTTGAGAGCTTTGGCATCCACTTAAGATTTTTGCTACATATTTGCTAGGAATGTTTCCTCTGTGATTTGTAAATTTGTTCCTTTTATCATTTCCCTGAAGCCCAGACGTTGGTTCTGACATAGAATGAACAATTGAAAACATTCTTCAGTAGAGAAATATTCCAAACTTCACTTTTGCAGTTGAAAGTATGGGAAAAAAAGATGGTTTCAGGCAGTGAGACGTGAAGGACAAGTGGTAGGCCTGTCACAGATGCTGATAGGTTGGCAATGGTTGTATATCATCTTCCCTTCGTTGGTTCATGGACTTGTCTCAGCTGAAATGCAAACGTGCAAAATGACACATTTATTTTTCATCTTAAACCTTGATACTTTCAGGCTTCCTGTGCATCAATGATTTGTTTCATTCTCCTATGCTCACCACAGATGTGTTGCCACCAGTGCCAGGGCAAGGAGATAAAACTGCTACTATGCTTTCTGATGGAGCCATTTACAGCAGCATTGACTTCACGACAAAAACTAGTTACAACAGTTCCAGCCAAATAACGCAAGCTACGCCATATGCCACCACCCAGATCCTGCATTCCAACAGCATCCATGAGTTGGCAGTCGACTTACCTGATCCTCAGTGGAAAAGCTCAATTCAGCAAAAAAATGACCTGATGGGATTTGGCTACTCTCTACCAGAACAAGGCAAAGGCAACAATGGTAATTACAGCTCATATTTTCCAGAACTATATACTGTATCATCTATTCATGAATTAGAGAAAAAAAAAAAAAAAAGTACCATGTGAGATGTTGTTCATATTTACCGGAACTAATACTTATGTATCTTGCATGCGTGCTGAACCTCACAGTCACAAAATATATTGTTCTGTGCTTTTACTGCTGTGATAGTCATCAACCCATCTGCCTTCCATTAGGCTAGGAAAGGTATAAGTTAAATTAAAACTTGCGGCCCCACCACATCTGCTCTTGACTTGCTAACTGCATGTGTTGCATGTGCCTGTGCTGTCAACTAATCACACAATGCCACTGTGACCTTTGCCCTTTAACCCTTAGCCTTGCTTTACATCCCTGACTACCGCGTGGCTGAGGGATTGGCTAATAGATTGCCACACAACCAGTCACAGGATTTCAGCACCACCAGCTCCCACAACAGCTCCGAAAGGAGTGGCAGCCTCTCAGGTTGGTTCCACAGCTATGGGTGGGTGAGGGACGGAGGGGTGTTTGTCAGCAGCTCGCCAGGGAGGCAAACAAACTTCCCAGAGGCACTTTGCAGATAAGTATGAGAGTGCCTGCCCACTGCCAACAAAAGATAACCCATTGGCCTCCACTAAAAAAAATAAATAAAAAAGCATAGAAATTTCTCTTGCAAAACTTACTTGAACATCACTGGAGAATCCTCCCAACCATTGTGCCCAAAACTTCCCAGGACAGTTTGAAATCTTGCCTTGTCATGTTCTTTCCCTGAAAGCACAGTTTATACTGCAGTTACACTGTTCTTCAGTTTATGAGCATACCCACAACGAACTTCTTGAGGAGGTTAATATTTTTGTTGATTTATTAACAGGTTCCCCACTCCCATGAGCTGTTTCTAAACGTTGTATTTCCATCAGGCAGCTCAGAAATAAAAGTAGGCTCTGCAAGATGACTGAGGCTGCAAAAAGTGCAACAAGTCTACATATAAAGAGAATGCAAATTTTGTATGTGTGCTGCATGTTATATTGGAAACATAACACATTTTTACAGATGAAAATGATTATAGTACATGTGATTATATTTAAATGCACTTTTTACTTGATTTCTTTAATTTTGCTTACTTGTTGCTTTTGTTTCATACAAGGGCTGCTCCAAAAGTTTTGTCTCCTATTTCATTGTGTTGGCCGACAATGTCAGAGGTGGATGTTGGTGGTATGGTAGTAGAGGCTGAACCTTCCCACCAATACTCCATTACATTTTGTTGCCATATGACAGATGGTGGCAGAGAGGCAGTCTGGCAAAATGGCGTCTGACATGGGAGTGTCAGCAAAGGTGTGTCACTGAAATCGTCATTGTGGAAAAAATGGCACCCTTTGACATCCTCCAATGTTTTCTGAATGTTTACAGAGAGTAAACAATGGACATGAGCACAGTAAGGTGGAGGATGGTGCATTTCAGGAGTTGCTGACAGAAACATGAAAGACAAGCCAATTCCAGACAGCCATGCACAGCTGTCACACTATGAAATGAAGAGTATTTCAATCAGCCCATCCATGTAAATCTGTTAATGGTGGTGACTACATTCAAAAACTGTTTTGTAGCTAAGAATTTTTTCTTGCAAGTAGTGTTATTGTGTATCTGTTGTAGTTTCCATGGAAATAAATTGGAGGCATTACTTTCAGAGCAACCAATGTATAATTATGTCTTTTTTTTTTAAGATGAAAATTGAAAAGCCAGAAATTAAAACCTGCTATTATACTTAACCAAAATAGGAGTAAGCCGGCAAGAATTCAATTTCAAGTTCTTACTGTACCTATAGCCTTTTAAATTTCTGCTGTAACATAGAGCAATCATCACAGTAAAAGATCAACTCTAGAAATAGCTTTTTTATGTCAACTTAAATGACACCTATTTCAAACTGTATGCTTAGATTAGAAGCCTACAAACGCTAGCCCATAATTCAAATAAACAAATTTATTTGCAAATCTTGTGTCCTCATTGGAAATATTAGCTTACTTGAAAGAGATAGAAAAATAGACTTACAACGCTGATGGAAAGGTATGTGAGAGCTGAGTTCATTCAATCCTACGAGAAAGGTTCTTGATCTTTGTATGTAATATGTACTGGCAAGAGGCTTTTTGGCACCTGGGACTGCTTGAAAATACAGGATTTGATATGCTGAGGTACGTACGTATGTGTAGAAGTCAATATCACACTTTAAATGTGTTGACAGGTACAACTGCCTTAGAACTTTCTGAGAAAATACAATCAGTGGTTTTCATTACAAAAATGTCAGTTGATCAAAATCTGGACTTTGAAGAAATATTTCAAGTGAAGTGTGTTTTGTGTAGTATTTCTTAATTTAAAGTAGAATTTGTGATGAAACATGGAGACTTCAGGTAGCCTGTCCTTCTATGAACAGATCACACATGCTTTGATCACAACTGGATGTCCCATGGCTCAGATGATTGTTAGAGTATTAGACTGTTGTCAGTATTTTGCTCTCCCTTGCCCATTTGTTATCTATGTAATACAGACTATGTTTATAATGCATGAGATTTTGAGGAAGACCTTCAAATAATCTGACAATTAGAGCATTACTGTAGTCAGAATCCAGTTTTGATTACCTTTTTCTCATTAAGGTGAGCAGGGAACTTACTCTTTCAATTCCTCAGATGGTAGTTCTGTAAGTACATGTAAATTCTAAAGATTATTCTAAGTCTCTCTCTATCTCCAGTGAATGTCATGAGAAATTTTATCCCACTGTGGAATGGAAAATAGTTCAACACTCAACTGCTTTGTTAGGTAGGGTAATTTTGTGGCTGTACTTTGTGCAGAACATCTACAACCTTAACTTGTTGCTGTGATCATTTCATCAAGTGGTAAATTCTTTTTCCAGAACCTGAGTCATCTAGAGATGTAAACAATATAATTTAATTTCAGTGTGAGAAGACACTAAAATAACAAGCATCATTGCTATGGGGGAACAAGTCTTCTATATTTCAAACACACATCAAGTACTACATGTATTAGGTATCTGGTCCACTAGTCTGGCAGTGGAATAATTCTCTCCGTGGGAATAGGAGAAGAGAATTTTCTGCCTAGCTGTAGAGAGTAGGCTTCTTTCCCTACCAGTAATGACCTTGAACTTTCTTTTGTTTATTTCATATGAGCAGTTCCTCAGCTCTTCTTCACTCTCTCTTATAGTTCTTTTGTATTTGCCCTTTATCTACAAAACCCCTCAAATCCAATTGGATTCATAGTAACATCTCGCACATCCACCTTTTGTTTTATCAATCCCCTAAGATTACCAAGATCCTACTCTTTAAAATCTCCCTCTCCATATCAGCTAATCTCTAAACGCTCCTCTCCATTTCTCTTCCTTAAATACTCTTAGATACTCTTAGATTAAATGCCCCAGCAACACACGTATGCCTGTGCTTTCCTCCCAGAAAAGCACTCCTGCCTTAGCTCGTTTGTTCCTAATCCTGCTGACTTTTCCAAAGTTTATCCTTCAAACACTTAAATTCATGTTCTTCTTTTGTATATGCTTCAGCCTCAGCTTTCCCTCACTCCCAGTGTCTCTCAGACGAAAAGACAAGTGACAAGGGCTGAGATCTGTGACAAGTGTTTATCTCATGCTAAAATTGCACCTCTTTCTGAATGTCTCTATATCTAAAGCTAAGACCATGGCAAAGAAGATGGTGCCACAGAGTGCCACCCTGCCTGACAAATCAGTTGTAGCTTTTCTGATTAATTTCTGTCTGGAATTTTTTACATGATTTGCTTTTTGATTGATCCTTATAAAGAAGCATGAGATGGTAGTGGGTAGCTGGATTAGACAGCTCTCTGCAGCTCTCTGCAGCAGGCAAGGCCCAAATGACTGCTAGCTAGGTACCCCACTAGAAAAGCATACAACAAACCATTCTTCTGCCCAACAATCCAGAGTTTTAATAAAACAGAAATGGATGGATCTTGAAGCAGTCAAGGTATTTGAAATATTTTTTGTCTCGTTCTTCCTACTAATTAATTCTTGACTAGAAAAAAAGGATCAGGGCAAAATACAAGAAGCAAAACAAATGGGAAGGGAGCTTTTTCTGTAGGATTATTTTCCCACAAATTGAAATGTCTCGTTTGGAAAAGTGGGTATAAAAAGAATGGGAAAAGAGAAAAGGGCTTAAGTAAAATGTGTTGCTCCATTCATTTCCTCTAGCTGTTCCATTAGAGCTCTACATCAGTAATAGAACCTGTTGTCCAGAATGGCATAAAGGTAATTGAATCCTGTGAAACAAGTTGTTCTAAAATACTGCAGAAGACTTCCTGATATTTAAAACAATGAAACTTGATAAATTTCTATCAGCAAAATGCAGTTTCTTTTTGTTTTGACTACATATATGTCATTCAAGCTGAAAAAATTAAGCTTAATAACAATATTTTTATTGTGCCCTTAACCTCTGTGTTTTCCACAGAAAGAAACCATGAAAAACAATGTTATAAGCACACATTTCTGTTTCTGACATTTCAAAGAATTTGTAATGGTCTATTATATTTTTATCCATCAGTGAATGCAAGAAATCATAAAGAACACATGAATAAATCAGAAATGTATTCCTGAGGCAGCAAGATATGTCTTTCCTTGACTGTGCACTACTGTGGTGCAAATATATGCAGTTCACATTTTAAAAAGAAGTGATTTAACTAACTATTCTGAATATTTTTCCATTATTATTTTTAACCTTGTAAAAACATTAGGATGCTGGTGCTGATTCTGCTAAGACATAAATGTATCTTCTGTTTTGGGGCATGCCATCTGGAATCAGAATTCTATTTAAAAAAAATTTAAAAACCTACCTTTTTTCACATTATATCTCAAAAATTTTATTTTTCTTTTTGGATTTGCAGGTGGCAAAGGAGGGAAAAAGAAGAAAAGCAAAAATACTGCCAAGCCTCAGAAAAATAATGGTTCAAACTGGGCCAGTGTTCCCCTCCCACCCCCTCCTGTGCAACCCCTCCCAGGCACAGAGCTGGAACACTACGGGGTAGATCAACAAGAAGCAGGGTAATTTTCTTCTTTTTCTTTCGAAGAAAAGTCTGTGATTTGTGGAGATGAGGCTTCTGGTTTGTTTTTTTGTTTTTTGTTTTTTCCAAATGACAACATTATTCTATTTTGTTTTAAAAAAGAGAACACCTTTTCCTATAGACTTATTGAAGGCTATGGAGGAGGACTGTGTGACTAGCTTCTCATGAGAGCGAATGAAGATGGAAACAAAATCAACCTTGTTTCATCATCATGTAGGGTTTCTCTGCTTACTCATGCTGAGACTTTTTCTCACGTCACAGTTAGCCTGATGAATTTTGTTGGGAGCTGCTTGTAGATTATGGGACTTAGTGAGTAAGGATGACATAATATGGACTGTATTTTTTCACTGGTTTGATGTTGCCTGTTTTCTGTTGTCTGATGCAACAGAGCAAAAAATACACATAAAATTGTATTGATTTTAAAAGATCAACCAGTTGGTAGTAATCTTCTCATTGCCATTTAGAAGAAACTTCACAGTTGAGGAAATTTGTAGGTATTTTTTTAATTTAAACTACTCTTGAGACTCTGGAACCTTTCACTTATCTTTGAATATCATAAACTTATTCTCAAGGACAAAAAAAAAATCACATAAAAAGCAATAAGAGGAAAGAGACATTTTCTACACAAAGTGCAGCTATGGAATGCTTTCTATGAAGTGAAATTATATGAAATTGCAGATTATCAAACTCTGGAGGAAAATCAGAAAAATAGTTTACTGTGATCAACTCTGTTGGTGCCTATGAGAATCACTGCAGTTCCTTCTGGGACAAATCTACCTGCTTAAATATATGGAATAATCAATATTTCCTAATGATGAAGTATATGTTTTAAAAATTGTTTTAATAGTTATACTGAATAAAAATATTTCAAGTGCTATCTCTTTTATAAGTACTTCTATGATGAAAATCAGAAGATTTAAAGGTTAATTTTTGACTTTTAAAACGAATGGTAGCTAACTGTATGTCAGTGGAGTTCCTTTTAAAATTAAGGCTATATTAGAGGTAGAATTCCAAAATAAATATCAAGGAAAATGAGCAAACTTACTGGTTGTAAATATTTTTTGAAATATCAAGAAAAAGAAGTTCATATAAACATTTTTTCTGTATCTGATATAAAAATAAAATAAATTCAAGATGGTTTAGCTATCTAGAATTTGTAATTATCAGTTCATGTCCTTAAAACATACGTTGAGCCACTTCATTAAAATAATTAAGCTATAGAAGGTGATCAACTCAGATTTTCTTCAACGACAATGAAATAGCATAAAAATTAAATGGAAACACCATCCAGAGAAATCCCTTGTGACACAGAGCTTCACTTCTCAGTTGCATAATTCTGTTATCTTGCCAGAAGAAATTACATTGGTCACCAAGACAACACTTTGTATTTAAGAATAAGGTAATCACCAGTCTTGCAGGTTCCTATCAATTCAGTTTTTTCCTTATCTTTTAAATTACTCTTTTATGTGTTGGTTTGTTTTGGTGGGTTTTTTTGGTGTACTTTTTTTTTTTTTTAATGGTATCTCATTAAGAGTGATTATAACAAGATCTTCTAATGTGTATTTTACAAGTCAAGGACAAATATAGAACTAAAGATTAGACTTACAGTGTCAGTATTGAGCTACAGTAATTTGCAAAAAGCTTCACTGAACCCTACCTATCAGTAATGGCCATTCTGTATTCAGGGGGTTGGTGTTGTGTCTGTGGATTTCAAAATGCTAAAATGGAATTCATCACAGACTGCATTCCTTATGTTTCCATTATGTTTCCATTAATGTTGTAAAAAATGCTTTTCTTTTTAATTGTTTAAACTGTTTTGTTTTCCTTTTCTCTGATATATACTATGTATGACAAGTTCACTGTGTTTTAACTTCAGAATTAATTATATGCAAACATACATATATTGAGAATTACATTTGAAAAATGAATTTCTAGTCAGAAAAACTAAAAACTTTAATAAAGTTCTCACAGTGTGATATGAAAAGTGATTATTAAGAACAATAAAACAAGGAATCTGGAATGTAAATACTCATTTTTCTGTGCATCTCTTCCTATGATTCTTGAATTCAAGTGTGAGTTTTGTGGGCATGAGTATCCCAAATAAACTAAACAATTTTGACATCTTATTTTATGTATTAGAAATCAACATTAGTGTCTTTCTGGTTAACAAATTATAGGAAACAATCTACAGTAGCAATGACAGAAAAGCAATCTTTCAGAAAGAAAAGCAGTCGCATCACTTAAACATAAAAGGAAGAAAAAAACAACTCTTGAATCTCTTTACTGTCTTCTCCCCAGAAGAATCAAGGTTGTTATATTCACGCCTATTTTTCCATAAACTTCAACAAGTATAACAAAAGATGTACGTGCAAATCCAAGCAGTCATTGTAAGCAACACGGTAGATTTGGGGATATACTTAATTCCAGTTCAGCCTGTGAAGACAGTCTGTTTATTATTGCTGTTTCCCTAGCAAACTCATTCCTGTGAAATTTTCCCCTTTTTCTTGGCCTTCTAAGACTCTCTGCTTGTTCCTTGCCCTTCCACTTGCACATACTTCACAGTCTTTGAAATTACTGTTTTGTCAGTCAAACATTCCTTTTGTTTTTTAGCTTTTTTTAGAGAAGATGCTTTTGCTTGGTTTTATCTTATACACTTGACAATAAGGAAATGTTTATTTATTATTCTTCATCATCTCTTTGTATTTTTCACCAGTAATATGCATGATCTTAAGCCAACCACAATTATGATTGGTTATTTTTATTTCCTACTACTGATTACAACTTGAAATGGAGCATTAGCTGCTGGTTGTTAGTGTGCATGATAGTAAAATTACTTAGAAACGTATCTATTGAGAGCATGTATAGATGATAATACATTTTATATAAACAAAATACTTTCTTTTAAGGCCTAGAGAAGGATTTTTTTTTTCCTGCAACAATTTGTGTACTGAAACAGAATTCCTATAGAATGTTCCCTTTATCTATCATTTGTACTATTTAGTTTTGAAGAAGAATCCCTGATATGAAATAAAAGTGAAATAAACTAGCAAAGAGAAAAAGATGAATATAAAATAAATCTGCTAATATTAAAATAAAAATTGTTAGAAACATATTCATTTTTGTCAACTGGACTTAAAATTAATCATGAATAAATCATGAAATTACAACCAGATGTTCCTAGTGAAATTAAGGGTTTTAGATTTAATAAGAATTACTTGAAAAAGTTGAGTGCATTTTTTTCTGAGTTGTATTTACCCAAGGATCTGAAAAAAAAAACATGGATGTGACCAATATTCACTATGCTAGTTCCAGAAGTTTAAATAACTGTATAATTTGTATGAGATGCAGTCACAATGTCTTCCTTTAGGTTTCCTTGCTTTTTCTTTCGGATTTATTTTTGGTAAATTGAATGCTAGAGCTGATGACTTTTCAGACATTACGTTGTAAAGATAGCTGAGATTTTGAATCTCATTGTCCTGAGCTTCAGGCTTAGGATCCTCTCTATTAAAAAAAAAAAAAAAGAAAAGAAACAAAACTAGTTGAAAATACTGTACTTGTGCAGAATCTTTTTGTTAAGAAATAGACTGTCAAGCTGAACATTTGGGGATTTGAAACAAGCAGGGTCAAAAGGCTAGTGCCTCCAAAGCTCATTTATGCACTACTGTAAAGTCACTAAGGAGTCTCTTTCAGCCCTGTCCCTTTTAAGGAAGATGCTATTGCACTTAAGCATGAGGTTGAAAGAGAGTAACAGAGTTATTGCACTGCAGATTTTTAACAGCATGAGTTAGGATGGTCTCCTCACCTTCAGGTGTCAATGTCATGAGTGAATATGGCAAGGAAAGACAAGTTAAAGCTATTAATAGATTGTCTCCTAAGGAATTTAATGTACATTAACATTTTCTTTAAACTCTCTGTTGTGAGAACAGATAATCATCCAATAGCTCCTAATACCTAGTGTTAAGACACAGCATTCATTTGTCCCTCTGTACACATACATATTTCTGCATATCTGCACATGGTTACATCTAAATATAAATTTAAAATGATACCAGCTTTAATTACAAGCTACATCTTCCACAGGCTTTCAGCTCTTTCAGTCAGATATTTAGCTGTCCTGAATCTGTAATTTTAAGTATGGCCTACTTTTGAAAAATGGAAAAGGCATTTAGTTAATTTTAGAAATCTTCGTTTTTGCTTAAAGCAAATCTTCTGTTCGTAATATGAGTTATGAAACTTCTCTGTCTCAGTGTTCTCAGCCATTTTGAAACCCAGCTCCTCACATGAGAAAACTGTCAGTGATTCATTTTTCTCAGGTAAATTGATAATTCCTACAAAACAAGGAACCTTAAAGGAGTATTTTTAAATTACTTCAAGAAATTAATCTCAATGTGTTGTTCGCAGTATTGAGACCAAAAGTGTACACTGTCTGAAGACCTTGAAGTTGAAAAGTGACTTAGATGATGCTTGGGAATGGCCTTCAGGGTATGAGATGATTTGACAGTGAAGGAGCTATGAGAGCTTTTGGTTGTCTACTTGTTTTTTCAAAAGAGCTGTCTATCCTGAGATATTTGGGAATGCACTGGGAGTTAAGAAGACACTCAAGGGATTGCAGACTGGCTGGACGTGCAGAAGATGGGAAGAACAGATAGCGTTGAGATTTGAGTTCTGTTAGCAGAAGTGTACTCAGCAGAAGATGTGTTTGGATTAGAGCATTGCTCTGGAGAAGCAGTGCTTAAGCTATAGGAACAGGCAGTAGGACCTATGTGTTTTGATTAGCGATGATGTCTCTAAGGGACAGGGTCCTAGAATGGTACTGTAATACAACCCCAAACTGAAAGGTCCATGATGAAGCCAAGGACAGGAAAGGATTGAATATCTGGCAAAGCTTACATAAGAATATAAAACATCTGTTTCTAATCCTGATCAGATATAGCTTCATCTCTTAACCCCCAGATGAAAGATCAAAAATAGAACCAGATAAATGTAATGCCTGTTAGAACATATATATATATATATGAGGAGAGATTAATTTGGTGTGGAAGAGTATTGGTGGTTGTTAACCTTTTAATGTACTTTGAAGAGCTGTATTGGAAGTATTCAGAAATTTAGCTCTGTCTAGGTAAGTCCCTGAAAAGTCTGGTTAGGATGTAGGGTGCTGTCAGAGCTGTCAACTTGTGCATTAAGTGTATCTTATTGTTGGCACAGCTGCATAGCATATGCCTAAGGCAAGTGCTGCATAAATGTATTACGCATCATGGTAGATACATATATACTATGTAGAAAGACAGAGTGAGGAAACTGTGTGGAAAGTGTTGCTTTTTATAGAGGCTACAAACTAAAAACAAAGAGTAAATTTGCAGACAAATAAAGGGGGAGGTAGATGTGAGGAAGCGCATAAGTACAGATCATTGTGATCTTTCAGTACTTGAAAGGAGCTTACAAGTAAGAGGGAGACTGACTTTTTATGCAGGTAGATAGTGATAGGATAAGGAGGAGGTGGATTTAAACTGAAAGGAGAGGTTTAGGTTAGATACTGAGTGAAGAACTTCACTCAAGAGAGTGGTAAGGCACTGGCACAGACTGCCCAGAGAAGATGTGGATGTCCATCCCTGGAAGTGTTCAAGGCCAAGCTTGGTGGATTATTGAGCAGCTTGATCTGCTGGGTGGCTACCCTGCCCACAGTAGGGTGTTGAAACTGGATGGTCTTTGAGGTCCCTTCCAACACAAGCCATTCTGTGATTGTGTGATCCAGACTTTCTTCTGGGTACAAGTCACTACCTATAAAGCTCACCCTGTCTTTTAAGAATGCTCCTATTTTCATGTCTAGGTCAATCTTCAATACATTCTCCTAGGTTAATGATTGAGAAGGTGAGTTAATTTTTGTAGCTGATTGTGGAGGAATGTTATCACCATCATAAATGTGATTATGGATCTGTAATTATTTTTGTTGCACATCTTACTCAAGTTGCTTAGCAGTTGTGGGAAAAATTAAACAGAATCACTAAGGAGAACTGAAGCAAGTATGACCTTATTTTCAATATAAGTTATTAATTAATTAATTCATTCATTCAATAAAACTCACTGTGTGTGAGGAATCAAACTGCAGTAAAAACCTTGTATACCTGCTGCTGCACTTCAGAGCTCAGATTTGACATATGCTAAGTTTACTTGGTTTTTATTTTAGATATGACAGTGATGGTTGGTGTCCACCCTTGCCTGTTCAGACCTACCTCCATCAGGGCATGGAGGATGAGCTTGAAGAAGACGATGATCGTGTTCCCACACCTCCTGTGCGAGGAGTAGCTTCATCGCCTGCGATCTCCTTTGGGCAACAATCAACTGCAACACTCACGCCTTCTCCACGAGAGGAGATGCAGCCAATGCTTCAAGCCCACCTTGATGAATTAACCAGGGCCTACCAGTTTGATATAGCAAAGCAGACATGGTAAATGTTTGAAGGGGAAACTTGCAGTCTGGGAAATGAAAACACATTCCTGAGTGATACAAATATCAATTCTGTTTAACATTTTGCTAATGTTTACAAAACTATAAAATGAACAGGAAATAGCAAAACTGTATCTGTAGTGCAAAGGCCATAAACGTTGAAATATGCTTTTTAAATCATAATACTTGACTAAAAAGACAAAAAAATGATATTCTTCTGGAGTTTTGCTTATACTGAATAGTTATCACCCACCTACTGACAAATTGTATGCCATTTACAATGTTCTCAGGCTAGCAGAAGACATGATTTTTACAGAATTTTCAAAAATAATGAATGACTAAAGCTCTGATTAACATAATGTTAATTACTTGAAATAGCAGTGTAGCAGCTTTTACTCTTTATCACATGAGAATGATGCATTTGTATATCTGGCTGTATTTTGAAACACCGGGAAAATTTCTGATACGTAGGGAAAACCCAGAAAAGACTTGAAGGAGGTTAGAATTTACAGAGCGTATCTTGCATTTCAGAGTGCTTTATGCCTATTTAAGAGAAGAGCAAGCAAATACCACAGTAACATTTCCCCTGTAAAACAAACAGAAGCAATCTCTTTGGGGACTGAAAGGGGAACTTGTCATCTGCACCAGAAGGGGATGCAGTGAAGGTCAGTTGCCTTCTGGATGTTCCCTAAGAGGCAGCTGTCCTTTAGAAACTTTTTTATCCAGACAAAGCTTGAGACTCTCAGAGGACAGAAGTGAAGCTAGTTATCGAGTGGCACGCTGCCAGAAGGGAAGCAGCTTTCCATACTGTTAAATAAAGTCGCAAAGTTATTCAGCTTGAGCTACCATAAATAGACCAGGTAGGTAGGAAGGCCATGCCAAATCAAAGCCAGCTGTTTTCCTTGGACTCTGTTGAAGCCTGAAGGCTTCTCTGCAATCTACACTCCATCAGCAGGGCGCTTTGGTCCCACCACAGTGCCATGCTGCCAAACATGGAGCCTAGCCTACTGTGGGACAGACCCAAATCCCAGGCAGCAGCTAAACTAGGCCTGCTAAAGGTGGCTGGCTTCCCAGATACATGTCCTATCTGCACAGGCAATGCTGCTGCATTTTGCAGCTGTTACACTTTCTACACCCTGCAAAGTGCAAGCACCAGACTGGTAGCGGGTAACGAGACAGGGTGCAGTGGCAGAGCCTCTAGCAGCTGACAGGAAATGTCATCTGCAAAAATGAAAACTGATCAGGGACTTTCATAACACAGATAGTAATATACAGATTTTTTACTTTGGAATATACTTAGGAATATGGAGATTTTAACATCACTCTCCTGTTAAGGACATAGTAATTGCACATGAAACTCTGAAAAATAATACAGTTAAAAACCTGTATTTTCATGCTAGGTTATTACTGCAGGTTTAGGGGTATATATTGAGAGCTGCAAATACAGGTGGTTGGTGACTGGTTGGCTGGAGATGCACCATGCTGCCAAAGGGTCTAGCAAAGGCTGTTCAAAGTCAGAGGAAAGTCCTCCACTGCCTGAAGTGGGAAGGAAGATTTCTTTGTTTTTCTTTCTCAAGTTTAGTCTATCCAGTATAGAAAGAAAAAAAAAGATGAGACCTATCAGATTACTGTAGGAGTAACTGAAGAGATATTTAGAGACCAGCCAATTAGGAATTTAAAAGCACATTACTAGATTACTAGAAAAGTATGTAATCATTATGGCCTCGATCCAGCAAATCACTTAAGTATATGCTTAACTACAAGTGCATGAGATATTGACTTCAATTGTTCTATCACATGCTTAACATTAAGCATATACTTAAGTATTTTGCTTGATGGGGAGCTAATCATGCTGTTTATTGAGGGTGTTAGATCACAGTGCCCTTTAGCACAGTGTTTTGAATACTGCATAGCCAAGACTCTGGTGTCCAGATAGAAAAATACTCAAGAGCTGTTAATCAGAAAGAGGTTGTATATTGGAAAGACAGTCTCTGCTCTGCAAATAAGCTTCAGATTAAGCAACAATTTAAAGCCTACACACAAAGGTGGAAAGAGATTCCAACATAACACTTACTATGACATTCTCTGATGCAGTAGAGTAACATTATGAGAAAAAAAAAAAAGAACGACTGTTTGAATAAAGAGAATTACCGTACTTATGAAATGTAGGCAATAAAACAGCAGCAGAAGCTCAGTGAAAATGTATGAGAGCTAGGTAGCCAAACAGGTGACATTTGCAATTTTCTCTGTTATGCTGGTGTCCTAGCATAAGACCAGCGGAGTCCTGGATCCCATCCAGAATTCTGTCAATTGATATCAGGTCACAGCACCTCATGAACAGATATCCAAGGGCTCTCACGTGGCTGAAATAGCAAATTCAAGCCCCATACGCACACTTATGCCAAGGCCAGTCATGTCTGGGTCCCCCAGCACAGCTTGCTGTGTACCTCTAGCGCTGTAGAAAATGCTGCAATGAAAGCTGATGGTTGTTTTCCTCTGAGAGAACCATATAAGTGAAACTCCAAACCCAGTGCTTGGCTTTGGTTGTGTAGTTATTCTGTGGATGTTTTTTTTAACTTTATTTTTCCTTTTTTTTTTTTAATTGCATGCAGTAATCATGCGTTCCCTAATACTGCTGCAATTAACTCAAACTACTAGAAGTAAAGTGAAACCTCCTTTTTGATAATGGACTCATTGGACTTGAAAATTTCTTCAGTCCTATAGGCCATTTCCTTCTCTTCAGGGTGAGTTTTACAACAGAACATTGAGTCTATTCAGACAGAGGTGTGAAATTTAATTTTGGCTCAAATGCCTGATTTGCAAGGTGAAATGTAAGGTTAGACATTCATATAATAGGTTGGGATTTGGAATTGTGCTTTTCCATGGACTTCCTACCCAGTTCCATGTACATCACTTCCTCACCTATTAAAGGACAATCTCAGCCTTTCCTGTTTTACAGGAGGGGTAGTATATGTAATATTGAAAAGTGTGCAGATACTCTGCTATGGTGAATCACTGAACTGATTTTTCTTGAGTTTGAGCTAACAAGCATGTTTTGTAAATCTGTTTCAGGCTTATTGAGAGGCTTATCTTCTACTGACCACAAAGTACGAACTCTCATCCATTCTGTTGCCCTTTTCCTGTCTGTTTGCATAGGCACATCCAAAGCAATACACAACCTCCTCAGGCACCAGTTCCACCCCTCGGATATGTATCTGGAAACCTTATTTCAGACTTGGAAACAGATGTTCCAGACGATGATGAGGATGATATCGAAGAAGAAACTCTAGAAATCAATAGGTCACTGAGAGGTCTAGAGCATACTCCAGGCTCCAGTATGGACAATTTAGACAGCTCTGTGACAGGTAACCAAACACAGTAAACACTAACACCAGCTTGTTCCTCACAGGAAAATACATCACCAAACAAACACTTTTAAAGTGAAAATTTATTCCACTCTATTTCTGTAACATTTAAAATGCGTTAATATTGAATGCTAAGTTAAAGAAGGATTTGAAAATACTTTGTGTTGCTGCAAAATGATAAGAAAATTCATGAATTTTAAAAAGCTTTAAAGAGTCAAAAGAAAACTCAATTATATCCTAGCTTTCATGAAAAGTTCACTCTACTGGAGAAGCAAACCAGTTACATAAAAAGGAGAGGGAAGACCTCAGCTTTGGAATATATGTTTCATACATCAGGAGCAGCATAAAAATGTTATCTTAAATAATTTTCAGATATTTTGCTGGGTAAATGCTTTCACAGATGAACATGAAGAAATTAGAAGACTTCAAAATAAGCATAGTTAGTTAGATCAGCACAACATCTAGTTGTAGTGTAATATAACATTTATGTTGGAAAAAAAGTGTATTTTGAGCCTACTTTGTGTTGAAGAATTTAGTAATTGTTCCCTTTTAGTTGAGGTATTTAATTATTCTGATACATCTTTGCTTTTCGCCCTTTGCATACATTGGAAAGTTACAACAGGAATCATCAAAGGGGACCTAGAGGAGTATGGTAAACTAATGTACAGAATCTGAATAAATAAAATTGCTGTTGATGAAGTACAGGCATTGAAATACATGCATTTTTTTTTAAATGGAGACTTTATATGGACACATTGAACTTTTTAAGGTAACTCCAAATTCCCCTTAGGAATGGACTTCGACTTAGGAGTCTCCCAAGGCTGGACTTGGGCTTCTATACGATGTACTGTATACGTAATGTTCAGGTTTATTGCAGATCCAGATGTGCCCATAGTTCCTGACAGTTGGTGGGTGCCTCTTCAGTCTTGGAGCTCTATGGAAGAACACTAGCTTGTTAATTGCACCTGCAAAGAGACTGGCTTACTAAGGCATTACTAAAACAGCACAGCTTATTTTCTTCTCCTTGTTGTGAACTTTTGAAATTTCAAGGATTCTGTATCCTTATTTAAACATTATTATTCTGAAAACACTGCAGGAATATGACAGTAATGGAGCATCAATACTTATAATTTCCTTTCTTTTCCCTTGTTGAATTAAATAGCGTGTTGCTTTATCCCACTTTCCAGACTTTTAGCTCACCCTAGGGCCAGACTGCTTGCCAATCTAATTAAGACTTAAGAACTGTAGCTCTACTGCTGTGATTTGAAACTCAGGTCCAACTGAAGACTGTAGAGTTAAAGTTTAAATCCCTGAATCCAGAAGGTTAACTTATTAGCACATGAGTATGTTAAGTCACTTTGCCTGAATTTCTAGTGTAATCTCCTTCAGGCTATAATTCTGCATATTTTTGCATATCTTGCTAATGGCTCAGAACTGTTTCCATTAGGAATGCAGTAAGGGCTTTACATCAGTAAAACGGAAAAAACTAAAGAAATAAACAAACAGGTTGCCATATATTTTCCATTTGATATGTATTAAGATGTCAATGCTGATATAACTGTTAATCAGGAAATTAGTGTTTTGCACATCTACATTTTCCCCCAATATTTTGGACTTACCTATCTCATGCAAAGTAAGGATTAGCTGTATTTCTGTTCTGATTCAAAGACTTCTGTGCCCATTGTAGTTTATGCTTTTACAAATAAGAATCAAGCTTTTTCTTCTTAGTTGTAAGAGTAGTTTGGTTATTGGGGTATAAAAAAACTGCTGATTTTTTTTTTTTTTTTGGAAGAAATTGAACAGAACCTGGTAATGTAGGCTGGGAATGCATGCAAAGAGATCAAATTCACACCCACTTGTTCCCACCATCACCATGATCTTGGTTCATCTAGCTGAAAATTAAGGTTTTCCTTTTGTTTTCTTTTGTTTGCTTGTTTAATTCCTATCTGGATCTGTTCCTCGATCTGGTTCACTGCATGGCAATGTGTTTGCTAGTACTGCAGGAGGGGACTGTGCAGCCAGAAAGGAAGCAAAATGACAGGCTACCCCAATAGCTTACAGCCAACACTTAGATTGACATAAAACATTTATGAAACTATAACCTTGCAAAAATACATCCAGTGTGTTCTAAATGATCTATAAAATTGCAAACTCTTGGAATAAAAAAAACTACTTCTGTTTTTCTTAGTTACTATGTGGGCAAAACCTCAATTTTCTGAGTTGGGCTTGCTTTTTTATTAGGAGATGGAAGGAAATTGCTTATTTTATTTAGGGGAGTTGTTTCAAAGGAGAATTTTAATTTTGTGCATCTGTTTCTGCTAACCTATCCAGGTTGCATTTGCTAGTGTTAAAGAGGGCATAAAAGAAATTGCATCCATTGTTTCTAAGCTGTTTCTCTTTCTTTAACTTGATTGCTTTTAGAATACTGTTGAAGAACTAAATTGTTTTTTCTTCAACTGAGAAAATAAAAGCTGCTTCTTACAGGGCTTTTGATGATTTAAACCAGCATCTTCCTAGGAATTGACATAGTTTGTTTTTACTTTAAACATTAAAAATCTGAGAGAAATGAGAACAGCTAACCTTAAAGAAGCAGTTTTTGTGTACATTTTTAAGCATGTCCTGTGAGTTCAGTGTCTGTATGAAAACTAAGTTGGCATTCCTTGATCCAGACTTGCCCAGAATAGAGTTGACAGAGTTACTGTAGGGTGAGCAGGAGATTAGTATGCCTCAGTGATGACTTGAAGGTACCCACTCCTGGAGTGCAATGGTACTTTGTTTTTCACAGCTGAGCTGAGTTTTTCATCCAATACCAAAAGTAGAATTCTCAGTGGGGAAATGCTGGCACTGGGTGAACTAAGCTCAAACTGCTAAATTTCACCACAAACATAGCATAGCTCCTATAAAGTGTTTAAAAGTCAGGTTGTCTTCCAAGCTCTTGAGTTTTAGTTGCAGCTAACTGAAGATTCAGACAGGGATTTAATCTACACTATTCAGGTTTTCTCTTTGCAGGTGGCAGAGACATAATGTTGACAGGTATAACAGAATGAAAAGCAAGGAGGAATGCACAGTATCTTAACATTTTCCAGATATTGCAAAGCAAACTCAAGGAGGTTTGACTGCTTGTGGGTCAAAATAAGAAAGTAAAGCCCACATTTTGATTTGTTCCCAGCATGGTTTGCTAGGGTGCTAAGTTCCTGATTCTGATTTAAAGAAACAAGCAAACACAAAACCAGACAAAACCAAACAACAAGCAAACTAACAAAACCCTGAAGAGCAGCTGCAAAATTTCTACTGACTTTTAATACACAGTAACTTACTGAGGGGAGAGAGAAACCCATTGACTAACGTGGACATTAGAACAGGTTTTTTTCCTACTTCACTGATAGAAGCAGGGTGATATTCTTGTGAAGAGTACCACTGTATATGTATAACAAAACTGTTTTGTTTTCTTTTTAATAAAATTATGTAGATTTGAAATTATTAAGATTGCCATAGGATGTATAACTTAGCAAAGAAGAAAATCTCTTACTTGATGTGTTTCAGTCTTGATTAAAAGAATTAGTGATCACTGGATGGTAAAAGTTGTTCATTCATTGCATCTGAGCACAAATGGAATAATTCTTGAACATTGCACAAAATCATTTTGGTGAGCCATATTTTATCGAGGCAGAGTTCAATATTTGTATTGATTTTGATAGGGATGCCTATTGCAGAAGATTCTATTTTATAAGCAGGCAGTTAGACAGATTGCATTTAATAGGAAGAATGTGTTTCATGGATTAAATATGTACGCAGAAAATAAGAAACTGGTAGTTTTTGTATCTCATAAAAATGGTAATGCAACAATTAGCAGGGTCATATTATAAAGCACAGACTTTGCTCTAGCTTAATGGATCTAGGGATATGCATTCATCAGCAAGGATGGATTTAGCATAAAACGACATGTAAATGAATTGATGACTGATCATAAATTAATTTTAGTGTTGAAGAAGTAATAGAGACACAGCAAGATGCCACTTTATCATAGTATTTTATTGCATTGAGCAACTACTTAATGTTCTGGGTGCACTTCTTTTCTAACAGCTTGAATAAATTTGAGATTTTTGTTGTGTTTTTCAGCAATATGGAAACCAAAAAATCTTGAAAGATTGAAAATGTAAACATAGATAAATTTGGTTAAGTGGCATAAATTCATTTTTCATTACATGGTTATGAAAAGCATTAATTATGCTTGGACTTCTGAAGTGTCAGAGACGTATATATGTTTTGACTCCACTTACTCAGAGTTTAACACCACTTCCCCCTTTCTCTCTCAAAGAAGTGTTTATTTCAGGTGTATATGGTTAATATTTGGGGCATTTCTGAGGAAGTATGCTGTAAAGTATAAGCTCAAGTCAATTTTTTGAAGTATGATCTTATTTATATTCTGCATTCAGCACCTTCCATTATTCTTTTTTATCTAATGACACAATGACTGTTGCTCCCTTTTATTTAATCACTTCCATTAAAATTAGTGGTCATTCTTTCTTTACAATTATGACCTAAAGGAGATGAATGCCTTCTTCTTGTACATGGGCTGGAAGATTTCAGCATCAGCTCCTGGGGACTTCATCCACATCTGACAAACCTGAGCAGCCTGGTCATGTTCCACCAGAATGCCTGCCGAGGAGGAGGCACGCAATGTTAGCATGTGCTCTGTGCTTTTAAGAAAGAAAGCGTAGAAGCACACACATACAAGTCCCAGTGACATCAGTTATCATCTTTAAGCATGTAGATTTTTGTGCATGCAGAGAAGTACTATGTGGAATTTTCAAAAATGTTAGGTTTGCTGTGAGCAGATCTTGTTTCACAAGCATTAGACTTTTTGTTATCTTAAGTAGAGCAAGATTACACCGTCCAAAGAAAAAGTAGTGTTTTAATTGTAGGCAAAATGCCACTAAAAGCTGTAGCATGCAGCCTACAAGGAGCTGGCACCTCTATTCCCTTCACCTTTCCCTGAGAGCAAGAAGCTTTCTGTTTGCATTAGCACCAAGAGATATTTTATGGAGCAAGAAAACAGAGTTCAACATTTCACAGAGTTGATTTTGTTCCACATAAAGCATTTACTGCTGCTGTCAGCAAGAGTAAAATTTACAGTTGCCAAAAAGCGTAAAAACTCAAATGCATTCTTGGAGAACACACAGTGAGCTGCATGTAAAGGAGACACTAAAAGCCTATTTCATTCCATCTGAAAATGCACAGTTGATCTGAAAGAGATGTCAGCATCTCTTATGCTGCCTTTACTCAGAGAAAAACAAAGGTGTGCCTGACTGGGGAAATGAAGAGGCTGGTAGATGCCATTAGGGAAGGCTTCCCCTTGCGCATAATATGAAGGCAGTTGCATAGAGGTATGAGGGGCCTGGCCTGGGCTGAAGCCGGCTTGTGTCCACTGAGCCACGTCTGTGCTTCTGGAGGACAAACAGACAGAGTGCTGCTGAGGAAAAAAGAACAAATAGGGAAACTTAATAGCTCAGGAACCAGTGGAAAAAATGTGAAGATTTCATGGTTAGCTTGCTGACTTAAGCAGTTTTGAAGAGCTTTTCTTCAGCTTACAGTCCACTAACCAGAAGTAACATCATTGTTTGCTTTAATTGTTGGCTGTGTTGAAGTCCTCCTCCAGTACAGCTCATGTCTGTGCAAGGACTGAGCTGCTGTGTTCAACAGCACGGGCAGGGCACCTGTTCCTAGCTTAGCTGGTGTTTGCTGTCCTTGAGAGGTCAGGAGGTCAGGAACAGATCCCTCAAAGGGTTGCTTGAAAAACTGGGAGTCTGATGGCAGCGCTTCACTGATCATTAAGATCATTAATAGGTAGGTGTTGTTAAGAAAATCTGGCATGGCTATGTGTGTGTAGAGAGGTAAGTGTATAAACACTCACTGGAGAGAGCGTTATAAACTTGTGCAGATTTTTAGTCTATTGCACTTTTCAAAAGTGGATTTTTTTTAAAACTAGATTAAATCCTTCTAAGAGCAGATGGAATATAGCAACTGCTCCTAGATACACCCCAAAAGTATTCCATCCAAACAATCATGTTTATAACATGCTGTGTAACTTGTAAGTGGTTAGCATAGCAACGTAAGCAAATGAAAATTCAAGCTTAATGTCATTGAAAATATCCATTGTTTTTTCTACAGATACAGAAAACATATGTATGCTCATACATATCCTATTCAGTATATATTTTCACGTATCTACAGAGTAGAATGTATAAAATACTTGGGCCATGGAACTAACAAAATACATGATACATTTTCAGCACCTGAATATCTTCCTTTGATATCTGTGAATCTAGTTATATTTTTATGTTTCAGCTTCTGCTTACATATTTTGCAGAATGTGTTGATAAGCAATTGTTTGAAAATGTTCTCAGCTATAGCATTTCATTTTCTTACATCTTCATGAAGTGTTTTATCTCTAGTATCTCTTTTCATACATCAGCAAATAACTGTTGCTAAGACTTTGCTCCTCGTTCTCTCTGATGTTCCATCACACTTTGATTGTTAGTTCAGTTTGTTCTTCTTCTCAAGGAAATTCAGCTTCAGCCTTCCCTTGCTGCTGTCTAGACTTTCCTACATCTGTCTGCATCAGGTCAAGTCTGTTTGGAAAATAACAATTCTGTGTGTGCTCTTGGCAAGCAGAATCTAACTCTGTCACTCTCTGTTGCACTTAACACACTTTCTGCCTGTCAGACCTCCATAGACCTCTTCAGTTTCTTTTTTTTTTTTGTATCTTAGGAGTGCATGGAGTTATTATAGCCTGCCACTTTGCTGACATCAAAGGATTCAGTCACTGCAGCATCACAAAATAATCCATTGTTCTTAGGCTTTGTAATGCAGCATAAGCAAGTCAGTATTGATTTAATAATTAATGATTTTTAACAAAATAATACTTTCCTGGACAACTCTTAAAAAAAGCTTTGAAGAACATACTGATTCCATTGTTCATCTTAGGTACATTGACAAAAATTCACCTGTGCTAAAGAAATTGTTAAGTCGGTCCATGATTTATCTCTCCACAAGTGTTGTCATATCTTGGAAAACAGATCTTCATTGGTTCATTGGGATTTTTCTCAATATGTCACTTTTTAAAAAGCAACCTTCAGATATTTTAAGATGAAGAGGCAACTTTGCTGTCTCAGAACAATATTCTGTGTCTACATGGTGCCACACAATGCCATGCAGTAATTCAGGTCCCAGAAGCATTCTGGTAGCTCTGCACTTTAGCTAGAGTTGGTAACTCGTTAGTATGTCTGCTCTGTACCTGGAGAAAAGCTAGGTAGTTGGTGGTGGCTGAATATTCTTCGCCTCATGCTCTACTGGACATTGTAAAACTATACAGTGTCGTTTATGATGATTTTCAGAAGTACAGAGCACTATCAACTCCATCTGTAATCACTGAATTTTGGTACTTTGAAATAATTCAAACCCATTGATAGTTTTGGAAAATATACGTTGCATTGTCATATTGGGTAGTTAATCGGTTCTTTCTGCTGTGCAAAAAAGTAAAAGAAAATATAATTGAAGAGTGGAAAATATGAATCCTACTCATAGTATTTTGTTCTTCATATTTTAATTATGTCAAGATTTCTACATTCTTGTCGTGTTTTTTTTTTTTTTGTTGTTTTTTTTTTTTTTTTTTTTTTTTTCTGGCTCCATTTTTTGATGTTATTATTGCTTTCCTCTCCTGCAGTGGTGGTGATCTATAGCTAGGATATGGTGAAGTCTGCATTGGCTCCCTGCATGACTCAGTATTCAAGAACGTGTTTGGTCTGCTCTTGAGCATCTGTTTCTAACCTTTTAAAAAAGAGAAATCAATCCTGTAAAATGGATTGCTTTCCATCAGTTTTGTTTGGGCCACTAAGATTGCTCATCTATTTTAAAGTTTTGGTTGAGAAAATGGCATAATGCTTCAGAATGTTCTTGAAGCCCAGGTCTGACGTCAGCCATACCTGATGAGATTTAGACTTGTGGTGTTCTAAAGTAAGATTTTTTGCAAAAATGAGGGTAGATATTGCTTTATAATAAATGAAGTTTAAAAAAAAAAATCACATTACTTTCAATCCCAGGAAAAATCTTTTAACATTCAAAAGAGTTTATTATGGCATCTATATGTGTGTAGGGGATATGTATTATTTGGTTTACAAAGTGACAGTTACACAATGCAAACTATGAATGAGATCCCAGTTAGCTTTTATAGTGCGCTTTTATATCAAGCTCTGTTAGCCAACCTTTGGGTTTCCTGTGGAGTAAGAATATATTAAGTGGGTCTTTAAGATTTAGATGATCAAAAAAATATCAAACATGTACAACTCACTAGACCCCCTACATTTGTTTTTAGGTTCAATGGTAAATGGATGGGGTTCTGTGTCTGATGAGGACCGTAACTTTTCTAGTCATAGATCTAGTGTAGGTAGCTCCTCAGATGACTCGATCTTTACCAGCGGCAGTTTTGCACAAGCACTGGTTGCAGCAGCAGATAAAGCTGGTTTTAGGCTGGATGGAACCAGCCTGACAAGAACAGGTTTGTAGACTCAAAGTTAATGCTTTCTGCATGAAGGGTGTCTCTGCCTGTTCTTCTCTTCAGTGAACCTGCGTCTCACTTCACGTTTTTCTAACATGCATGGAGTAAAGTGGATGGAGATATTTTTATCAGTATATTTAAAATAAAAACTTATGTTTCATTTTTAGTGATTTGAAGTAGTGAATACTGCAAGCTTTTAATCAGCACTTTCAATCTTCTGCAGTTTCTCTTTATGCTGACTCTGCTATGGATTTACTGACATGTGCTCTGTTTAATATTTTGGTTAAGAGATCACTAATTCTGCCATGCAGTCTTTGATGATTTTATTCCTGCAACATCTCCTCACTATCATTTACATTTCCAATGATGAAAGTCATGTTTAAACTGTTATCTCCATCCCTGCTCCTCTCTTACATCTCTTGCAAAAATGTATTTTTCTGTGAAGTTTTTCTAAGCATGGGGGTGGAATGCTATGATTTGATTATAAATGATATGAAATGTTTAAAAGTCTTTTTAATCAGCTGATGTTAACAATATTTAATTCAATGAATCATTAAATTTTGATTAAATTTAATTTTAATTATGCCACCAGAATTAGCCAAGTGAAATTTAATACAGGTAAAGTGACTATTGCTTTTGAAAACAACCAGTCTTATCAACTAGAATAAATTAATGAAAAGTAAATATAATTCAGTTTGTAACGTTTAATTTTTAGCAACACAAAAAGATAAGCAGAACTTCCTTTTATGTATTCTGAACAAAGAATGTATTTGCATTTGCACAGTCCTATTATTTTTTTTTTTAAAAAAGCACCTAATTATTTAAATCCACACGACATAATAACAAAGTATTCATTTGGGTTCCTATTTTTTATTATGCTTTCTTCTCCTGTTCCTGAACACATTTCCCATAGTATTCCTATCATTTAAAAATTTTTATTATCATTTTTGTACAAAATTTATCCTTTGCTAAAATGCTTGCATTCTTGATAAATGTCTCCAAATGTTAGAAATGATAACTGCCAGCCTTCTATATGCAGTGATTTCATGAGAAATACTACCTTTTAGGAATAAAGAAAAGAATCTGTAGTAAAGTTCTATGCCAACAACAAATCACAGGATGAAATTTCAGCCTTTTTCAAGTCATGAGGACCTTTGACTGGTTAGATGTAATCATCCTTAAAAGACAGTTATTTCACTGTTAAAAATATTTAAAACTCTCATTTGCTTCTTCTTATTTAGCAAATTTGGCCAAGCCATTCCTTTCTTAAAATACGCTGTTTTGCTTGAACTGACACAAATCCTTCCTAACCTTTTTATTTTTGTGTTCTTCATGGCCTCAGTAAACTAAAGCAACTTGTACTAGGCCCACTGAGAAGTAGTTTCCACCACATACATGCACAAAGGAGTTCAAACGTGCAGATACTTTTAAATACGATTCCTTACCGTAGCAATATAAAAGAACAGGATGAGAACTCCCTTGTCAGTTATATTTTCCTAGCTTAATTAGGTCACATATGCACTTAAACTGAGTACTTACACGTAATTCCTTGGATAGACTATTAGAGTTAAGGTTACAGAAGAGTAACACTGTGGTTATCTTTTTATTGCCTTTTTATTCTCTTAATGATCCAGAGAAAAAGCTGAATCAAAAAGCCCATGTAAACAGCCTCCCTTTTTTCACCCACCACAATATCAGCAAATGGAAACAGCTCTGCAATGCTTACTGTAGTTTTCTTATGATATGATACCTCCCAGGGTAGTCTGATCAATCAGACTAGCCTATTATGGATCTGCTGTACCACAGTAAATCCATCATAGTGCAAAATGGCATTTTCCAGTGGAGAAGCGGCAGTATTATTTCTATTCATTGTTCTGGAGGAAATCTGAAGGTCCCGACTCTTTACTCCTTTGGACAGTTATTTTCTCCCACTCAGAACAGTTATGAAATATTCTTATTGATATGAAATGAGAAGACCAACTTCATAGGCTCACATGGATGTCTTTGATTGTCAGTCATAAGAGGCACTGGTAAATCCAGACACAAGATGTCTCTCCTGCAAGACACTTTGATTCCATTTTCCAGAAACCATTGTGTGATTTGTCATGTAGTTCAGCCAGTTTTCCTTTTTAACACCCATGGGAAATTAAATCATGAATTACTGGATTCATCCTTGTCTCCATTTGCACACACTAAATCTACTATAGAGTCTGACACTGCTCAGCAGTTCTTCCTGGAAAGGCTGCATAAAAAAATAACATGCTGTAATCAGATATTAGGTGCATTGAAAGATGTGTTTTGGGAGCCTACATATCATTTGTATTTGCCCCATGTCTGATTTAGGTGAGTGCTATCTATTTTCCTTCATTTTCACAAAGGGATAAAAGAAAAAATTTTCAGTGTGTATATATATATATTTTTTTTCAAGTCAGCTTTCCAAATTCATGATCACATTTCTTTACTCAAGAGAGTAAGCATGAAGGTTCTTCATCTTGCACTCACTAGTTGTGCTTGCATGTTGCAAGTTTATTTTTACAGAACATCTGTGCTGTGTGAGCTAGGATGGAATTTCAGGCTCACATCTGAATTTCTTTGCACCAGTGGCCTTTTTCTTTTTCTTTTTAAACAAGATATGTAATATTTTGTCTGTGTTCATTTGCTGTTTTATCCTTATCTATGAAACAAGGGCTTGATCACTTGTCTTTGTCTGGCTGCAGCTGTGCCAGCTATAAGAGGTTAATGTTTCCAGGCTTCACCCAAACGCTTATTACTGCTTCCTCTCATCTTCAGAGTTAGCTGCTTGGGTGGGCATTCAGCTCCCCATTTCAGTTTAAATGCATCAGGCTAGCAAAGGCATCCTGTTCATACTCTTTAAATTCAATTTGGCTTTCTTTGGCAGAGGAGAGTTAGGGAATGCCCACACAGATGGTTCAAATGTGGTAACCTCTGATAGCTGACAGGGACACAAGGCTGGGAGACAACATAGCCCAAGAGAGTGATCCTCCTCATTGTGCACATCAGTCTGAAAATAAAAGATCAAGCCTTAGGTAGTCAGGAAAAATCAGAAGGCAAATAGTTAGATGTTATTGTAACACAAGCATTTTAATGCTAAGAAGTATGTTAGAGAGATTATAGCTACTTTTTTTGACTTTGCCCTCTTTTTGCACCAAATATATTTTAAATAGTGCAGTAAATAGCAGTTTACTTCTGATTAGGTTAATCTAGATCCTATTGTATGTGGTGTCATGCTAGAAGTAAGGATATCTATTATAATGCGTGAAGTGTGGCACTTATACACCAGAATTTTGGCTCTTCCAGGGGTTTTACTAAAAAACATAAATCACAAGAGGCCACGATCTAATTAACCAGAGGATAATTCAGCCTCATATTAGCTTAGGGTTGATAGATCAGAAAAATATCAAGCAGCTATTTTGTCACTTTCCACCAACTATTAGACCATACGGGTTTACAGTTGGACTGAAAGAGAAGTTCTGACTGGCTTACAAATCTTTCACTTCAGAGAAGGTTAAACAAAGTAATAATTTTAAGCAAGTTCTAAACAAATTAAAGCATTAACATCCCTGAGATGCTTGATAAAGATCATGTGCAGAGAAAAAAAAAAAAAAAGACAGTGATATCAGTGATATTTAGTTTTCTTCAAACATTATTAAATAAGAAACAAGCCTAATTAACTGAATAAAAACATGAAAAAAAGAAGTGAATGGAGAAAATGAACTATGCTCATGAGTTTCCTGCCATGATACTTTTCGTTATCTGCTTCAAAGAACAGCATCAAAGATATCAAAAAAGAGAAAGTATGTAGCTCCATTAGTCTATATATTAAATAATAAATAAATAAATAAACAAACAAACAAACAAACAAAAAAAAACAGAAAAAAAAACAGAAAAAAGAACCAATAGGTAATGAATTCATTCAGAATAAATAATTTTTGAACACATAAAATAATGAAAATAAATAGGAAAACATTACGACTTAAATTCCTTTTTTAATTTCTTAAGAGAAGAGAGCCCTGAAGTATACAGACCTGCAGTGCTACATAGCTTGCAAAAGCAGTTATCTTTATCTCACTGGAGTTACTCCAGATATGCAGTGCTTATGGGAGTCACTAAGATGAGAATCTGGCTCAGCAAATGCGAAGGTGGAAGGCAGGAGGAGATAAATTTGATATGATTGAAGAAGTGTTTTCCTTCACTGCTGAGGGCTGAGGAGTTGTTATGACACATCTGCTCTGAACACCAAGCAGGTAGGAGTTACATGGTGTGCAGCGGTTTTAGCACAACAGATGGAGCAACTTTAATTATAAAAGTAAAGACAAAGGATTGCCAAGTTTCTCACTTTGCTTACTGTGGTGTAACTTAAGCAATTGACATCAGCAGGTGTCTCATGGGGACACTCGCTTGCCTCTGAGAGTTAGACCAGATTTAATATTTCAGAATTTACATTAACAGAACGGCCCATTTCAAGTCAGTAATATTTTTGTCATGTGGTTTCTCTTTTTCTAGGCAAAGCATATCCTTCCTCTCAGAGACCTCGGCCAAGCAGTCCTTTTTCTACTGACAGCAACACCAGTGCAGCTGTCACTCAGAGTCAGAGGCCGAGGCCCACTAAAAAACACAAGGGAGGCCGGTTGGACCAACCTCCCTTGCCTCATCGTAGGGAGGGAATAACAGACGGTAAGTGTGGCGGTGGGAGGCCCTGGTGATGAGCTACAACACGCAGCTGTGCAGAATGGGAGGCCATAAAGCAGTCTTTTAAGGAATGTCTGTTACAGTGAGCTACTTGTTTGGTGAAGTAGGGTCCTCAGGTACGTCAGCGGTATTGCAACGCTAGCGGTGTGGAGCTTGGTTAAGTGACTCTTCAAGGAGCCTTTCTTCCTTTCAGCTCTAAACAAGTCAGCTCTAAACAAATCAGCTCTCAGTTCTCAGTGTAAATCTTAAGAAGAAATGACTGCAATGAACATGGGTTGGCATTAAAACGTGACCCCTGGGTAATTTCATTTCCAAGTAGCCACCACCAGCATATAGTGCATTTCTAAGAAGAATCATGCAGCCAGTCCCACAGTGCTCTCTTTGTTTTCTGCTGGTTTTGACAGCCGTGCAACAGCTATAGAAGTACGTGCCATGCTTTTCTCAAGGCTCTGCCTCACATCTTGTCTGTGCTGCTTCATCCCTGAAATTCAGTGACCTCACTGACTTTGTTTGTCACTTCAACATCTCCAGTTCCCTCTTACCACCAATTCCCATCTAGAAATTTCAAGTGTATCCTTTCTGCTCTTCTAATCACTAAAATCAGTTCAGATTTCCATTGTCTTTGTCTATCCCATCTTGAGTTTGGCAAAAAAAGCCTTTGTTACTCCTTGAGAAGGTCTGACTATAAAGGTGGGCAGCTTGCTATCTCCCCTCTCTTCTCTTTTAATCTTACTAGTCACATTAAATGTTGAAATTTTCAGTGAGGAGAAGCAGGCAAATGGAAAAACAGTGTTAAAGGAGCCACCAAGGATTACTGTAATGCAGTGCGAATGGGGATCTGGTCACTTTCCTCATGCTGACCTGTCTTGCAGTGTTCAGGGCAGGGCAGTTCTGAGTCTTTGACTATCCCTATTTTAGTAGCCCTCAGAATGGCACTGTCTGAACACTGGGAGCAGGAGTCATGCCAGTGCCAGTCACGTCAGTCTCCTAATTTTTAGTTCACCTTGACAAATCTTTGAGTATATGAGAAAGGAGTAAAAAAATCACTTTGGTATAAATCTCCTCTCTATTCTAGCAAAAATCAGTTGAGAATCCTTTCATCATCCTCTTTTATCAGGCAGCATGTTGTAAATAGATTTGATAGAGCATGTATTTAGTTTGTTTATTTATAATGTGCTATTTATTACTCTAGGTATGTATAAAAATATATTAACAGCATGCAAGCTGGAATGAAGCCACTAAAAACACTACAACTCTCCTCTCAGTCATGTTCATCAAATGTACAGATACAATTTTGTAGCATGTTCTGACAGATTCCCTGTTTGTCAGATCGTAAAAGTGGATAACAGATTCCAGAAGTGAAAGTCTTCACCAGAAGTGTTACCGTTATAGCTCATACTCTGTGACTCACCCTCACTACCATATTGTTTGAGGAAAGAACTCAAAATAGCTTAGAACCCACTCATGTGGCTCTGATTTGGTTTAAGCATTAATGCTATCCACTTCTGGATATATTCCAGAGGCCTCACTGCTACACAGATCTGTTAAATAGATGTGTTACGAGAATAGGAATTGGAAATTGTGAGTGTCAATTGCACAATTGTGCTGGCAACCCCCTTTCTGTGCATGCATTAATTTAAACCTTCAGCATAGCGTATATTTTGTCACCATGAGTTATGTGTACATGTGTGTTTGTAATGCATTAAGTGTTGTGGGACCTTAATCTCACTTTTTTAGAATACTGTTACTATAGAAGTAAGTAATAATAACATGGTTACCGGAAGATTGATGGGAATCTAGTTTAGGTCATGAGGTAAATGGAAGTGTGACTCCTTAGGGAGTGACTCCATCATAAAATCTGACATTGCTTTAAATTGGTGAAAGGGATCAGATTTTAAGATTTATTTTAAAAGAGGAATCTCCTATGATCTTTGATTATTCATTATAAAACACTAATCTTAGTGGAGTTTTTTTAGTATATTTGAGTCAGAACTCCAATTTTATACCATGTTCTTAAACAATCAACCTCTCAAGCATAGACAGTAACAACTTCTGGACACTGTTAACATTTGCCTGTTACAAACCTAGCTTAAACGCTTACTATGCATTCCAAAAATTTACAGTGTTCAGAAGTCATACAGGATCCTTTTCCATTCTCTCTCACAACAGAAACAAGTAAACACAAATTGTACACTTTTTCCACTTCGAGTGTTGCTGAATATGAGTCATTAAAGTGTAAGGACAAGTCTGAGTCATAGCTAAATCTGCAAAGGACATTTGTCAATTAGGGAACTAAGATTGCTGCTACCACCTGTATGTATGGAAACAGACGACATTTAAGAATTTCCAGTGTCCAAAAATTAAAAATGATCACTGAATATGTAGATCAATCTACAGTTTCAGGTCCAAATCCTCTGGACTGATTCTACTTTGAATTATCCTATTTGTCCTCCTGTACAACTTGTTTTTCAACTTTCCCATCCTAAAAGACTGTGGAGACAAAGGAAAAATACCTTATGAATCTGTCAATAATGGAAAACCTTAAAAACAAACAAACAAAACTAACATAATGTTTCTACTTCTAGTGCTCAAGGAATAATTTATTTTCTTGAAATCAATATATTCACAAAGTACAAAATAATGGAATTTGCCATACGTGCAATTACACGGTAACTGCATAACTGCAGGTGAAAGTTCCTCTTTGTTTGAGCATGAGGTTTAAAAGAACAAAGAAAAACTAGAGAGGAACCATGGCTGGTGGTTAAAGTAGAGAAATATGACTTAAGAATATTAGCTTTCAAAGTCTCTTGTTAATATGCAATTTTAACTAAGGCAGGCTGTAGTGAAGATGCTTACTATCTGGTACAAGAAAGTGGTTCAGAGTCTTATTAAATGTAAATATCACCCCTAGGAAAACAAATGACTAGCACAAGTAGGAAGAGATGGCCTTGTGCTTCTTGGTTCTTTAACTTTTCTAGCTAATAACGAGAGGTTGTGCCCAAGCTTACATAATGTCTCAGTCATTTGGCCAGTGCTCTGCTTGCTAAAGTAAGGCCGGAGTAATCCCAAGAGAATCATGCATCTGCAGCTGATAAGGCTTTCTGATGTTCTACAGCTTCTCAATCACAATTCCTCTGTTATTAAATCAGACCATCCCCTACCCCTCAATACACTTACAAATAGCCTTGCAAGTTTGATAAGCTTGCCATTAGAGGCTGCAAGTGGTAGTTTGGATAGCATCCCACAGCCTATAAAGTTACTAGCTCAGTATGGATTTTCGGGTGTTTTACCTGGCACTTGGAAGGTAAATGTAATGTAGATGGAAGTGCAGTAACACTTCAGTAACACACTCAGTAACATCATTATGTGTTCTTTCACTGAAAATCCTCCTGAAGTCCCTAATTATCTACATTCAAATCTTCCCTTGAGTAACGGACATTATGGTATGAGTTGGCTTCCCTCTGTGTGGTAACAAGTCTGCTTGTTAGGGACTGAAAATACTAAGTCGTCTGACCTGTTACCCTTTACTAGCATTTGAATTTCCAACCATTAGCCATCATGTAGGTACATATGTACAAGTGTATGCAAGGATGCATGCACAGTTGCTTAGTTACATCTTAGGCTGAGAAGGGAAAGAAGAGATGGGGAAAGACAAGACTGTGACACTGGAGGAGGAAACTCGTGACTCCAAATATATGGAGTCTTTATTTATATGCCCCAATAAAATAACAGCGTATTTAGTAACTTTACTTAAGGCAGAAAATTTGCAGTAGACTACTTGAGCTGTGGAGTGAATAGAAAGCCACATTGCCAAATGATGCTCTCTTCCACCTTTTTATATTAAAAATGAAGGGTAGGTGTTACTCTGACAATCAACCTGAGTAAAAAAGTGAAAAAGCAAATGATATAGTCAGATCTTCTCAAACATATCTAGCACAGTTCAGTAAGTATGTACTCAAGCTAGAGCCAGTTTACGTTAATTCCGTAGTATTCTGTAATTCTTCTATAATTGTGTGAAGCTTCATCAGAAAATAATTTTTATTTTTCATTTCAGCTAGCTCATCCAGAGCTCTAAAACACTAAAAAAGCTTTACAAACATGTTTTTTGATTTCACTTCTATTCATCAGGCAATTTCCTGCCCATTTTACTAACGTATAAAAGCAAAATCCAGGTTAACAGAAGACTAATAAAATAAGTCTACTATAATTTCAGGAGTTTCAGTTAGCTCTGGAGCATGCAGGATGGTTTAAGTACAAGACCTTTTCACCTTGATATCTGATTAATAGCAACTCTTAGACAGCAATTTGTGAAGAAGTGTTCTTTATCTTAGGAAGTATAATGTTGCAATCATTTTAATTTATTTTTTTTCCTGTGGTACTACTTCTTAAAAATTTTGTTTATATTAAACTAAATATTTCATCTTGGAAAATAACATTTATTGGATTCAGTGCATCTTCATAAAGTGCTTATAAATCACAACTTCAGTAATATCTATTTCAGATTGCATAAGCAGATGCCAGTGTTGTGGTTCTTGTACATTAACTGGTTATGATTGTAATAAAATCAATTATAAGAAATGTCATTTTGGAAGCCAACACTATAAAGCAATTTTAACATTGGCAAGCTCCCATACCCTGCTTCCACCTACAGTCACTCAAGTATTGCCACTGTCATGAAAGGTCACATCTATATTCATAACTAAAAATTTCTCAAATAAATTAGTGCTGAACATAAAGCACACATCAGGCTCATTGACAGATTATTATTAAACTGTTCTATCCAGAAGATAGATATCTTAATTTCGGATATAGCACTTTAGCTATGAGCAAAAGTACAGAAGCAACGTCAGACACAACTTCTTTCCCTTTTAGACACAAGTATCCCACACATCTGCATTTAACATTGGGAAACAGTTCTGGTTTGGAACAACGTCTTAGCAACTTGGGAAGTATTTGTGCCCCATATATAAGAGACAGAAGTATCAACTCTAGTAGCAAGGACCTGAAGCTTCATGTGAAGCTGAATTACAGGCTTCAAATAAATTAAATCCAAAGGCCTCCTCAACAGTGTATAAAATGAATTGAAGTCTCACTAGGATTAAGAAAATCAGACCTTCCTGTGGGCAAAGGAGAGATTTACTCTTCCATGCTTTACAAATTCCTTGATGAACCTTCACCTAAAATACAGAATACCGGGAAGTGGGGTATAGCCATATCTAGTGTAGACTAATATAGATTTAGTGAAGTTGGGTAGCATGAATTTATTTGGGTTGTGCTTTGCCCAAAGCCAGAATTAATCAAGTTTTCTAAGTATAAAATGAGTAGTCTATATGGAAGAATATTTAAATTACTTTTTTTTCTCTATTTTGATTGTTTTTAAAAATGTAAGAATTTTCTTGATTCTTACTAGAGAATCATGTGGTTTACATGAAATCTTACAGTTAGAATTGTCATTATTCAGGTTCTATAATTATCTTTGGTAACAAATTAAATAACAAAAAGCACCCCCACAAATGTTAGAAGTTTCACCATCAATCCTAAAAACATCTCAGTAGCCCAAGCCATAAACTTGAAAAGAATCAGAGTGCATAGAGGGATCAAGCAAGTGTCTTTCAGTATTTATGTGAAATTTCATGTTGATTGGTTATATTTGCAAGACTGCTAACCTTAAGAGTGGCCATCCTGGTATGTGTGAAGACTACTGGTTTCGAGAGAACACTGAAAATGTATGTGAAGAAAATATTCACCCGTTGCTTTGTGATTCCATTTCCATAGATGTATTGGTGCTTTTTCAGTGACAGTACATTTGTGATTTTTTTTTTTCCAAAGATACTGTGGAATTTTATACATTTTGATAAAATCATGTATTTAGATGGTGGGTGTAAGCCTCAAACTGAAAATGAAGCCCAAAAAATAGGAATGATAAAGCAAGCCCCAATATGATGGGCAAGAATTACTCTGTCATCTGGTTTCCATAGTCTTTCTTAATTGTTCACTGTTACTGAAAGAGGCAGATAAAAATGAAAATAAATCCCATGCTTAGAAATGTAAATCAGGACTTGCAGTGAGTCTACTGGTTGTTAGGAAAGTTAGAAAGAGCTAGCAGTACAGTAACTTGAGTTAGAAATCTATTGGAAAGTAATTTCTGATTAACAAGAAGTTTCCTTTTTTTAAAATCAGCAGATAAAGTGATTCAAGCCATTTGTGAGAGACGTTTTTATTGTTCATTTCTTTTCAGCATCAAATGGAAGCTCTGTTTCAATTAAAAATTAGTTCATCTAAATCTTATTCACATTTTTTAGATCTTCCACCACCACCTGACCCACCACCTGGTCAGGGTTTAAGGCAGCAAATAGGCCCGGGCCAGCGTGGAGGCTCGGCAGAGAGGAAAGGAAGCTCTCTTGAGAGGCAGCATGCACCCAGCGTAGATGACACAAAGAGCTCCCTGGACCGGCAAGCTAGGACATCACTAGAGTGGCAGCGGCAAACCCAGGAGTGGATAAGCTCTGCAGAACGCCAAGAGGATTTCAGGAAAGCCCAACACAAGCAAGCATTTGGATCAGGTGCGTGTGTGCTGCACCAGCCCAGGCCATGTTTCTGGAAGCTTTTCAGCTGAGGATTTCTGTAGCTGGCAGGAGGCTAAGTTCACCCTCCATCTCTGCATTCCTGCATTGCTGGGGCTAACAACAGAAATTTTTTAAGAAGGCAAGGTGAAGTGGGAGCTTGCAGTCCATGTTCTTTCCCTCCTGCAACCATTATATCTCATTATAACCTAACTCTGTGCATTCTTTGCATTGTTTTGACAATTAATAGTGTTGTCAAGCATGGTCATGGGAGAAACAGGAACAGTTTCAGGAAGGCAGGGAAGAAGGAAGAGTTTTTTTAGTAGTTTCTATTAGACATATTTATTTAGACTACAGGGCTGAATTTTCTAGTTCTTTCAACCTAGATCTAAATTGGCACTAGTTGTTTTTGCATATATCTGCAGTAAGGCTGATCCTTCTGAGCTACCGACACTCCTTCCAGCTATATTTGTAATACTGTCTTCTCCTTATTCAAGGCCATGACAAAAGCAACATTCATCTCCTAGACCTAGCAAGATGATGGCACAATCGTTCAGCACAGGACCTGCTCATATTATTGAGTGCTGACTTTATCTTTTAAGGGGATTTCAAGTCTGTAAAAATGTGTAAAGGAGGCAATGCTGAACTGTAGTTTTAGTTCCATGCTATTTGCAGATCACTTCTCTTAGCCTGACTGCAAGTAAAAGCTGCTGTTCCAAGTCCCCTTACTAGGGATTTTCTTTAGTCCACTAATCATATGTTATCCCAGTGCTGATTAAAGTGATACAAGAAGACAATTGCTCAAAGACAATTAAAAAAAAAGTACATGATCTTCCTCTAGGGCTACACCTCTAGTCTGTATGTAGCTCCCCCAGTGACACTAGATGTACTTGTACTATTCTTCTGACTTTATTCCAATGCTAATTTTCCTAGTTAATTTAGCACACTAATATAAATGACATTCTAAAAAAAATTGCAAAATGCTGGCAAAGCTGTCATGGGGACATGATTTAATGAGTAAAGTCCTCAAAGAACAGCACAGCATATTAAAGCATCCCAGTCTGTAGATTGCCCTGAGCCAAGTACAACACCTTGTACTTGACCTCACTGGACATCATTAGGTTCTCGTGGGCCCACTTTTCAAGCCTGTCCAGGCCCCTCTTGATGGCATCCCTCCCTTCTATTGTATCAGCTGCACTGTTCAGCTTGGTGTTGTTAGCAAACTTGCTGAGGGTATACTTGATCTCACAGTCTCTGTCATTGAGAAGAATGTTAAAGAACACTGGTCTGAAGTATACCTCCTTGGGGACATCACTTGTGACCAGCCTCCATCTGCACATAGAGCCACTGTCCACAACACTCTGGCTGTGACCATCCAACCAATTTATCCGAATAGTCCACCTTTCAAATCCATATCTCTCCAATTTAGAGATAAGGATGTAGTGTATGACCATGTCAGAAGACCAGGAAGACAACACCAGCTGCTCTTCCTTTGTCCACTAATGCTGTCACTCCATCACAGAAAGCTACAAGATTGGTTAGGCAAGATCTGCTCTTGGTGAAGCCATTCTGGCTGCCTTGGATCACTTCTTCATCTCACATATGTCTTAACATAGCTTTCAGGAGTATCTGCTCCATGATCTTCCCAGGCACAGATGTGAGGCTCGCTGATCTGTAGTGATCAGGTCTTCCTTTGTCCTCTTCTTAAATATGGGAGTAATGTTTTCCTTTTTCCAGTCACAGCCATAATTTTTAAAATATGGTGGAATAACACAGCAAACACATCAGCCAGTTCCTTCAGGACCCTGGGATTCATGTCATTCTGCTCCACAGACTTGTACACATTCAGCCTCATGAGATGGCTTCAGACTTGCCCTGCTCGTACAGTGGGAGGGACATTGCATCCACAACCCCCACCTAGAGGTTCAGGGATGTGAGAGGCATGTGACAGACCTGACTGCCAGTGAAGACTGAGGCAAAGAACTTACTGAATACCTCAATCTTCTTTGTGTCTGTAGTTGTCATTTCTCCCTTCTCATTTATCAGATGGGATAAACTGTCCTTTGCCTATTTCTTCTGGCTGAGCAGATCCTTTCTCAGCCATGCCAGTGTCATGCCTCTTCTGCTGATTTCTTGTGCTGGGAGATGGAGAGCTCTTGTGATTTCAGAAAGGTCCTTAACGAGCTGCCAGCTCTGTTCTTTTCCTATGATCCTAAAGGACAGTTTCCCAGAGGATCCCAACCAGTAATTCCTTAAACAGCCAGAATCTTGCTCTCCTGAAGTTCTGGATTCTGTCTGCGCTTTGCCAGGTCCGTATTTTTTGAGATCAGGAACTCATCCAGGATATGGTCACTACAGCCCAGACTGCCTCCAACTTCAGTGCTTTTAATGATCTTCTCAGCACTGGTGAGCACCAGATCCAGTAATGCTTCACCTCAGGCTGCTCTGTCCAATACCTGGACCAGGAAGTTGTCCTCAACAGACTCCAGGAGTCTCCTGGATTGCTTGCAGCCCACCGTGTTGCTTCCCCAGCAGACATCCAGGTAGCTAAAATGCTACTTGGCATAATGACAATTTTAACTAGAATGTGTAAGTTGTAGAAACATACACAAAATATCACAATATATTTAATGCATCTCATTTCTTTGTGAACAAAGATTAAGTATGCTTGTCTGACCTTCTTAACCAGAACTCTTCTCCTTTTCCTCCAATTTAAGAGTACAAAGAGGAGTTACCTGTTATTCTGTGACACAGAGATTATTAAATTAATAGTAAAATAGTAAATTTCCTATACTGCATGACTTGCATTTATCTGTCTTTACACACACACAAAAATTGTTTTTGACAATTCCAGTGCCCCACCTGAGTAATGAATTTAGGGCTGGACAGGATGACCAGGATGAATACTTGTCCTTTATGCATTACAGAGGATTGCTGCAGTAGGTGTTATGTTTTTTTCCTGGTGGGGGAGATTCAGTCCTTCACATCTGGTATGTCTTTCTTCCCATCCTAGCTTCATGCATTATAGTTTTCTTGCTCTGTGCCCCTTTCTCTGGTAGATTGAAAAAGGCTGCTCTTGAATGTGATGTTTATTTATGTTATCAATATTTTTAAAAATTATTTTACTTGTGCTTCATTCCTTTTCCTTTATTAATGAGAGAGAGTTTTCTTTCTCACTTTTCAGTAATTTCCAAAGGGAGTTTCATTAGCTATCCACTTCCACAAAATATCTATTTTGCACTTTGGAGGGCTTTATTTGGACCTTGCCAAGCTATGGGTGAAATTCTGAAAGCAAGATTGTTGTTTTGAAGGCAAATTGAAGAATAATGTTGGGAACCAAGATTTCCCAAGATTGCTTTCTGAATAGACAACATCTCTGAGTTCTTGGTAATGGTTTAACTGTGGAACGCTGCATATCAAATAAAACATTCTCAGCTACCCTTCTACAGTAAGTAGTGCTAGATCAGGTTGCAATTGCTTTGATAATATTAGAAGCCTCTTAGTTATCTCGTGGGATATCAAAACATCTTACTACACATGCATACCCAGATTTTGCAGAGGTTGAAATTATAACTTCAGTTTGGCTCAGTTTTTCATAGAGAAAGGCATTGACAGTGTCTCCTCATATTCTTTGCAAGACTGAGGCATGGTACTGCTTTGAGTACTGCTCAGTGAAAGTAAGTCTAACCTAAGGACTTCAGACACCTTCATTTCGTGTGCTAGAGTGTTATGAAAATCTTAGCCTTTATTTTATGTCACAAATGTTTATTTTATGGATTGCATTTATTTCTGAGGGCACAACAGATAATTTAACACACCATATGCTCCATAATGATAATGCACTTCATATTTATTCATGGTTATTTTTTTCCTCAACATTTCATTGAACCCAAAGGAGGCCTTATCCTGAATCCACAAAACAGGAAAACAAATCAGTTGACCGTATATGTCATCTTCAAACTCTTTTGTAATGCTAGTGACTTTTCCTTCCATCCTCTAAAAATGTATCCAGCTTTCTGCTAAGCTGATTTATGCAGCTTATTTTATTGCTGCCTTAATGCAAGCTGTTCTGTATTTCAGCCAGCCTTTGGAAATCAGGTTTGCATCTGATTCTGTTGTTAGAGTTTGTATATGAAGATCAGGTAACATAATTTAAGAGGCTTTGGCTGTTAAATGGCATTTTACTATGTCTTTTAAGCAATTATTTACATTTAAGCAATGACAGCACCGTCATAGAACAAAACACTGATAATACCCTAATGTCCTGCAGTGCAAATATTCTGGTTCCTTCGGCAGGACCATAGGGAGATAGTTTGGCAGAGAAGGAAGTTGGGTGTTTGCCCTCTTCTGCAACAGATTTACCTTATGAAAAGATTCTGTTCAATAGGAGAACATATGGGGAATTCCTGTATCCTACATGCTTGTGTTAGTTGACACAAAGAATTGAACTTGTGTTTCCTCCACAAAGGTAATTTGCATTTCCACCACAAATATGTTCTTATTTAGCATTTCTCTAAGTTAATTGTGTGCCATTATTGCCACCCTTGCAAAGGCTTTGTTAATGAAAATAAGAGCATATCTATCTTTCTTTCCAACCATCCCCACCTAGTTTTCTTTCTGCAATTCTGTCCTCTTTCAAAGAAGGTGTAATTTTTCCTGTCAGATTCCTTAGTAGTAAAAACAATAGAAAATGAGAAATTAAAAGAAAAAAACTTTTATCCCAGTTTCACTTCAAAAACAACATAAAAAAAAACAACAACAACAACAAAAAAAAAAAAACATTCAAGCAGGAGATACCCACCGATTTCAGAAGAAACAATTTTTCTATTTTTGCTAAGGACATATATTTCAGCTCTTTCTTGCATTGAATGATATTTAGCAATGTCTCCTTCTTAACTTCTGAGACAGCAAAAGTGGATCATATCCAGAAAAGAAAATAGTGCTTCTATTTCAGTGTTAAATCAGTGCTGCTGCTTTGCCTCTTAGGTCAAGATTATTAAAATATCTCCCAAAAACTCTAATCAGATGAGATGTCTCATTTTACTTGATGCTATGTGAATATATTTAGTCTCGTGCTTTATTGAGAATTAATCCTGTTCTTGCAGGCAGTTCATTATAACAGATCTTCACTAAGGAACAGGCAAAATGAATAAAGTAAGCCTTTTGCTTATAATGGAACATGAAACAAGCTGCAGGAAGATTTACTCACCCAAAATACTACAGCTACCAATGTTATGTATTATATAGTATGTCTCAGTGTTATTTACAGTCAGTTAAAAAAAATCTTCAGTGTACTTTGCATCGTTAGAAATTACTGAGCTGCTGGAACCTAATTAAATTAGCTGATATTGCAATTCTTTATCTAAATTGATTGAGGTAATGTTACCATAATTTAAAATAAAGAAAAGGAAAAAGCATATTCTTGTAGGCTTGAAGCAAAAATCTAATCATAGCTGCATTGTTTTGGAAATTGTATGTGCATCTATTTTTATTAAACAATCAGCAATTTGTGATCTGTTACTTCATAATGAATCTAGGCTTTTTATAATTAATACAGACTAACACATGAGTTTACACGAAAGCAAGATTAAGCTTATGCTAGTTTCTATGTCTATGAGTACAACACTGAGTTGCATATTTTGTTTGGCAAAATTGTCATGCTATAAAGAAAGACAAAAGACATATACCTGAAGACAAGGAATGAATATGATGTCCAGATCAGAATAGTTTGTTTATTCCTAGTGTATTGATTTTGGTTTGTTTTGCTTTTTTTAGAAGAGGCGTTGGTACCATATAGTAAACCCAACTTTCCATCCCCTGGCGGCCACAGCTCTTCAGGAACAGCTTCTTCTAAAGGATCCACCGGACCTAGAAAAGGTGAAGTCTTGCGAGGAGGTCACCAACGCAATGCCAGTGACCTTCTCGATGTAGGCTATGTGGGATCAAACAGTCAAGGACAGTTTACTGGTGAATTATGTAAGTTTATCTCTAGCTATAGTTGAAATTCCCAAACAGGAAAAAAAAAAAAAAAAAAAAAAGACAAATTATAAATCATTGTGAAGAGAGAATTAATTGCAGTGTGATGACCAGGTTAAATTTTAACCTTATTCTTATTGCCTTCTGCAATATTTTTCCAGCGTCAAGTGAAGTTCATATACTCTTTCACTTGTACCAGTTCAGATCTAAGTCACACCAAGATTATCTACTTATTACATCTTTAAACGTGTAATGCTAGTGAGAATAAAAACACTGGCAAAATTGAACAGAGATTCTAACAATTTAGAATTTTCTTTGCAAAGTATAATATATTTGTCATAGAAATGCTACTGGAGACTTTTCTCAGAGGAGTGAATGAAACAGTGCTAAACTTGCTGGGCAAATTGATGTCAGGGATGTGATGCCTTTTCCTAAGCCTTCTGTTGCTTGTTGCAAAATGTTATGCTCTTCTTGACCATAGATGGAGGTCCTGTTAATGCTGCATGCATGACAGTGGCACTTGATGCCAAAAGGTTTGAGTCTCTTGCTTAAAGTAGTACACCGCGATCTAAGCTAGCTCAGTCGATGCAGCTGTTGGAACTTCTGCCTCCTATTTGCTGCAATCAAACCTTCTGTAACTACCCACCTACTGTTACTACCAAGCAGCTTGTAAGAGATTTTGGTGCACAAACCCCAAAATGAGGTATTTCAGATATGATGTTGGTAAGTGCTGAATTTTAGCATCCATTGATTTTCATCTTAGAAGCAATTAACTCCTTTATCCAAACCTACTGAATATTTATTCTACAATGCTTTGATATTGACATGGGCTTTGTTTTGTGTGTTTGTTTCTTTGTTTGTTTTTCACATATTACAATCTCTTTCTCTTTCTTTCTCTCTATAGAGTAGTTGAGAAGACACATTGCAAGCTGCTCTGATGGGCCATCAGGGCTGAACTCATGGAAGTGATGACACTAAACAGTGCAATGAACATTTTCTTTATTTATGTACTATTAAAAGAACTGTAAATGCAATGTAAAGACACACAGCCACATATCCCACAGATACTTGTGTTCTTCTCTTTATACACCATCCACCTTAAAATATTCCTTGTCAGGAGTATACAAAAAGAAAAAAAAAAATCACCCTCCAGGATGAAAAGAATTTCCTTCTGTATATAATTTCTTTTGTTGCATTGCTATGCAAGTTCACCTTCTTTTTAGCTATGTTCATATTCATGTCTGTTTTTATTGGTCTGTTGTACTATATGTGAATTAATAGGCTGTGGTGCCATATATTAACTTTTAATTGTGTAACTTTTATGTTTAAAGTTTGCACTGCAATTTTATTTGGTGATAAGCACAAAACTCTACTCCTCATGACATGAAGAAAAAAAGAGACTGAATGTGTGAAGAGGGTTTATGTACTGTAAGCTACTTTGGATAATGCTGGATGTAAAGGAGTATGTTAGGTGGTTTTCCATTGGGGTGTAGAAATGAGAAAGTGACAGGCAAAAATGATGTCAGTAAAGACATTAGAGACAGATTTAAACCTTTTAAAAGCAGACAACATAGTTGCTCTTCCTATTTAAGAAGGGGTCAGAAGTTGGAAGTTTGAGTTTAAAGAGTGAGTATGAAAATTAACAGTAGCATGAGATGGCCTAGACCCTTTCACTAGAATGATTCCCTTACTATCTGTTTTTAGCCATCCAATGCCATTAAGTAAAAGTAAAGAAAAGCAAACCTTGCTACAAACAAAAGAAATTAAGGTGTTTCACTAAAGCTGTTTTATATTGCAGTTTTGAAAGAATTATTATCATTAATTTCTGCAACCCAAAATGTAAGTCAGAAATTTCCCAGAAGAAACAAACAGTATAAACTCAAGGAATACCTAGTGAGTAGTTAAGGATGCAATCTATTATTAAAACTTATTCAGGCTGCTTCTGAAAAAAACTAAATGTCAGAGTATTTTATTTCATCTTTCCAATACATGTACAGTACAATAGTAAATAGAGCTGCACCACTGAAATTCATGACATTAATTGTTTTGATGCAGTCTAGACAAACCTTTGTGTTTTGTTACCTGAAGTCTGTGAGAGCTGAAGCTGATTTCACTAAATTTTTAGTGTTTAGAAGACGTAACAGTCAAATTATTGTTTTAGGAATATTTTCTGCGATGCAACACATTCAAAAAGTTGGATACAAGCAAAGAAAATCCTTGAACTGTTTTTTTAGTGAGTGGCTTCACACCCTACTATAATGAGGAAATAATGCATGTTTATACTCTTTTTGAATAAACCAAAGTCTGTAAGTGGACATTAATGACAACATTCTGTCTCTTCATTAGTTTTCATTACTCTGTTCAAATCTTCTGTACCTCTCAAATCTCAATGACTGAATTGTCAAACTTTTCTTAGAATGTTGTATATAGGTATCACCCTCATTTGCTTAATTTAAATTTTGCATCCTATAGCTTATTTCTGTTAGTCTATTTCTGACCATGAACATTTTTCCATTTGAATACCCTTTTCATATAATCAGTCTATGTTGTTTTATATATTGCCTTGGAGCTCACCAGTATTAAGGACACTTTTAGTAATGGCAGAATTTTAGAAGAGTAAATTTCAATGCTGAATATGTGTTGCTTTTCATGTCATTAACTCATTCCATGATAAGATAAAACACGACAACCATCAGCTATAACTCAGCACTATCAAATATTAAAAAAATCATAGTTAACTTCCTTAAGGTCAAGACTGTTATTTAGCAGGTTACGAAAAGAGTTGGGAGAAATGAATGCATTTATCTATATAACTGACCAATGAGTATATGTAATTTACCTGCTTGTTTAATCACTATAGTTAAAACCATTATTTAAAAATGTGCAAAATTGTTCAAGCAAGACAAAGAAGGCATCATACATACACATGTATGTTTTCTTTACTTTGTTGTTATCATATGAAGAGAAGATTATTCAGGGTACAATTCAAATTGAATTCTCTGAAAAAAAGTGTTTAACTAGTCACCAAGGGAACAGTTCTCTTAATTTGAAAGCTTGTGCTGAGCTTTGGTGGAACACCTTACTCACTATATCCTATTTAAAATTCAGTATCATTAGAAGTCGATGAAGCCATCCCAATTACTTTCAAATATGTGTTTTATCTCTTCTACTGGAAAGTAAATGTGTGTCAGTATTAAAGCTGTGCAGTACCATGATATTCACTAACTTGTCCATCTGCTTCTGTACATTTTTGTTCATTAATAATTTGCTTACAATATTACATAAAGTGTTGTTGTGTATCGCAAAGTGTCTCCATTATCTTACAGGTGATGTCTCTTCTTTTTTTTTCTCTCTTTTCTATACAGTGTACTTCCAATGAACCACAGTACATATTTTTTAAAATGCCATTTAATTTACTATTTTAAAAGAAGAATTCTTCTTTTTTTAAAAAAATGGAAAACATTTATTGTGAATAATGTGTTTAAAGAAAAGGGATGTTGTGGCAGCACTTAGAATTGTTTTTTAATTTGTTTTTTTTAAAAAATATTTATTGGCTACAGTTTGTTCACGAAAAAGTATGACCTCTTAATGTGTTTCATTGGTATTGTTAGTGCAGCAAAGTTTAATTGGCATAAAAAGTTGGTTAATAGTCCTGTTGAAGTGTGTATTGTATATTTACTGGGGAAAAAAAATAAAACATACTCACATTTCAAATCTATGTTAAAACATCTTGAGTAAGGAGTCAATATGTGAAAATCCAAACTGGTAACAATCAGGCAATAATAACATAGACTGAACTATAATCATCACTGTCCACTTACAGGTAACAAGGATCATTTTATACCCTGCTTTTTGAACTGTGTTAATAGCTGTCTTATAAATAGCTCAATGGGAAACATCATCTGCCATAGGGATTTCTCATGAAGCTCCTCTCCACGTTGGGAATAGTTGTACCAATGTAATTACACTGATACAGCTATTCTAGTGATACAGCCTCCATTTGCATACATACTATGTCAGTGTACAGTAAGGGCTGCAAACATATGGTGTACCTTGCTTAAAGCCCATAATCTAGTATATATATATACACATGTGTTCAGTAGTTGAGCACCCCCTGACCTGTGAGGTTTTGTACTGGTGGAGCTACTGCCAACCCAGAGTAGGGTATCCCCAGGATGTGCATAGATGCTACATCAAATTTTCTCAATCTTTGCTTGAACATATGCTCAATTTTAAATGTGGGAGGGCTGAAGAATCGATTAATAAATTATTCCATGTACTTCAGTGGTGTATTGCTGCCATACCAGTGATGCAAACAGACATTTATTTTTTGTTATTTAATGTTTCTCAAGTCCTTATCCTGGTCAGTTGACCTTTTGATTAAATTTTTGCTCTCACCTGAAATACCACTGAAACAGTGTTCCCTGGGGAAGAAAAAAAAAAAAAAAAAAAGCATGGAATATTTTAAGTATATTGATTTAACAATAAGCCAATGTAAAAGAAAGACATGACTGTTTAAATAATACTATGCTGGCTTATGCATTGCCAGTCAGGGAAAAAGATGTGTTCTAAGCTTGGGAAAGAGTCCTCACAGTTGACAGAGAAAAGATGCTCAGGTTGGGGGAGATTCTGGTAGGAACTTTTTAAAATACAGGCAACTCTTTTTCTACAATTTATGCACTTTTTTTTAATTATTATTAGCTTGTTTTTATGACTGATGATCTTTAGGAAATTTAGCGGGGGGTGATAGAAAGAAAAAAATGTTGGCTAGCAAGCAGTTTTTGGCCATCAAGGCTCTGCACACATTGCACAGAAGAGTGGCATCCAACCACTTTGCTCTTTCTATTTTGTGTCACAGCTTTTGTTAGATGAGCCTCTCACTCTGCCAACTGCTTCCAAACCCAAAATAATAGCTATGGCTTAAAGATACCTGGTGGGACCCAGAGATGTAGGGCTGTGCCTGTGTGCTATGAATGTGGACAGTTACTGGGTGCGTGGGGAGAGCTACCTCTGAGCTCTGGCACTGGTGTGAGAACTATCTTACTCTCTGCCTCTATTTGACTGTGCAGCTACATCCAGGAAAACCTCAGCTCTAGTTGTCTATAGCATGCCACAGTATAGCAGTGTCTTTTCTAGTTTGTGACTCCTCATTCAGTCTATTACAGACCATCCTCAATTCAATGCCTGCCTCTCACCACATGATCCAAGGACTGAAATTGCATATGCTGACATTTAGGCCACTGAGGTTGTTGTTGCAATCTATGCAGCAGAATGAAAAACAACAACAAACCTTGTCACTTCAACATGAATCTTTTAAAACAATCCTCAAAAAAAATCATAGAAAACAAAGCATTTGAGATGTATGTGTTTGGTTTTGCTTTGATTCTATTTCATTTTCTTGGGTATCTTTTCTTAGCTACTATCAGACTTTCTTTCTCACAAGCTGCTAAACTCTCCCTCCCCCATTCTCTAGCATTGAATAAGTTATGACATTAGAGAATACTTACATTTGTGTAATTTCTGTGTTACAACTATCAACAGCAAGGTCCACAGTTGCATTCACTTCAATTTGTCAAAGTCAGATGGGGAGTTAAATGTTTGGGATTTTTTTTCTAAAAAGGCCTGCAGCTATTTGTGCCAATACTTGCTCCCCATTTGTGCTGATCACTGCACCTTTTGCCTTCAAGGGTGCCATTAGTAATTCTTGTTTGCGTTCAAAAGCAGGAATCCATTGTGCAGCACTTGGAGAGCCACTCAGATGCAGGTAAAAAAATATAACAGCTTGAGCAAGTGCTAATTAGAGCCAATTAAACTTAATTGACCTCCTTTGGCAAAAAAATGTAGAATAGAACTTGCTCTGTCCTTGCAAAATGGAGATCTTGCTCTAAGCATGAGTGTGAGGCTCAGTTTCATGTATCAGGCTGTAGCAATTACATGAGTATAACAACCGGGAGGAGGCTCGCTCCTTTTTTTTCTAATAACTTAGATCTGCTCTATCAAGGTGCTGCAATAAAAGTAAGATTTCTGGTTCACTCTATTTAAAAGCCTAATTTTTACAGAGCAAATGAGCATCCCAAGATACTAATGCTAATCTCTAGGAATGAATTGGCAGAAAAGTACAGTATTTCTTTAGTAGGTAAGTAATGGCGTGAACACAAAGAAGCGATTCAGGTTGGAAACAGCTCTGCTGAGAGGCTGTATCTGTGCTAAGCAATAGGTGCATGCCACAGTGTGCCTGGATCAGTGCTTTGTGCATCTGCCTACAGTTCAGCACAGCTCCTGCTATGCCTTCCCTTGAGGTGTCCTTCTAAGGACTTCTACTGGGAGAAGGCTCACCAGACCCACCCGAGGTTGTGGTGCTGTTGGGCTGGGCTAATGGGGAGCACGTGTGCACCACTGCCATGGGTGTCAGAGTGTAGCCAGAGGTATCAAAAGAAACGTGAGAAGAGAGGGACAATGAAGGGTGGGAAATGTAAAATTGTATGAATTCAAAGGCATGGTAAGTGCTAAACAACCGAACTCTATGAAAGGCCTGTATCCAGCTTCAGTGGATGCATTTTGCTGGTGTCATTATTTATTTATTTTTCTTAATCAGGAACTGAATGCAACTGATTTTGCTGCTGACTTGGCCTTACTATTAACAGCAATAAAGGTGTTAGTCAGGTGGGGACTTCGATGTGACCAATAGCATCACTCTTGCTTCAGGGAATGTTCTTGTGCTGGCTTGTTAATGAATTTCTTTCCTAATGAGTATCATTAAAAACCCTTTGATTAGCTATTTGTGTGAATGCCCTTCCTTTTTCCTCTGAGCTGCTACTAGCACAAGTGGTAGCAGGATTTTGCCCTAGGCAGAAAGCATGCAGCTGTATTCCTTTCCTCATGAATACAACTCTAAGGTGAACTGCAGTAGGAGAAGGGGGGGGAGGGAATAAAAATAAAAGCTCACAGATGAGTTGAGGTTGCTATCTACATATGTACAACCTGAGCAGGCACTAACATTCAGATGAGGCTGCCATTAGGGAAATGAAGAGCAATAGGTAGCAATGGCGAAACATGTAATAATAATTTGCATACACCCCGAGAGCCAACAGGCAAAGAAACAAATAAAGCTGTAACCTGCGGAAAGGCAGTGCCAGAGAACAAATGGACTGCAGCAAGCAAACAAAAAATGCTATTTCATAAAATGCAGCAAAAAGCCTGGAAAATAAAATTAAAACCAAAACAAGGCATTTCACATCCCAGACCCCTTAATGAGATATTGATGGCATAGAAATTGCCTACATCTATGCAAGACAAAAGAAAGTCTGAGAAGCACAAAAACAATTAGGAAACAGATTTGGCAATCTAGGGTTTAATAGAAAGAGTTGTGTCATAGCAGAGTACAATTAATCACCAACTGCTTGAAATGCTTTCTTCTCCTGAGCTGTTGTAGGCCTTTCTTTGTCCCTTCTCATCTTAAAATGACAGTCACTTGATCTAGTTTGTATTTAAAATGAATATCTCCCTTCTTTTTCCTTCTCCAGTCCCCAAGTCCACAGAATTACAGATTCTGATACACAAATACTTTCAATTTGCACTCATGGCACAAGCTTAAAGCTAGCTGCAGCCTACCCAACCCCATCTTCCTTATTCTCTTTTTCCCCAACAGGCAGTGAGCTTATCTGCATATTTTCTGTCTTGTTGTTAGGCATACGATGAAGCTTTTCTATTTTTGTCTTTCTCTGCCGAGGAAGCTGTCTCAGAAGCATCAGACTTACAGATTTCTACAGGTTCATTTTTATGTTTGATCTGTATAGAATTTGAGGTTTAAAATAGGTCACTGGGTGCCTCTAGAGCATTTCTAAGGAAGTGAGAGCCATTGCTGAATCTAGATTTGAGTGTTTTAACCCTGCACACTGAGCCTGAGAAACTCAGGGTGGATGGTCGCACTTGCAGGACTAAGGCCAAGAGTAGTAGTCTGTGTCCGTTGTGCTATGGGTGGGTCTTTGGCTCAATGTGCATGTTTTAGTAGTAGCAAAGGAATGTGCCTTAGAACTTGTGAACAAATAAGTAACTCTAAATAGTGACAGCCTGAAAGTAAGTTTTGGGTCTGGTGAAATCAGTGATAAAACTTTATCCTTTTCTTTAATAAAAATAAAGTATTAGATCTGCTGGGGTAATCTCTGTAGTGCAGTAGCAGATTTTAACACTTCCAAAGACCAGATTTCTGTTTTGTGTACTGTACAGCCCTGGGACATTTAAACCTATTCTGATTTTATGTATATATATATATATATATATATATATATATATATATTTTTTTTTTTTACATGAATATTAGCGTATATAAAACCTGTGTCCAAACAGAAAGCTTTGAAATTTTGCCTGTCATCATTCATATGGGCTTTTGGGACTCTGGAGAGTTAGAATCATGGAATGACTTGGGTTGGATGGGACATCAAAGATCATCTAGTTCCAACCCCTTACAGTGGGCAGGGTTATCAGTTACTAAACCAGGCCCTAAATCAGGATGCTCAGTTACTCAAATTCAAAGTGTTTTCACAAGCACTAAGAATACTGAAAAAACCACCTGAACTCTCTTTCCATATTTCTGTATTCTTTTTGGTCTTGTACAGGCCCATTAGTGTAAGTAGACAACAGTTTCAGCTTTTTGTTGCCAATGTATTGCACTTCTGATTTCATTGGGGGATTTAGGAGCCATGACTTTCATAGATGCTA